GTGTTTCTTTAGTTAGACTGGATAGTCCTATAACCTGGTTAGCAACATAGAATGAACTCAGGAATAAGTTATGTTCTTATCCAGGTTTGACTGTAATAGCTCCGCAGAGCTACGAACGGGTCCCTGCATTAGGCTCGCAGCACCATCGGCGCCATCGTTCGGACTTCCCCTCCTCCCAAGGCCATCCACAATCAAGGCGGTCTGCCTGTAGAATGGCACTGCTTGACGGACATTGGACGCGTCCGAGCAGCGAGCGCGTTGGAGAATGACGGAGCGGTGTGGGTGTATATTTGGTGGGTAGACTTCCCTTCTATCTTCTTGATTTTCTTGCTCTCTCGTCTACAATCTAGTCCCTTCTCTCAAGACTACAAAACTGCTTTCTTTGATATTTTGACAAAATGACGGACCCACGAACGGGCAGCAGATGGATCCTGGGCGAGAAGTTTGACCAGGTGTATCCTCATCTTGGATCCATGGAGAATCTCTGGTAAAAATCAATACTCCTCTCCTCTCAACATCGATCTAAGCCATCGTTCACTACCAGGTACAAGAAATGGAAATTCCCCTGCGAACGCTCCCTCTACCCCTTCCACGACGGCAAATACTCCGACTTCGCGCCCGTCTTCGAAACCCTCATCCAGAAAGGCATCTACGACGGCTACAGCGACGAGTACACGCAAGAATTCCTCTCCACGGCCGAAGACCTCGTCGCGCAGGCGGACGCCCAAGCGAAAGAAGGAGGAGACAAGAAATCTGCTATTGAGATCTACCTCCGCGCCTGCGCCGTCTACCGCATCGCGCGATTCCCATATATCAACAGCGCCGTGAAGACCGCCGCGTACGAAGCGCAGAAGAAGGCGTACATGAAAGCCGCGGCGCTGTTCGAGTGTCCGATCCAGGATATCGAAATCCCGCACACGGCGGGCACGGAAGAGGATGAGGGGACGATGGTGCCGCTGTACGTCAGGTGGCCGAAGGGGGCGAGTAGAGAGGCCCCGGTGCCCGCGGTGTTGTTGATGTGTGGGCTTGATGGACATCGTCCGGATAATACGGTGCGGAGTGATGAGTTTTTGAAGAGGGGGTGGGCGAGTGTTATTGTGGATATTCCAGGGACGGCGGGTATACATCTCTTTCCCTTGTCGTTCCTACGTGTCTAGTACTGATGTTGGATGTGTACAGACTGCCCAGCAGCCCGCAACGACCCTACCTCTCCCGACCGTCTGTGGACTTCCATCCTCGACTGGATGGCTAGCCAGGGCACCTTTGACATGAACCGCGTCATCGCATGGGGCCTATCTGCAGGAGGCCACAACGCCATCCGCGCAGCACATACACACGCTGATCGACTCGCGGGAAGTATCGGCCAAGGCGCAGGAACGCACCACTTCTTCTCGAAGGAGTGGTTAGAGAAGGCGAAAGATCACGGTATATCACTCCCCATCCCTCCCCAAACCCCCAAACCCCCAACCCTCCCTGAACTGACACACCCCAAAGAATACCCCTGGACCCTCCTCCCCGCCATGCGCCTCAAATTCGGCTACACCTCCGAAACCACCATGCTCTCCGAGATCCAAGCCCGCTTCTCCCTCATCGAAACCGGCATCGTCAACCAACCCTCCTGCCGCCTCCTCCTCGTCAACGGCACGCACGACGGACTCATGCCCATCGAAGACAGCATGCTGATGATGGAGTACGGCAAACCGAAGGAGGCGAGGTTTTTCACGGGGCTGTTGCATATGGGGTATCCGCCGGCGAATGGTTGCGTAAGTACTCCTCAGATGCCCCTTAGGGTCCGTTCTTTGCTTGTTGGGACTGGGATAGACATGGCTGACGTTGAGGTGTGTATAGGTGTATCCGTGGATGGAGGAAGTCATGGCTAGTGTGGGTGGGAAGAAAGTGTAGGAAGAGTTAATGCATGTCGAAAAGGGAGGAGGACTTACTTCGTGGGGCAGAACAGCTGCGGAAGAAGGACGTCTAAGAAGAAGACGACGGTGTTCTGGACACCTAGCCCATTTTCGTGGGCTAGAAAGAGGATCTCAGGGTCCGATGTATGAGGCAAGTGCTCCAGTGAATCTCGTAACGGAAGATATCTGAATGAAAGTAGACGACGTGCAGAAATCACATGGTACCTTCCGGGACTAGTAAACTTGCGGGACATTTGAGCGTCTTCTGGGATGGAAAGGGTCTGCTGAGAAAATGCAGTCTAATGGGCCTACTTTTTGAGAAGTTGATGACGTTGCAGGATGATGGATACATGTACCTGGTAAATCTGTTGTATGTGAGCCTGGGTGACATCTATATAGAGTAGGAAGAGACGCATCCTCCTCCTGGAGAGCTTGGATTGATGACAAAAGCTGCGAGGAGTGGAATTGAACGCCGTGCTCACGGCCTCGTCGAGGGGCGTTGACGCACCTGAAAGCCTTCAGAACTAACCCGAACTTGAGATAATCGAGATCATGCACAAGGATTTTTCTTCGACCTCTTCATTCTTCGCAAAATTTAGTGCAAGAACTCAATACTCCAGCGCTGAATGCATCTGAAAAGTCCTATAATACACCCAGCCCCAGCCCATCCCACCCCGTCCACACACCACAGACCACACCAGAAAACTACCGAATCAAACCACAACCCCCATCGCCTCCCGATACCTAACAAAAGCATCCATGCCCTTCCCCTCCTCAACTTGCTCACCACCAACCCCCTCAACAACCAGTCCCTCACCACTCCCATGCAAAGCCCTCACCTCCTCCCTCAACACCCTCTCCATCTCCACAACCGCGACCTTCTCCTCTACACTCATCTTCCCCTCTCGCGAACTCATCTCCCTCAATCCGAGGCCTAGGCGCTCCATGACCTCGCGTCCCTCGCGGGTATGCTTCCGCGGAGTGGAAAGGTTCCAGAGCTTGGTGTATTCCTCAAAGACACCGCCGCCGGAAACCCAGCCTTGGGGCTTGTGATCGGGGAAACGTGCGAGGACGTTGGTCAGGTCTTCGTGTTCTTGCTCGATGACGGCTTGCGGGCCGATGGTGCTGCAGAGGACATCATGAGCTTGGTCCGTGTCGCCGGCGTTGAGGAGGTAGAGGACTTGGGCACCGGGGTTGCGGGCGACCGTGCGGGCGTATTGTGCTTTGGCACGCCAGATGAGATCTGTTGGGATCTGAAGGTCGTTGTGCAGGAGGTGGAAGACGCCGTCGGTGTCTTCGAGGGGGTTGAAGTCCGGAATCTTGTCGGCGTTGCGGTAGAGGATTGCGGAGATGGCTTGCTCGCGGGTTGAGCGGTTGCGGACGTAGAGCAGGACCCAGACAGCGGAGAGAAAGGAGTTCGCACTCTCCAGCTGAGCGGCGAAGTCGAGGGTGAGTTGGTCGAGCTTTTCGTCGGACAACTGGGCGCCATCGTCTCTAGACGCGAAGATAGTGGCGAGCTGCCAGGCAATGCGGGAGTTGGTCGAATCGCCAGAGACAGTCTTGGAGTCGAAAAGTGCCTCAGCATCAGGACGACCAACGTACATCCGTAACAGGCCAAGCAGCGTGTCTTCCCTGCCATCATTCGTATCGACATCCTGCCAGCCTGGAGTAGGCAAGACTTTCTCACGACCATCAGCAAGGTCGTTGCTGTACGCCTTGACGGCATCGTCAAGACTCAAGTATCCGCCGTAGTAAAGTCTAAGGCCGAAGCTCTGCATCCAGTTAAGACCAAAACGCTCAGAGATGCAGAACGAGCTCGCACGATCTTCAGCCGGACCGTTCTTCCCAGTAACCGCGCAGACCTCTCCAGCAATGATAGAGTACAGCGCTCGAACAGGCTCCGACATCTCACTCCAGTCATTGCGCTCGACCCAGGCCTTGATCTGCTTCTGCATCAAGTCGCGGCTGTCATGTGTGCCAGGAAGTTGGGCTACCATCGTCGCCAGCTTGAAGTCCCTGGCCTCGGTGAGGATTTCTGCAGCCTGTCTGACCTTGTTCAGCGTCAACAGCAGAAGTGCCTTTTCTTCGGCAGTCTTCTTCAGTGCTAATTGCTCATCGGCGACTGCAGACAGGTGTCCAGCCCACAGCTCCCCAAAGGCGTCCTGGCGAAGTCTGGGTTCATATTTGATGGTATCGTCAGGCGACATGCCGTGCATGAGGTGCGTACAGGCAACAGTGACGGGATCGAACAGGACCCCGGCAACTCCCCAAATGGCCGACTCACGGGGACCTTCAGTAGAGTTCTTGATGTCCTGAAAGCTGATATCGCTGCGGGCGTTCGCTTGACGGAATCCATCGACTTTGCCAATTACGGTAATGCCCTTCTGGACACTCAAGGTAAGTGTGTTGATATCATCTGGCGGTGCAAATCGGGCAAATCGAACTTCCTTGTGCTCGCCAACCAGAGGTTCCAAGGCGCGAGCCAAAGGTTCGGTGACTTCTTGGACGGATCCAGGGACGGAGTAGACCAGGATTCCGTTACTGCTGAAGGACGGCTTCATGGCGTTGTGAAAATTGGCGTCTTGCTCGCTGAGTTCGGCAGAGGCGGAAAGGCGTTGTCGCTTGGGGTATGGGTTCTATTCTCATTCTCAGCTATGTACGTTACATTTTGGTTTCATGATGACATGAGTGCGGTGATGCGGTGATGGAACGCCCAAAGTGTAAGGTGTTGTCATTTCCTCCAACTCAGCCAATTGCTGAACAATCCAAGATGTAGGCCAGGGGAAGGGAGGGGCAAGATGTGAAGTGGAGTGCATTCTGTCAGGTGATAGGGAGATTGAATCAGCATACCTCAAAGCCTCTGGCAGCACTGGGCGCCTTCTTGGTGGTCTTCTCTTGCGCCCATAGCGAGTTCATGATGTCCATTGAAGTTCGAAAGGCCTGGCTCTTACCCAGACCATCCGTGCTGGCTTTCATGGTGCTGCCACCAAAGCCAACCTTCTTCGCACTCTTCTGAGCAAGGTGGCTCTGGTTGAGTGTGCTCTGTCCCAACATGCTGCGCTTGAAGGGACTCTCAATCACTTCTTCGGGCTCCTCGCGTAGAACGCTCTGCTGTCGATCTCGGAGTGCTTGTCGGTCACGCTTTTTCGGGCTCATCGTGCGTTGGAGTTGATCTTCCCACGAGTCGGTAGCCAGCTTCTGTGGCGAGGCGAAGGTCGAGAATCCAGGTGTCGGCTTGAGGATCGATCGCAGTAGCTTGGGTTCTTCAATAAAAGAACCCGGAAGCTCGGGCTCCGGTTCGGGCTCGTCCTGCGTCTCCTCAGCAATCTCAACTGCACCTGTGTCTTCATCAAGCGCCATACTGGAGTGGTAGCGCTCATAGGCACCTGGAGATGGAGCCTGTACCGCACCGCCTGGTGAAGTGAAAGGATCCTCCTGCTTATTCAAACCAAGGCCACCAGACATCATGGTGTCGTCGTCGAATCCGTCTGTAATCATCTCCTCAGGGTCGTACTTCGTGACGAAACGAGACTCATCAGGAGCATCGAATCCACCGAACCCGCCAGGAACGTGTGGGCCAGGAGCAGCAGAGGCGTTCGACTGCTGCGATCGCCTGCTCTGGATCTTGAACTCGAACGTGTCGTCAACCTCACCGGTTCCGTTCGCTGACTCCAAGCTCTGCATCGTCTCATCTTCCGGAGGCTCGCTAAGTGCGCTTGTCTCATGCTGGATATCCATATCCTCAGTCTCGTCGTCTTCCACCTCATACGTTGTGTAGTGCTCAACCGTGAAAGTCCAGACACCAGTTTGAGCGTCGTAGCTCTTGAAGTTCGTGCCACGAGTCTTCCTCAAGTTCATGACATGCTTGTCGTAAGCAGGCCCGCTACCCGCCATCACAGCCTTTCTCGTGCCCAGGTTCTTGGGGTAAGAGTGCTCGAGGTGGATTGTGCTGGGTACGTTCAGGCCCTGACCGACTGGTGGCTTGGTTTTCTCGTCCGGGTAAACAGTGACGGAGCGCTGCTTGAAGATGCAGATGTTGCCGCAGATGTCTTCGAGCTCGGTCTTGCTGAGATCGACATTGCCAAATTCGATGTATCCCACACCTTCTCGGCCGACGACGAAGTTGCCGACCTTCTCCAACTGCTTGCGTGACATGTTCCTAAGGTCCTTCATTGGAGGCTTCGTCCAGTAGTCGCCCACCCCAGCTGACTTCTTCGGCACCTTCTCTGACGGCTGGTTCGTAGCAGGCGCAGACTTCGTGCGCCTCGTTTCATCATCTTCCTGCACGGTAGACAGAGAAGAACCGTTGACCTGTTGCATCTCGGGTGCGCCGTTAGACTGTGCTTTGGCTTTTGGTTGACTGCGTAACAGGGCCGGCGAACTCTCTTCTTCTTCTTCAGGCTCCTCAGTTCGTACAAGAGCATTGTTCTCGCTTGGCGAGGCGGTCGGTGGTGGGGAATTCTCCGGCTCCGTGAAACGCACAGTGCTGTTCTTTCTCTCAGCACCGGGTGTCTGCTCCTCTGGTGGGGCAAAGAGATCCATGCGAAGGCTCCGGTCGATGGTGAGCTTGCGCATGCTGCCGGATTGAAGGTACTTGCTTGAAGCACTGCCAGGAACCGGACGCAGCAGGCTGTCACCTTGAGGGGTGCCATCTCCACGCAGGTTGTTCATGCTCATGCTCTTAGCAAGGCGACTGGAGAGGGCACTGCCAAGGCTACCAGATGGCTTCAACAAGCTGCTCTGCGCTGGAGTGAGGCTGGTCGAGAAAGCAGATCCCGGAGTGCCGTAGGTAGAGTAGCTGAGGCCGTAAGTGCCGTTGCGGTTCATAGTGCTCGCTCTTGGGGTGTAGATTGGGGAGTTCAATCTCGTGCTCGATAGCAAGCTTGGTGTCTTGGAGGCAGCAGCCCTCGCCCCGTTCAACGGTGTGGCGAGAGGACCAACAGGTGTCGACGTCTGCTGCAGAGAGCCGAAGAGCTGGTCGTTGCCGTATGGGGACATGGTCAGACTGGCGTGCAGCTGGTTATTCTGCGGCGTCTGGTTCTGACTCTGTCCAAAGTTCGAGCCGAACATTGAGTTGTTGTTTTGAGATTGGCTTTGGTTGTTCTGGCCAAGACTTCCAAACAGGCTGCTGCCAGCATTGTTCTGTTGGTTCTGGTTGTTCTGACCCAAGCTACCTCCAAAAAGGCTGCCACCGCCGGTATTGGAAGTGTTGTTGTTGCCGCCAAAGAGGCTAGAGCCCTGGGGTTTGTTCTGGCTGCCACCGAACAAAGAATTTCCACCGGCATTGTTCTGACTGCCTCCGAAGAGACCGCCAGACTGCTGCTGCTGGTCTTGGTTTCCGCCAAAAAGTCCGCCGCCGCCAGTACTCGTGTTTGCGGTGCTGCCACCAAACAGGCTGGAAGTCGCAGGCTTGTTCTGTGTTCCTCCGAAAAGGCCACCTCCGGCATTGTTGTTCTGTGGAGTCGATCCGAAAAGTCCACCAGACTGCTGTGTTTGGTTCTGGTTTGAGCCGAAGAGACCACCACCACCTGCGTTGTTGTTGGTCGTGCTGCCTCCGAATAGACCTCCCGCGGGCTTGCTCTGCGCCTGCGCACCACCAAAGAGGCCTCCTCCAGTCGAAGCATTACCACCGAACGCATTGCCTGACTGCTGCTGGTTCTGATTCTGTCCAAAGAGGCCTCCGGTCGTGTTGGTGTTGGTATTCGTGTTGTTTCCGAACAGACCTCCGCCTCCAGTACCAGTGTTGCCAAACGAGCTCGGGGTATTGTTGTTCGTGGAGCCGAATCCCCCGAATGCTGGCTTGTTCTGCTGCTGGTTGTTGCCGCCAAACAAGCCTCCTCCGGTGTTGGATGTGTTGTTCGCGGTGCCGCCAAAGAGACCACCGGTGCTGCCAGACGTGCTGTTCCCAAAGCCACCTGTGGTGGTGTTTGATGTCGGATTGGCGCCAAATCCTCCGAGGGTCTTCTGTCCGCCGAACAAGCCACCACCCGTACTGTTGGTGCTGCCAAATCCGCCTGTGGTGTTGCTTGTGCTCTGGGTGTTGCCGAAGCCACCGAACGAGCTGCCTCCTGTCTGCTGCTGGTTATTGCCCCCAAACAGTGAGGGTGTGCTGGATGTGTTCTGTGTTTGGTTGTTGCCGAAAGCACTTCCACCAAACCCAGTAGACTGACCGAAGCTACCAGCCTGGCCATTGGTATTGCCGTACCGCCGTCCTTGCATGTAGTCTTCTACTCTCAACTCCTCAAAGCTCTTGCCCTGATATGGTTGCTGCATGGTAATGGATTGGTACGACGAGGTCTGGTTCGAGGTTCCATCCTTCTCCGTGGTCGCTTGGAAAGGCGGGCCTGCCGTACCATTGTTGCTGGCCGCAGGGGTTGATGAGCCAAATCCGCCAAATCCACCACTCGTGTTCGTGTTGGTTGCGCCGAAGCCTGTGCTGGTATTGTTGGAGTTGCTGCCGAACATGCCGCCGCCCGTGGTGTTGTTGTTCGTGCTGCCAAATCCACCACCGGTTGTGCTTGCGCCGCCACCTCCAAATATTGAGCCAGTGTTGGTCGAGCCGAACCCTGTGCTTGCTGCTGGCTTGTTGGCACCGAATATTCCTAGACTCAAGTTAGCTCATGTTCTTTGATTTTGCTCGTCTGAAGGGCGCTTCTGCGAGGTGAAAGGTTACACGTTGGAGTGGTCTGCCAAAAATGATGCTAGATGAAGCCCAGCATCAGAAGTGGCAACCGTTCCGTCAAGCAACTGCCTCGCTCGCACCCCAGAAGCCCCTTCTCGAAAGATATCAACGTACCTCCTCCAGTATTCGAAGCACCGAATCCCGAGCTCGCGGTATTGGTGTTATTCGCGCCAAATCCCCCTCCACTTCCAAATCCTCCACTCGTGCTGGTATTTCCTCCAAACAAATTCCCGCCACTCGTCGCGGCCGGCGTACCAAAGCCGCTAGGCTTCGTACCGAACGGAGAGCTGGTATTGGTAGAGCCGAAGCCACCACCACCGCCAAAACCGCCCGTCGAGCCCGTCGTGGTATTGTTGTTGTTGGCGCCGAAGAGTGAGGGCGTGCTGGAGCTGTTATTGTTGTTGGCGCCGAAACCAGAGCCGGAGCCAGAGCCAAACCCTCCAAAACCTGTGGAGGTATTGTTGTTGTTGCTGCCGAAGCCGAACGACATTTTGAAGGGGAGTGTCGCGGTCGCCGCGTCGGTGGGAAAGCGTGTATGCGCGCAGACTGTGTTGTAAAGTGGTCTGGTCGTGCGGGAAAGCTATCGGCGCGCGTCGATGGGGTGGATGTCGCGTGTGCGCGAGATCGAGGGTGGGTGTTCAGGTGTGGCAGAAGAAGGCGGGCGAGCGGGTCAAAAGAACTTCACACGCCGCGTCGAAACTTCACGTGCAACGCGCCATTCACCGGTCGCCTGTCCTCTGAGGTGTGTACGGGACAATTGCAGCGCGCACAATGGAAATTGGCGAGGGAGAAGGGCGAGGGGTGGTGGGTGTGGGTGAGCAGCGAAGAGCAGCGCGAAAGACAGCAGAGGCGGACGTTCGCTGGCAGAAGAAGCTCGAGCCAATCACGGGCGGAATGTCACGGCCCGCCCCTCTCGCTTAAGTTGCCTAGTCAAATTTGATGGCTCAGGCGGGCAACACGACCACACAAGTAACAACGATCGGACTTCACGCACTCACTCCAACGCAGGAAATTCACAGCCACGGTCTTCTGCTTGGGTCGCAAATTGATGGCGAGGAATGGAAGGAAGAAGTAGAAAGCCTGGTGTTCAGGAAGTGTCGGTCATTTATACTCCCCCCACTAGGCACCAACCAGCTTGCTGCCTTACGCTCGATGAGTCAGCAATTGGGCGATGTCGACGTATGCCTTAAACGAACCACCGGCATTGAACAACAATCGAACTCTCTCCATACATCTACATTCAGGCTCGACCTCGTACTCACATTTTGGTTCTTCCACGTTTCGGTTGGAGCTGATTATTTCGCGGCCTTGGACTTCTCGTCGCTACTACGGTGGGATTGTTAATTCACCATCAGCATGGAAGACCTCGTAGCCTTGAGTGGTATACTAGCCGGCTTGTGTGCCAAAGAAGGCTTCATCGCATCGTATTCTGGAGTTTCATGCAAAAAGAAGAAGAGCACGAAGAGTAAGATACTGTCGGTGCCAAGGACCCATGTGAGGCTGGCTGTGCAGCGTTTCGCTCTGGCACATGAAAGGCAGCCGCTGCAATCACCTGGCCTTTCATGTGCAAGATCGGACACGATTATGATGAATCCACCGTTTCTGCACCTTCTGACTCTTTGGTGATCGACCTGTCTCGTTACATTTCATTCCCCACATACTTTCCAGCTCGAAAGATGGTCATCAACCAACTGCTTTCGCGCAGGAGCGTGCTTCTGTACACCAGCGTTGCCCTCTTGCTTGTTTTCTACCTAAGCTATCAATGGAGATCAACGAGATCAGCAGAGACGGCGCCATCAGAGCCACTTCTTCCGCAAGATCACGAAGTTCCACGGGTACGTCAGGTCTCTGCAGTGCTTTATCGACTCCTAACATCGTCAAGTTCCAGAAAATCTTCGTGATCAACCTACCTTCTCGGACAGACCGCCGTTACGCCGCTTCCCTTGCCGCTGCTTTGACGGATCTCGATATCGAAAATGCCAATGGAGACAACGAGGTCGATAAGAAATCTCTGCCTCCTGGAGCGAAAGAGGTCAACATGAGCAAAGGCGCCATGGGCGCATGGCGGGCTCATACGAACATTGCTCGAACGTAAGCCTCTCCTCGGTTATATCGTGCCGATGGCACCACCCGACGCTGGTGTGTGTGCAGAATGATCGAGCAGCGCATTTCGTCGGCACTGATTCTGGAGGATGATGCGGACTGGGACACTCGCATCAAGCGACAGATGCGTGACTTTGCAAAAGCATCAAGGCTACTTGTACAACCACTTCCCGGAACAACAAACGAATTTCTGGATCCCACGTGGCCGCAGCCTGATGCCGAGCATAGCGATATTGTACACCTCAACATCAACACTTCCTCCACCGGCGAGCCCACAACATCTCCATATGGAGATTTGGATCGATGGGACATGTTGTGGGCGGGACATTGCGGCTGTCGATTCCCAAGACGAGAACGTCCAACTTGGCCGAGCCGTCATATCCGACGATGAAACCGTGCCCCCGAGACGCTCCATCAACATCGAATTCGGCGACACCCAACTTCTAGACCAATACCCCGATTACACGCGCGTCGTGGCCAGGTCGCGTGTGAACACCTGCACTCTAGGATACGCGCTCTCTCAAAACGGGGCACGACAGCTGCTCGCTCAGGTCGGCATGTGGAAAATCGACGGAATGTTGGACATGATGATGCGCTCTGCGTGTGACGGGGTAAGCGGAAGGAGGATCATGACTTGTCTTTCTCCCTAGCCGGCACTCTTCAACCATCATCGCCCGGTGGGCCCGAGATCGTCGTGGAGCAACATCAACAAGGAAGACGATCAAGGCTACAATGACATGCCACTTACGACGAATATACGGTGGGCGACAAGAGTGAATTTGGCTAAGCTGATGCTGGGCGAGACGGACCACATTGACTCGTATGGCGACTGATCTAATGTGCTTGGGGGCCTGCGATCGAAGCCAGCTTAAAAGTAAGCCATCTCACAGGATAGAAACCGCCGCCTCTGGCTGACCCAATGAATCCAGTCCTACTTCGGGTGGAGGTGCAGATGGGGTGGCCAGAGTATGTGTCTCGCCTGCCACGCCCACGCAAGACACCCCTATCGTCGATTATGATCCTGATCGTGCGAGTTGCGTGGCGACTGTTGGTAATCTCGAAAATCCGATCCTTGCCTTTGAAAAACGAGAGTCTGCCTACTCAGTGCCGAGGCTTTTCGCCATTACGCAGAGTTGCTATGCATACTCACGACGTACATGCCTAGAAGCGGCGTGCAACATCCTACACCATCAGATTGCTCTTTCGTCCGGAAATTTTGGTACTGCCAGCCCTCAAACGGGCGACTGGCGATTCGTGTCGCTGATGAGCCACGATTTCCTGCTTGGTGGTATGATCATTTGCCTCGATGTTGATCAAGATCTCAAGTCAAGCACTGCTGAATCGCCGCTTTTAAGCACGGCTGCGACCTCCGAACGCAGAGACAAAGTCGAGCTACTGTGCGCAGCTCATCGTGCGTGGAGCGTGTTCAAGACTACGAGCGACGCCGGTCAGAGAGGCGCAGCACTCGTAGCATCATTGATCGCTCGGATACAAAGGCGAATGGGTGAATCGAATGGAGCAACGGACCCAATCGTGCCCGAGGACTCTCGGCTTCAGCCTCGTGCTTTTTCAGGTGAGGTAGCTGCACAGCTCTCGCAGCCAACCGACTCACTACCCGGAGCGGTATCTTCGGGACACTCCAACGAATCGTATCAAAATTTTGGGAGGGATATTGAGTTCACTACGAACGAAATACTTCAGATACCCTGTCAGGTGGATCCTAATGCCGGTGAACTACCGATGGGCGGGATAACATACGATATGAGTGAGAACGGTGAATCAGGCTTCGATTGGATAACATGGTATACGCAAGGTGCTGCACCGTTTGTCAACTTGCAGTGAGACTGCATTTACCGAAAGACACTTGAGAACCGACGTTGAGATCTACTCGTCAACCTCGATTATTCGATTTCATGCCCACTTTGATTCCAAACATCGCTCAGAAGGTTTTGGTTCTCAGAGCGCTGCATGTTTTACAAGACTGTCCACCACAACGCCTCCACGCAGGCGCTCTACTCGGCGGCAAGGTCTCGACCACTCCAGTACTCTTCTGTTGACTTCCGTCCTCGGGCAGCGGGCTCCCCTAGTCTTTATCAAGTAAAGAACTAGACTTGGAAGCTGAGCGGCTCTATCGCGGATAAGAACACGAATATCCCCTCCCATTCTTGCAAGGCTGCATACCACTTCTCCCGTTAAAGGAGGAAGGTTCCTTGGCGTTTCGGACGGTCGATGACCGTCCGAGACCGCAAGCCGACTCATCTCTGATCTCGGTCCGAGTCAGCTCCGCAACTCTTACACACATCGTAGACACAACATTCCCATTGCATTCGTCCATTCTTGGGGCACGTTCATTCGTTGATTCTACTGCTAGAGATGACATGTGCGAAGTTTTCCAAGATAGCCAGACTCCCTCGTATGGAGGGACTCGCAATAATCTCAGCAGCGTCCTCGAGCGGAGCGGTATGACATTTAGAATACTGCCAGTCAGCCGATAGACAGACTTTGATAACGATTGCAGCCGCGTTCAGGGGCTGAGCATGGTCCACGATCGCTTCTATCATCTGGGCTTGAGGACAAATTACGCCACCACTTCGACGACAGCATTTTTGTCGACACATCAGATGGACGCATTTGCGGTCCGCCGCGTCGAAGGCTCGATGCGTCAAATATGAAAAATGCCTGGGCCGTCAGCCGAGAGACGAGAAAGTTGAGTGAGCTTGTTCACAGTCTGCGTGAGCAAGGCCGATTTACCCTCGTCCTAGGTGGCGACCATTCCATTGCGATTGGTTCGTTGACAGGTGTCGCGAGAGCAACCAGGCAGACGCACAACGGGCGTGGTGTGTCTGTAGTCTGGGTCGATGCGCATGCAGATATCAACACGCCATCCACCAGTCTCAGTGGATACCTTCACGGAATGCCGCTTGCGTTTGCTTCCGGTCTCGCAGAGGGTGTTGCGCCGTTCGATTGGATTCGCGCAGACCACTGGATCGATCTATCGAGATTGGTCTATATTGCATTGCGCGACGTGGACGAAGAAGAAAGAAAAACTGTGGCAAGCCACGGAATCAAGGTCTTTGATATGGAAGACATTGCTAGGTAGCTATTCGCCGAGGAGCACTCTCTACTCTTTATGAGTTCGCTGAAGCTCGTCGCTGACCTTCGAGTATAGATTGGGCATTCAAAAAGTCATGGAGCTGGTATTACAGCACATTGGCGACGCCTCTGCAATCCACCTGTCTTTCGATATCGATAGTTTGGACCCCAAGTACGCCCCATGTACCGGATTCCCGGTTGAGGGGGGATTGTCGTTGAGCGACTCTTGCTATATTGGCCGCTGTCTACACAAATCAGGGAGACTTGTTGCCATGGATCTGGTCGAGATCAATCCACTCTTAGAGTCTGATGGGCTCCAGCAGACGCTCGGGTCGGCACAGCTGATTGTCAGTCATGCTCTGGGGTTCAATGAAGAATAAGAGGCGTTACAGGATAAGTTCGCTCAAGATTCCAAGAAGGAAATAACGCAGATGACCCTGATTATGAAAAGACCATTAGCCTCTGCCGAGTCTGAAGTACACACTGCGTAGTACGACGTAGTCTTCGTCGAAGTCGACAGCAAGACAAATTTATCGCTAGTCTATTTCTTCCTGAACCTTCATAGTGGTAAGTACGTTCCTTACAAGCTCCAAATGATAGCGCAAGAATTGGGCTGCAATCATAACAGGCAAACGTAGAATCATGCTCAAACTTTACAAACCGCCATGCCCTCCATTAGATCTATGATCGCCAGCAGTACGAAGGCGTACCAAGACGAAAAAGGTCTCGATTTCGGACGGTCGTCGCCGGCCATACGGATGATAAATGATGGTCGTTCGGATGGTCGGGGATTACGCAGCCGTTCTCCGAGACCGGATTACGGTAAGGCTCAACTTGATTTGACAGACTGAGTATTGTGATGATGCCTCGAAGGTCAGAACAATCCACCTCTCGGTCATGTAGTGTCTCAGCTTCCCAAAGCCGCGATTCAAACTCCCAGTGGAGCTGGACCTTTGACTAGGGACAATCCAGAGTCCCGTGCCATTTAGTGTAAACGGATGCGAGGCTGGCACACTTGTAACAAGCCTTGGCTCTGAATCCTAACTATCGACCATCGTCGCCCATGTGGTCTTCGGACGTGTTCAGAAGCGGCCGGTCACCGCCCGTATGAATACGACCAGGTGTCGACTTCCTTTGGCTTGGTACTTCAGGCACTGTACCCGGAGCGTCGAGTCGCGATAACATGACAGATCGGCAAGCACGAACCTTCGTGTGTTGAGTAAGAATTTGCAGCCCCATCGCTCTGGGCTGATACATTCAAACGTTGCGTCTATTGTTCAATAATACAAGGTCCTAGAGTCACAAATCCGCTTCACAAGTCCCCCTTTGATCAAGATGCCTGCTACTACGTCGACAAAGCCGTCGAAACACATCTGCCTAGACTGCGGCCGTGCTTACAAGGCTGTAGAGACTCTCAATCGGCATTCCAAGAACCATTCAGAGACCACGCCATACGTATGCTCCGTCTGCGATGCCTCATTCAAGAGAAAGGATCTTCTCGACCGTCACGCTCGAATACACTTGAAAGCGAGACCAGGGTTGACCAGGAACCGAAGTCGACGGGCGTGTGACCGCTGCTTTGGTATGAAGACGAGGTGTGACAACATGACACCCTGCACTAGATGCTCGAAGGGTGGTTATGACTGCACGCATACACGCATCCGAAGTAGAGGGCGCAATCCTGAATTGGCCGCAAGCATCGGTTCTTCATCCATCAACAACCATCGTTCAATCACTGGAGAGCTTGCCAGTACGGTCAATGCCCTGGACAACATCGACACTGGGAGCAGACATGGTCTCACCGCGACAGCGACATCCTGGATAGTCGATGTTTGCAAGAGCCCATGTGGGCGTGGCCTCTGACGATCCAAAATGCGCCGGTCAAAGGGCTCGACCGAAGCTCTATGAGAAGCGATTCGTTCTCCACCGAAGATGCCATCGAATCCAACTTCGTCCTGGACCCTGCACTGCATTCAAGTGGCACGTATAACGAAACTTCCTTCTCGGTCCTTTCTGGTGATCTTTTTGACGAGATGCCTCACAACGCCGCATCTTGGTACTCCGGTCCAAACGGATGTGCCAACGGCTTTCCAACAAGCGCCTCGAGCAGCTGTTACACTCCTAATACCACATTCCACCACAAACGAACGAACAATTCTCGGTCTACGCCTACGCTAACCTCTACGACGAAGCTATCCGGTATCGCAACGCGCATCGCACAAGAATCATCCATTCGAGAGCTGGCCCTGCTTTCCACCTCAGACTTCGACGTCCCAAACCACAACCGCGGTGACCGCGAATGGCTCTGGCAGTCCATCTCAAGCAAAATAGAGCTCGCGTTCGGGCTCGAAAGGCTATTAGTCTCCAAAACCTCCAACATCCTCGACCATTTCGTCAAACTGTTCTTCGAAATCTCCCACGCTCCCTGGCCGACCAATCGATCCAACCTTCTCGCAGTAGATGCATTCCCGTCGCATCTGTACCTCACAATGGCAGTAATCGGATCGGCCTACGCGGGTCCAGAAGCCCAGGCTTTCCATCTGCAAGCGCTGTACGCGTTACGACCGAGGCTTGTGGATGCAGCCTTGCATCAGACACTCAGCATTGAGACTACAATCCCACTGATCCAATCTCTGGCTCTCCTGCACACGGCGATGCCCTACTCTAGAGACTGCAAAGCTTTGGCCGACGCGTCGGAGCTGTTTGATCTCGTTGTGATGCTTAGTCGGAGAGTTTGCCAGAAGTTGAGAGCAGAAAGGGATCTCTCGCGCCTGGCGTTGTGGGGCTGAGCACTGTAGTGGCCTCTCAATTCAAAGGAGAGGTATATCTTTAGATATCACAAATCGCAGTCACGGATCGACGAGCTGAAGGTGATCTCGCAGTTTTTGTCGTGGCGAGTAGGTCGGATAATGGTCATGTACCTGCCATACATACAGCCGATGCAGGACTACTCGATAGATGAGGTGAAGGGTTACGGCTGGACTGACTACGTATGGGCGAACGAGCACGGGGCGCGACAAACGGACCAGCTCAACTTCCGCTTTCAGACCACGGCCATTCTTGTGACTGTTTCTGATTTCATCATCTACTCGCTCTCTGCTCTGCTATTCGATACAAATGGAACCGCTCATGCACAGGGTGAACGCTCATGCCCTCACTCCGCTCCATGCTTTTCCAAGATACTGCTCTGTCCCGAAGTTGCCCGTCGTTGGCCTCCTTGATCGACTCCGTTTGGGCGACGTGGTGCTTGGACCTGTGAATGATGTTCATTCATCAACGACGGCGTACCTCCTCGGACTGGCATTTTCCACATCGAAACACCCATCCATACCCATCATCCTAAGGACTGCCTGCAGGATGCGGTGCTCCATCACTCGGCGGCTCTGGACTGCCTCCTGAGTTACCCGGCGATGGAAGTCCAAATGGAGGAGGCGTCGTCATGCCTTCGGGTATCTTAACGGGCGTGTCGACATCCACCTTGATCTTGTCCGTCAACTTCTCACCACGTACCACCTTCTCCATCTCTTCCTTTGAAAGCGTCTCGTACTCGACCAAAGCAGTCGCCAGCCTGTCGAGACCTTCACGGTTCGTGGTGAGGAGTTTGACTGCCCGCTCGCGACCTTCCTCAACCAACCGCCGTACTTCATGCTCAATCTGCTGCTTCGTCTCGCTTGACAGTCGTGCATAGTCGGATGACAGGTCAATGTTGCCCAGAGCTTCACTCATGCCGGCTTGGGTGACCATCATATACGCCAGTCGAGTGGCATTGGTGATGTCTGAGCTGGCTCCAGTCGTGACGTTCTCAGCACCGTAGATGAGCTCCTCGGCAACCTTGCCACCCATACACACATCAATCTGCGCCATGATTTCCTTCTTCGTCTCGCTGACCTTGTCCAGCTCTGGCAGCATCTGCGTGATGCCCAAAGCATGTCCTCTCGGCATGATAGTCGCCTTGTAGAGTGGTGTGGATGCTTCGGTCAACATGGCAACCAGCGCATGTCCACCCTCATGGTAGGCAGTCATGAGCTTGTCCTTTTGCTGGATGACTGCACTTCTTCGCTCAGCGCCCATCAAGATCTTGTCCTTTGCCCAGGTCAGATCTTCGATAGTGACCTTCTGCTGCTTGTTCTTCGATGCGCGCACGGCAGCTTGGTTGACGATATTCTCGATTTCGGCACCTGAAAAGCCAGGGCATCCACGTGCGATGATGGCTGGATCAACAGTACCGTCCGTTCGAATGTTCTTGAGGTGATGCTTGAGGATGGCAATGCGGCCTCGTACGTCGGGAAGTGGAACAACAACGTTCCTGTCGAAACGTCCAGGTCGCGTAAGCGCTTTATCGAGGGATTGCGGGAAGTTGGTTGCGCCGATGATGATCACATTGGAGTTCTGGTCGAAGCCGTCGAGTTCGGTCAGCAGCTGGTTGAGCGTCTGCTTAGCGTAGGCAGCGTCTCTCTCGTGTCGCTTGCTACCAATGGCGTCCAACTCGTCGATAAAGATGATGGCTGGGCTCTTCGCTCTCGCAGCAGCAAACAAATCTCGAACACGCTTGGCTCCCACACCCACATAGACCTCATCGAACTCAGATCCTGACATGTAGAAGAATGGAACACCAGCTTCTCCAGCAACAGCACGAGCCAAGAGAGTCTTTCCAGTACCTGGAGGTCCTACCAGCAGAACACCCTTTGGCAGCTTTCCACCAAGCGTGCTGAACTTCTCAGGAGCCTTCAAGAACTCGACCAACTCTTGCAGTTCTTCCTTTGCCTCTTCGCAGCCGTGGACATCGGTGAAACGTGTGTTCTGGAGCTCAGGCTTGGCTTCCGCATTCTGTGCGCCACCAACCTTCTTCAGCACGCCCGTCGCCTCAACGAGCAAGGTGAAGACCACCAGTGCGCAGTATGCGATCAGACCGAAAGTCAGGATGAACTTGACCCATCTGAATATCGTGCTGCCCATGCTCTCATCCACAACCACGTAGAGTGGCTCGTTCTTTGCCCCAGAACCTTGCTTCGAGATGCTGACATTGCCGCCCTGTGTCTTCGCAGAAACAGCCTGGCCGATAGCCTGCAGTTGTTCATTGCTCATGGTATTGCTTTGTCCAGCTGGAATCCGCCCTGCCAAACTTCCAACACCAGCATTTCCAACTTCCGCAGCGCCTATCCGCTCGAGAGCCTTCTGGAAGGCCTGTTCAGTGGCGGGGTTCGTAGCGTAGCGTCCGGTTTGATATCTCTCAACCACAATCTCAGGCATATTGGCGCGGAGCAGAGCCTGGTAGAAGGCGTTCTGCGCAGTCGCACTGCCGGGGTTGTTATTCGCCGTCTGTTCCATGTGCGCGAGGATGTTTCGATTGCTTTGCGAGTTGCCCCAAGATGTTCCAAAGAGCGTTCGTTGCTGGTTGAATCCGACGAAGCTGGTTTTGGGAGGTGCTCTGAGAGTAAAAGGACCGAGTCGGGTGTTTGTAGAAAAGGATCGCGATGTCGAGGAGAAGGATGAGAAAGATCTCGTGACTGGGGATGCGTAACGAAGGGTGCCTCGTGGCAGAGCGGAGAGCATGGAGCTGGTTGAGTAGCCTCCTTGTAGTGCAGATGCATTCGGTCGACTTGGCCTCAACGTCGCGAGAGGTACCGACGCCATGTAGTCTGGTAACGAAGGAGATTCGACATGTGTAGGTCCAACGCCCTTCTCCTGCTGTGACACCTCCGCCGGTATCTGCTTCCTTCCGCCAGCAGCCACCGCACTCTTCCCTGCTCCTCTAAATGGTGCCGCCAGCACATTTGCCATCGACGGCCACATCTCAGTCGTCGCCGCGGCGATTTGGCTTGCGCCCACAGGCGCGAACGCCATGTTGGCGGATGCCGCTATCGGTGGTGCGGACTGGCCGCTGCTGGAACGAAGGGGCTGTCAGCGAAGTGGATGTGTTGGAGAATGATATCGAGCGACGGTGGTGATGCGTGACGGTGAAATGCCGAGCGGTTTGGCAGTGCAAAGCACTGTTGCGGTTCAGAGGCAAGAGAGAGATGCGAAAGTGTCATCAGTCCGGCTTAGATTCGGCAGTTGCGCTAGTGGCGTTTGTTTCACTGTGTCACGTGCGCATTGTTGAACATTCACGTCGTTTTCATTTGCTAGCTAGAATCCACTCGACTACGCTCGAACGCTGTACTGTTCCAATATCCAGCTGTTCATCGCGGCGATCATCGCAAAACACCAAACGCCCATCCGGAAACCATCACCAATGTGATCAATCCAACGATCGCCGACCACGAACTTCCTTTCGCTTGCGAGGCTCTATTTACGACGTTAGTATTTCCAGAAGATGACGAAGACGATGGCGAGGAGGAATCAGGAGATGCTCTAGGTGATGTAGGTGCAGCTGTGCTCGTTGGGGGTGATAACGGGAACGTACTAGTGGCCGGAACAACCTGGATCTTGACATTGTCCTGGTGGCGCGGAATCTTCTGAGAGGCCTGGTCCAGCAGTAGAAGGGCCTGAACGGTCTCCATAGCAGAAAGCTCCTGGCCTACGCCGCATTTCGAGTCATACCCTCCAATGTACCACTTCTGTCCGCACGTTTGGCCGTTGTCTCCGCCGGTGCACGACTGACAAGCTGCTTGAGCTGATGCAGACAGATACTTGCGGACGGATGGGGCGATCGACGGATAAACCACAGATGTCTTTGCCAGCCATCTGGAAAGGTAGGCCTTGAACGAGAACTGATCGTCGTTGCAAGTGTCTACTGGCTCACAGGCTTGCTCGTACATGCTATGATGTGTCAGCTTGGGCGGTTTTAGTACGGTATTGGTACTTACATATTCGTTGCGTTCTTGTAGGGCGAGAAGAATGTGTTCTCTATCGAAGTCAGCAGACCTTCAGTCCGATTCTTCCAGATTGGCTCGTTGGTGAAGTTGGCCAGCATTGCTGTCCCGTAAATCAACATGGCGGGGTTGTAAGACCACTGCGTGTGATCCAGCTCGGTGCAGTTCTTCAGGTCGTCACTGCCGTCGAAGACTTGGTATGTCGGGCTGATGAGGCCAACTCCAGACATCCATTCCCAGGTCTTCCCCGCCCATTCGACGTACGTCTGGTTGCCGGTATACCGAGCCAGGCGAGCAGCGATTTGGAACAGGGCGCCGTTGCTGATGCTGTTCTTGTAGTCCCAGCCCTTGTTCGACTCGAAGATCTGCCACCTCAAACCGCCGTTGCAGTGCGAAGTCTCCCAGCGTGGTGTCTGTGAGTCGAACACAGCTTTGGCAAGGTCGAGCCAGACGGCACCGTTCTGTCCTGAAGGTGCTGGAAAGCCGTACTCGTGAGCCGAAAGTACTGCCAGCGCCCAGAATGATTGATCGTCGTTGCCCAAGCTGCTGAAGTAGGCTGGTGGCATGTAGTTGAAGTCAGGACCAACTTGTGCCATCAACGCCTGCGTGGTCACCGCGTTGTAGCTGGTATCATTGGTATAGGCCCAGTAATCGATCATTCCTCCCCATACAGCACCAGCTTCCCACCAGTAGAGCGGTGCTGGAAGCGTGCCGACGGCCGTCGCTGGAATGCCGGTAACGTTGTTGTGATACCAGCTCTGCACACCGAATGCGAGAGTGCGTGAAGCAGCCTTGATGGAGTCGACGTTGTTGACATCGATTTGGACGGCGGCGGCAAGCTGCAGGCTAGCTGCTACGAGGGCAGTCGTGGTGGCGAAGAAGGACTTCATTGTTGTATCGTGTATGCGCTGTCGATGAATTTTGTCGGAAGGTCGAAAAAGAGGAATGATTCTTCTAAAAAAAAAAGAATAGAAACGCCGCAAACAATGCAAGATTGCCACGGATTGCGTGTCCTCCTTCACTGCCGGTGCACAGGTTCGCCGCTTTTCACGAGGCGTTGTTTGTTCGACGATGGCGCCGCTTGTGAAGAAGCGAGACCTTGCCGGAAGGACGCTGCTGAAAAAGGAAGAGCAGTGAATGAAAAGGAAGATGCCGTACTTCACTTGTCGTCGATGGTCTGGTGTCGGTGTTATAGCGAAGTCGAAAAAGGCGAAACCCTGAGTCTCGATCAGCAAACTTTCTGAAGCTGTTCTGTTCATGTGAGTTTCATGCGGCTCGAAGGGCCAATCATGTGAAGAAGGCCAAACATGGTGACGATGGAGGCTTGTAAGAGCCGCGGGGGTATATGATCGGCGAAGAGCTGCCGCGTTTCAGAATGCCATGCAAACCATCCATGTATCAAATGGTCGTCTTTCTGTGCCTGGCAGGAAGCGCCGTGTTCCGGGTACCGCAGATGCCAGCCAGGATTTACCAGATTGGTTCTCTGCCTTATTTGAACGTCTCTTATACTTCTAATCTCTGTTGTTCAGACATTAGGCGCGTGGGCGTGCTGCAGCTCAGTTGCAGCTTCCGGAGCGGAGGTCGAAGACGGCGAAGATGGGACACTTTCGAGCTACACCACCGCCTTTTGCGCACTCAGCTTCCAGACTGGCGCTTGTAAGCCGGCATCCTGAGCCATGTCACCTGCTCTCATGGCCCTAGTGCACAATGGAGAGTAAAGCTATGCTCATACCCGTCCATCGATACCGAAAGCTTTCTCCCTCGGTCCGGAGCGATTTCGCAGAACCTAGGAAATCAGGAGACTGATAACACGAAGCCTGTGGATGTGAGATGGCCTCATCACGTTCGAAAGAGCGATGAAAGCAGCAAAATGAACTTGATCAACCTGGGACGATTCTGCATGCCGAGAGGAAGATGGGAAATCGCAGGTGAGGTCAAAGACAACAACGGCTGGCGCACGGTTCAGCTCGAACTCTACCACCTTCCAGTCCTCAACAGCTCCATCCCAGCATCACGACACACAAGCACCAACCCAAGCAGAGCCATACCATCGACCACGGTTCCGATAAAGTGGAGCTAGATTCTTGATCAGCAGACCAAAGCCGAGAGCAAGCCTCCTCCTCAAAATCACCACGACATGCTCTGGATTCGCATGGCATCGAACATCCATCAGGATATCATGAAGGCGAGCGCCGAGCAAGAGCTAGAAGAGACATCGAGACCGGTATACACATCACTTTGACGTGGTGAAAGGCGTCTTTTCAATTGCCAAGCACGGGTAGACATGTCCTGGACAGGCATCTCAGCTCGAAGAAAGACGTGATCTCTACTCTCACAATATCCGCATGCGGATAGAGTTCGGGCAGGCTGCAAGGCAGTCTGCTGCGCTGCCTCTGCGCGCCTGAGAATGCTGAACTTGCGACCTGAGGATATAAAGTGTCCGTAACAGCGAGGCGCCGAACACGATACTTTTCCGCCTATTCCGTGATACAGCACAAGCGAAATGCAGTCAATGACGGTAAAACCGTGCTCCACGCATGGTGCAGCCATTCAAGTCAGCTTCTTCTGAATGAGTTGACGGCCGCAAGGCGACCTGTATCGAACGCTTCCCGCCGTGTGCTACCATTTCAGAATATACATGACGGGATTTTCGAAACTCGACTTGATGACAGCACTTCCAGAACTGGAGCTAGGTACTCATTCTCATTTCGTGGCTATGCTTCGACGTGCCTCAGCTAAAGCAAAGCGCCTCCTGCCGTGCGCCACACGAGAAGGTTTCATGATCCTCGAGCTCAGCCCAGCTAAGCCGCCGTCGCAGCATTTCTCGCAGGTTCTCTTTCTCGTCACTTGTGCAATAACAGTCACAAAAGCCTGTGAGGGTGCCAGACTTGTGGTCTCGGAGCGTAACCAAACTGAGACATCCAAACATTCTACGGACAACTCGAAACAATGCCAAAGCTGAAATCTTCCCCCCGCCATGTCAACAAGCGCAGCAAGCCACGGCCGAAGAAATCATTATACCACCCGGTCGACTCCACAAAACTCGAAATCCGCCTCCTTCACATCGACACGCACCCAACAGACCGCGCAGGTAGAATCGAGTGCCGACTCGAGCACGTCTCTCTACTCGATCAGCCCCCAAATTTCTACGAAGCCATATCCTGGTGCTGGGGTGACCCAACCCCTCGAAAGGACATAGTACTCGATGGAGCACGCTTCAAAGTCTCGATGAACGCAGAGGAAGTCATTCGGCACCTGTGCTTCGAGCAAGGCCATGCCATCGTTTGGCTCGACGCTGTCTGTATCGATCAGTCGAATATTCAGGAGAGGGCCGAGCAAGTGGCCATCATGAAAGATGTGTATCCACGCGCGGAGAGAGTGCTGGTTTGGCTCGGAAACAATATGGATAGCAGCGCAGAAGCAGCGATGGAGTCAATTGATAAGATACTAGCTCAATGCAGCGAGTCAGCGAAAACGCCCGAAGACTACGACAGCGTATTTTTCTACTCTGACGGCCGCGGCCGATTTACGCGGCTGGAACTACCGCACTGTGACTGGGCGGCCGTGGAGACATTCTTTTCAGCACCGCTCTTCGTCCGCGTCTGGTTTATTCAAGAAGTCGTGCTCAGTAAACAAGCGTCTTGCTTCTGCGGTCGGTTCTCGAGAACCTGGAATGATGTCATCCTTGCGGCACAATGGCTTAACCATCGAAGCTACTGGCAAGATGCGTGTATAGGTCACTTGGTGACAGGACTCGAAAATCTCAGTAGTATCTGGCAGTTTACTAGCGGGAAGGACTTCTTTGCCAATTGGCTCGTCATGGGCACAGAGATGCAGACGTCTTTACCATCAGACAAAGTTTACGGCCTGCTGGGTCTTTTGCAGATGGACGAAAATCGTCGATTGGAGCTGAAGCCTGATTACAATGCTCGGCTGGATTTGGTCTACACGACCGCCACAAGGCTGGCTATCGAAGAACTTGCAGGTCACTTAGATCAGTTGTACTTACTACCATTCACTCGATACTTGGTGCCTCCCGAAGGTCGAGAGCCGGATAGCTGCGATAGACTTTCGTGGCCTTCGTGGGTGCTACGGTACGATTGGTCGCTCGACTCTACTCGAAGTCCCGCTCCCGTCTCAATATTCGGTAATGGAGTCGCCGAAGGTTTACCTGCGACCATTCGGGAGTTTGATCCAGTCAGACCTCATATATTGAGCGTCAAGGGACTCGTAGTTTCTCGGTGTTGCTGGCGAGGCGAATTGCTACCTCTTGCACTCTTTGAAAGAGATGACGATCTTCATTGTTTCGCAAAAGCGTTACTCCACTGCCGATCGGTAGCACAAGCGCAGGACCATTCCAACGAGAATATAGCAGTAACCCTGACGAGTCGTTGCAATGTAGCTGGCCATGATGCCCTGGAAGACGTAGAATTCATGGAGAGCTATTACAGATGCCTGGCTGCATGTGAGGAGATGGTTAAAGCAGACCAGGAGTCTCAGTCATCTATAAACGTAGCCGCAGCTGTGGCCGACTATCGACAAGCCATGTCCTACGGCACATGCAACCGAGTGTTCTTCATGACTGCATCGGGTCACATGGGCACAGCACCAGGCGGTATGGAAAGGGACGACACTGTTGCAATTTTATTTGGAAGTGTACTCCCTATGGTCCTTCGCGAACAGAAGGACGGCCAATGGAGACTCATTGGCAATGCCTACGTGCATGGAATCATGGAAGTAAGCATATGCTCGCAAAACACCCCTAACCACCACAATAGCTAACATGGAACGAAATCAGGGCGAGTACTTTCGACAGCTAAAAGAGGAAGGTCGTCTGGAAGAAGAGACGCAATGGTTCGATATCTGTTGATACAAGAACACCAACCCGACGAGATCGAACAAAGAATACAGGGCTGATCCTTTACGACACCCGAGGGCATCTGAGTCCGTCGGGCTGATGTCTCCCAGCAAAATCCATGACAACCCATCGCCGGGGGAAGAGCGAGCGAGCGACTCTGAACCTCCAAATCGCACGATCTACAGTTCCGTTCTCCTTGTACGCCAGCGTCGTCGGACGTAGCAAGCAGAATTAGCGCCAGGTAGAATTCCTTTCATGTGTGAATATCCCATCCTTCCATCCTTTTCAACTCTTCCAAAACTTCGATTCGCGAGATTGTCATCGTACATGATCATTACCTCAACCGCCGCACCCTTTCCATCAAGAGAACCCCGTCCTTCGGGACGTAAGGGTGGGGAGGAAAGGCCGTCGAAGACGCCATCGGCATGAAATGTCGGGCCTATAGGCATAGATACTGACTGCGTCGCTATCCACTACTCCATGCCTCTCGGCCAGAGGACCTGAACTCTTCAGCCTCGCTCAGACGCAGGCGCCTTGCGCCCTCATATTGTGTAACACCACCATCGCTTCGCCCGTTCGGATGTGGTTTACGTCGCTACAATAGCGAGGAGGTACCATAGCCTAATGATCATTCAAAGAATTGGCAGGGGTATCGCATCACGTGGAGCTAGCTAGCTGTGCAAAGAACAATCACCACTTCATAGCCATATTCACCGTCGCAGCATACCGGCCAAAAAATGCCCCTCGTCACTACACTCCAACTCAACTCACTGCGCATGACTCGCTTCTCCAACTTGCCCCGCCCCCCGCTCCCTCGCCCTCTCAATAAACCTCTGATGCATATTCCGATGACTCCCCAACATGGTCCTCTCCACAAACCCCTTCAACAACAAACTACACCTCGTCTCAATCTCCTCCTCCAACGCCCACCCGCTCCCACTCCCCTCCAACCCCTCCTCCTTCCACCGCACCACATACTTGGCATGCATATTCACGCCCATCGGCGCCGTCACCCACGTCCACACCCCGTCATCCTTATTCTCAAAGGACCCCTGAAATGTCACGCTGCGCTTCCAGATGGGCGGCAGGATGGGGATGGACTCGGTGATGTTGTAGATTTCGCGGGGGCCTTCTTGTTGGACTTTTTCGTGGGATGTGACGATGGTGTTGAGCGAGAGGATGTAGCTGTGGTCGTGCAGGATTTTTACGATGGCCGATGGGTCGACGTCTGCGGGGATCGGGGTCGTGACTTTGTTTTGCCAGGTTGTTGATGACATGGTTGTTGGTGGCTTATGGGATGGATGGGAGGGGCCGGCGGGAAGTCCGGCTTTCGATATCGATACGGGCAGTTGGTTTGGCTATGGGGAAGATCCTGGCTATGGGTTCTTGACGTCTTGGCGCCGTGTAGTGTCTATTGAGGATGTCGTTCTTGCTTTTTCTTTGCTTTTGTTTGAGGCAATCGAATTCTCAGCCGCTCGTTCAGAGGGTTTCGTGGACTTTGCCGCTATTTATAGCCTTCGTCATGGCGGTGGCTGGTCTTCTCAGGCAAGTCACCAAGCTATGAGGCGTTTACATGAAGAAATGGATGGTATGATTGAACGGTATAGTTCATCAGAAGGAGTACATGAGCCCGGTTAACGCGAGAGCCGGTCGTTCGGCAGCAGGTGAGATTGACAATGCAGACCCCGGTCGATTCAAGTTCGGAGGGAAGGCCGCAATGGAATTGGCCCTCGACTGCCAACTCTGCTTGCGCGACTGGAACTCGAGCATTTGCGCTCCTACATTCTCTCACACGCCTCTATCATCACCGACAAGATGCTGCATCGATCGTCGCTGGATTCTCGCCGCCGGTTGCTGGCTCTATCAAGCGGCGGGACATGTCGGTGAGAGAAGGTTCCCGCCAAGTTGGGCAACCCTCCACTTCCACCACGGACATCGATCGGATTCCCAACTGCTCCCTCTCAACCCGTTGCACCACCCATCTCCCAAGCTGCTTGGCCCATTTCGCTCGACTTGTCCGCCGTCGCCACCTGCTATTCCTACTTCTTCCTCCTTTGCCACGTCGACGACCTAAAGCGTGCCTCGAAAAAAGCGGCGACAAAGAGACGGGAGTCGATTAGCGGGACGCCCACACACAAAAAGACCCAGCCAGAACTCTATTCCTCGCAGGAGCAGCAGCGCCAACAATGTCCTCAGGTAGGCCGTTCCTCACTATTGCTATGTCCTCGCGGACGACTACTTTCCTGCACCCTCGACCACCGTGATGGGCGCCAGGCCGGCGCTGCGTGCGTTCGGCTGCTCGCGTGTCTGGATGACTCGTCCAGCGTCGCTGACACCACTGCCCGCCGCTGCTGTCCCTGCTGCGACCCGGAAGTTTCACCGCACCGCACCTCGTCCCCATGCTACTGACCGTACGCCCTGAACCGCACATCCGTCGTGCTACAGCCATGCGATAAGCGACCCAAGACTGACATGTAGTCTGCACAGGTGACGCCTACAAGCGCTGCCTCGACAGCAACCACCAGTGGGCCGACAAGGTCGCAAAGGAGGACCCCGAATTCCTCAACACCCAAGCCAAGGGCCAGGCTCCCCCCATTCTCTGGCTAGGATGCGCCGATTCTCGAGTCCCCGAGACCACCATCTTGGGTTGCAAGCCCGGTGATGTCTTCACCCACCGCAACATCGCCAACATCATCAACCCGACCGACATCTCCCTGCTGTCGATCGTCCAGTTTGCCGTCTTCCACTTGAAGGTCAAGCACATTGTGGTCTGCGGACACACCTCTTGCGGTGGAGTCGCCGGATCGCTGGCCAACTCGAAGCTCGACATCCTCGATATCTGGCTGCAGCCATTGAGAGCGCTGCGTGAGAAGTACGCTGACGAGTTGGAGTCGATGGATGCCAGCGAGAGGGGCACGTTCCTCGCCAAGAAGAACGTTATCGCGGGTGTTGAGACGCTTGAAAGGATACCCACCGTCATCGATGCTATGCGTGAGAGGGGAGTCACGGTGCATGGTCTCCTGTATAACCTTGCTACCGGCAAGCTGGAGGAGGTGGAGTTTGACGAGGATGAGAAGACGGCCAACAAGCGTGTCACTGCTTTTGAGAGGAAGTAGACAAATACCACCCCTCAAATGCTTGAAAGGGATGGAGTAGGCCGGGGGACGTCTTGGAATGGGCATCGATGTTGGAAGTAAGGCTTTGTCTACACTAGATGCGAGATACGCGGTACGATACATCATCAAAACTCTTGCCACCTCATCTCTTCCTCCCAAACCGCTTCACCCAACATAGCGTCTAGGACCACCTCTACCCGCGAATTGAGTTTCTGACAACGTTCTCAGCATGATGAAACAATCCCTTCCTTGGACAACTCTTGGCCGCCACGCAACCACATCCACGAAGAAACACAAGAGCCCTCGGTGTGTTCATGTTCTTGATAACGAGGAGACTGCGTCATCTTGCAGGCGGTTCGGTGTGTTTGAGGAATACAGACCAGGGTTGGTTGCGTGGGTGCGTGTGTCAGCAGAGGGAGGGTTGACTGATAGCCAGCGTACATGACATGGCACAGGCGTCTCTGTGCACAAGTCTTTTCTGCGCCATCTACTCGACTTCGGGGAATGCCGCACTGCACTGAGAGTAATGTGGTTTTCGCAGCCGCTGTCACAGCTAACCGGACATGGCTCGAGTACACAGCATCGGCGTTCAGGCTGGACTGCACGCGTCCGGGCCAGCTGAGCGATGCTACCTACCTCTACCATCTTCGCACATTGGAGTGGTCACTGTGGAGAAATGTGGTTCGCCGGAACTGGGATTCTGAACAATCTGATTTGCTCTCACCCTTGAAATCTAAGGATGTCGGGGAATCTGCTGTGGGTACGTGACCACTCCGATGCGTACAGACGCCGTAGACAACTTCGAGCGCCGCAAAATCCAGGCATCGTTTCAAGACTGCATCTAAGCATCATCATCTGGTTTGCTCGAGCGCAGTTTTGACCCAACGGGCAACTTAGGTGCGTCTCATCAACGCAGAGACTCTTCAGCTGGAGGAGTTTATCGGAGACCAGGTCCCGCAGTACTACATCCTCTCTCATCGCTGGGGCGACGACGAAATCACATACAAAGACTTTGTCAAGGGGCGGCGGAAAGACAGCCTAGGATACAGGAAGATCCTGGACTGCTGCGAGTTTGTTGTTCGTCAACACGGCAACCCTTCTCATCTTGCTGGCGCTGCTCTTGCTACGGATGAGTCCACTGCGACACACTTCGGCCTCTACGTGTGGATCGACACCTGTTGCATCGACAAGAGGAGCAGCGCCGAGCTGTCCGAGGCCATCAACTCCATGTACGCATACTACCGCGACGCTGGCATATGTCTCGTGCACCTATCCGACGTCGCCGTCGATCCAAGCGATGCCTCACCATCGATCGGCCCTGGCCCCAGTCTCCTCAAGCAACTCGCCGCTTCCTCATGGTTCACCCGAGGCTGGACCCTCCAAGAACTCCTCGCCCCCAAACGAGTCGTCTTCCTCGACCGCCAATGGCGAGTCATCGGCCGCAAAGGGTACTTCCTCCTCCCCGACAGCAAGGACCATCGCTCTCGATTCTCTTCCGAAACGTACAACCAAGCCTTCGCCCTGGACCATTACATCTGCCAAATCACCGGCATCCACCAAAAGTACTTCTACGACCCCTCCCACCTCCCCAACGCCAGCATCGCCCGCCGCATGTCCTGGGCCGCCCGCCGCACCACCCTCCGCGTCGAAGACATGGCCTACTGCCTCCTCGGCCTCTTCGACGTCAACATACCGCTCCTCTACGGCGAAGGCCCCAAAGCCTTCATCCGCCTGCAAGAAGAACTCCTCCGCAAGTCCAACGACCACTCCATCTTCGCCTGGTGGCCGCCGTCCGACGCGCTGCGGCGTTTCCCTCCGCGCTACGAGTACTTCCGCATGGGCATCCTCGCGCCGAGCCCCGCGCATTTCTCCCACTCGGGCCCCATCGGGCAGATGCCCAGTGTGCAAATGGGCGCCCGCACCCGGCCCTACGCCATGACGAACTCCGGCCTCGAGCTCCGCGAGATGCTCCGCCCCGTCAAACTCCGCGGCATGGAGAACAACTCGGTCTACGCGATGCGGTTGAACTGCGCGCGCAAGGACGACGCGGTGAGGATCGGAGGTCCGGTTCAGATTGCGTTCTGGCACATCGGGCCGTGGGGCAGGGCGGATGGGGGGTATTGCCGGCTGGTGGGGGTGCGGGAGATGGTGGTGAAGGAGAATCTGATTGAGGAGGAGGGGACATTGGATGGGGAGGAGCGGGAGAGGGTTTTGTATGTTAGGCCGGTGGATGAGATGGTTCCGATTCCGACGAGGGTGTGAGGTAAGGAATGATCGCGCAAAAGGGGGTTTGGCGTCCTTGCATCCATCCATCCATCCCCCGGGGTTCAGAGGGTAAAGGATTAGAAAATCTCAGAAGACTCGAATTTTCCAGAAGAGAGATATCCCCCCACCCCGTAAGGAAAAAGACAAGTACATACATACCGACCTTTCCCCCTGATCGTGTGCAACCCGGGCATACAACTGTCTGCCGCCCACTTCTCTCCGCAAACGTCGGACGCAGCCAAGGTAAAATGACCTGCTAGGATTCGTTCGTTCGCTCGCGATGGGAGGAATGAACGAATGTCACACTCTCTGTGCGGTACATCGTGAGATCGTCTGAGAAGGGCGGAACGCAGCTTTTGGTCATATTCGAGTGGAGGAAGAGCTTTTGATATAGCCATTCCCGAGAACGTTCAGATGAAGGAGTTATTCGGATACTTACAATACAATTTGTTCAGAGATGTGGATCTGTGAGAAGCGAACACGAAGTCTTTTCAAAAATCAACGGCGATGGGATTGATTACTTCCAGGTTCAAGCCGTAGTATCGTCTGCATCTTGAGAATGTTGGAGGACGTTTCATCGCCAGTGATAATTGAAAGATCAAGGCATTCGACTACTCAACAATGCGAAACCATTCAGGGGGATTGAAGCTGGGGAGAAGCGAAAACGAAGTCTTTTCCAAAAATCAACGGCGATACTGCATTGTCTTATATACAAAACAAGCATTCTAGAGTCTCAAGCCGTGAAACAGCATCTATATATTTTCTTCTTGAACAAACATTAGACATTCTTCTCTGCATGTCTTTCCCTCTTCAGACGTTGAAACGTTTCAAACATGATATTCCACAAAAAAAGCCCAGCGCCTTAAAGGTTTCCGGCCGGCCCCATGCTAATGCAAACAATATCTCATACTCGTTAAAAGATTTCTGTACAGAAGTAGCACTGCTCAGATGCTTAACCGACCATGCGGCCACCCTTGATGGTGCAAATGTCCGTGGCGGTGGAAGCGGCGGTGTGTTGCCAGACGGTGTAGGTTGGGCTCTTGGTGACCGTAGCCACAATGCTGGTGATGACGGTCATGCGAAGGGCCGTCTTGGTGGGGGTTGGAAGAGTAATCGAGACAACTGGGAGCGTGGTGGTGCCCTGAAGGACCGTAGTCACGCTGGTCAAGGTGGTGATTTGCGTGATGACTGACGTGAGGGAAACGGTCGATGTCGCAGCAGTGATCGTGGAAGTAATCGTCGTGTAGTCGGCGGTGTTCAAGTCGGTCACCGTGGTGGTAGCGACGTCCAAGCCACGGCGGTCGAGGCCAGCAGCTGCCAGACGCTCCTTGCGGGCAGCAATGCGAGCGGCGCGGTCGGCTGGGACACGGCGGCCCATTGGCGAGTCGCGGCGGGATGGAGGAGCAGTCGTAGTGGCGGTTGCGCTGGCTGCGGAGAAAGACGAGGCGAGCGAGCTTGGGAGGAGAGTTGGAGTCCAGGTAAGGAATGGATCCCTGAAGGCCTGGGTGGAGAACGAGCAACTCTGTGTAATCGTCGAGGTTCGAATAACGGGGCTGATGGCGAAGGCAGTCGTTTTGATCGTTCCGAGTGTCCAGATCTTTGTGGAAGTAATTGGAGATGGCGTAATAGTAGTTGTAGGCTTGCGTGTCTTCGCCGGCTGGGTCACGGTCGAAGTAGTCGTGACACTGCTGGTGGTAGTGGTAATAATGGTAGTGGTAGTTAATGGCGTAGTCGTGATAGAAGCCGTGATAGTTGGGGTGTAGGTGACCTATTGATGAGACCAAATTAGCCAAAGAACATTCCAACGTTGGCAGATCCGAGTCGAGTCCTATCAACAGGACAGTAAGGGAGCACTTACCGTGACAGGCGTGCCAACGACAAGTTCAAAATCTCGCTCGTATGCAATGGGGTCGGCTTGGCCATTGTTGGACAAAACGATGACACTCCACGCGCCAGACCACATGTCGTCCTTGGCCATGGGGCAGGTCGACAGCTGGTTGGTGTCATCAGGCTGGAGAGGGGTGTCTAAAGCTCGTCAGCAGACATTCCCATATGAGTTGTAATCTGTGCCACCCTTACCTGAGCACTGGTATTCATCGCCATTGGGATCAACAAGGATGTTGGTTGCGGTGTCGTTTTGACATTCTGTGGACTCGGTTAGCTTATGTTCCGGCAAGGATTGCGTTCAATACTGACGTTCGAACATCGACACAAAGGTGAAGTCATCGGTCGATGATGCATTCTGGAAGTATGTGCCACCTGTCTGGAAATCGACACCGTAAGACTCGCAAGTCGGGTAGGTAGCAGGAGCAGCGCCGGCAGATGTACGGAGGGCGTAAAGGCTGAGAGCCAAAGCCGAAGAAGCCTTGATGAAAGACATCGTGTAGAGGCTAGTATGTACGGTAAAACGAAAGACTGTAGCAAGGCACGAAACGAGTGATGCCTGCAAGCGAATGTATGTCCTTCGACAAGTGAATGTGAGGGAGTTGCTGTCTTGGCGGGATGGGGAGACAAGACCAGCTGAGAGGAGTGGAGGAGGTCTATATGTTTGGGGAGGCTCCTTGTCTAGACCTGAACGGTATGGTCCTTCGTCGGGCGGTCTGTGCCGTTAGGAACGTGACAAGCTCATCGCCTGCCCATGCCATGATGCAGCCTGAGCGCGAGGACACTCGAAGCGAAGTGTCCACCTCCACGTGGATGACGGCGGCTACTGTCATCGTGCAGAGTCTGGACGTCCTAAATTGGGCCAGTGAAGTGTTCGTAAAGGAAGAGATCGGACAGTTCATTTCCCAATGTAGGATATGGAAGGCATCGCGGGCCACGTTCTGTCACCTATTCGGCAGCATCCAGAGTTCAGACTATCGCTCCTCACGAAGCCATGTGGTGATGAAAAGGCGTCCGTGTCCCGTCTCTGACAGTGCTTTGACGGTGCTGCGCCTGGCCGTTGAAGTCATCTCTTCGACTCCACCTTGCGAACTGTGCGAGAGGATGAGCTTGTGCCGCAGTCGGTCTCGCACTTGACGGGGATACTCTCGGCGAGACATCAAGGATGTCAAGGATGTAGGGTTATGTAGTCCATGACGAGATGCCGATGTCGAGATCTTTGGATCGCACGCGAGAACAACATCGACCCGAACCAGAAGGCAGTGCGTGTTGTGAGGCTAATTTCCAAATACCCAGCCACAGGAGCAGAGTTTGAGGTGAGGTTCTGCGAGGGTTCGTACGCCCTCTTCCTGTTCCTGACAAATGTCTCGGATGCAGCCAGAACGCCACAGGAGAGAGGATTGCAGGCGGTCCGCCGCGCTGCAGCCATGATGGCGTCAGGTAAATCCCTATAGGCAGTCTCCTATATAGAGAGAAAAGCATTTCTTGTGCACGACATGAAGCTTTGCCATGGCTTGTCGTTCTCGATAGCATCTTGTTAGAGTCGATGCCGATTGTTCAGCGCTTCTCGTATCGCGTACCACGGCCAGACTTTCGACGTTGGAAACGTTTGCGTTCGCTGTTGTCTGGTCGCGGACGTTGAGGAGATGGTCGCGTAGGGCTGGTGCGCCGAGTGGTGGAAATCAGAGGCGGGGGAGTCCGATCGCCCCTTCCGCGTACAAGACGTCAAAGCATCTTTAAGCGGGTTATGCAGGACTTCTGCACGTGCGATAGATGCCGGTACCCTGTCACGAAATAGACGTCCTGCCATGATCCTGGCCTGTTCAATTTTAGGCACGGAATCAACTCCTTGACATCCTCCTGCCGCCAGGGAGGAGTGAACGAGACATGGGCGACGAGATGAAATCTACGCCCAACAGGCGCCTCAAGCAGGAGTTGACTGGTCATCCAGTGTCAGTTCTTGAATCGTCGGTGCCGAGGTGTTTGACTTTGTCGGAATCAAGCACAACGCAAGCCGGCCATACACACTGCAGCTTCGAAGACTTTGCAGCTGCTGCACAGTACAGGCACCTATGACTTGCCGAGGAACGTCGCACAGAACAGCGGTGTGATTTTGTTGATACAAGGTCATGCAGCTAGAAATCATCGATAGTGAGGTCGGAAGTTCGAATAAACTTGACCCCGGTATCCCAGCTCTTCGACTAGGGTCTCGTTTCCAGAAAGCTGCCACTCGCAGCGTGCCTGACTCTGCTGACAGCTAACAATGCAGCCACGTCTTTGTGGAGATCGCGCGGGACATGACTTTGGACGGAGTGGCAAGTCAATAGCGCATCTGATCATGAGCTGTTCACAGTCCTCACCGCCAGAATGCGAACCTTCGTCTCCTTGACTCCCACGCGTCGTGACGATGGTGCTTGGATCATCGTTCGGAACCAAACAACATTTTCGACATCTGTCACACCTTAAAGGGGGCAAATAGGATGTAATCTACTCGTCCTGGTCAGCCACTTCCGCGATAGTCGTCGTGACTGGCATCGCTTGGTCTTTCCACTAGACTCTCGGTCTCGCTGTGGCGTCGGTGTACGTGCAGTCGTGGATGCAATGGCGTCGCCCTTCAACGTGAGTAGCACCGAGACCACGTTGGGAGAACACGCGCCGTCCAGCAGCTGGCGATGACATGTCGAACCCGTTGTGAGTACTGGCGTCTAGAAGGTGGTTCGCAACGACGAACGACGGCGAACCGGTGCTGAATTGTGTGGAATGCCGTTGCTCCCCGACCAGCGGTTGACGTCGATGCGAACGAGTGAAACGACCAGAGGACGGGGCGTTCCAAATTTACTTCTCGGCGCGAGGCTTGATCCTTGCGGCGCATCGCGAAGCTTAAAACTCTATTCTCCCCGATCCCGCCAAGCTAGCCCCTGTCTCTGCTCCAAACCCAAAAGGGACGTTCCTCAACCGCACCTCTCCCCCAAATCGGCGGCATCATTTCCTCGGGCCGCTGATCTAACGCATCTCACCTACTGAATGAAGATCTGCTCCATTGAGGCCAGCTTGTTGTGCGAGGCATGTGTTCTGGTGATATAGGCGAAAACTACTGACACTCTACAGATCTGAAAAGACGACTTCCAATTGAGCTGGATGGCACTTACGAGACAAGTGGAGGCATCAAGTGTAGGCCGTGCACCAAGGGCGATCATGACCACACTGGCAGCCAATGCTCAACGAAAAACTTCCTGTTCGGGCAGCAGTTGCTAGCGCTATTACGGCTCCGGGCACATGGTCGCCTCCCAAGCCTAATCGCCAAACATTGCAGCAGGAGAAGCGCGCTCTGGGGGCGCTCCCTCTGCTAGTTGAGGATTTCCCAGGTGCAGTCTAGGCCTTGGCACAAGCACCGTGCCCGTCGTTTCTGCACATCGCTCTCCTCTGGAGATGGCGGCTCTGGAACGGCTGCGCGATGCATCCAAGCACGGGCAAGCTACACCCGGGTCTTCGAAGCCTTCGCAGTCGTCTCTTATATTACGCCCTCGAGCCCGCCTCTTTGCTTGTCCTCCACCTCCAAGACTCTTGACTTCCCTAACCACCAAGAAGGCCCTCACTCGTTCCGGGTTCTTCGCCTCTTTCGTTATTCCTATCTTCTTGTTGAGGGCACACCATTTACAGTACATACTTGGACGACTTTCATTTCCCCGCCTCGGAGCCGTACACAACATGAAGTTCCTCGCCGGCCTCGCGGCACTCGCCTCGGTGGCAGTGGCCGCAGTGGTCCCCGCCGAGACCCGTGACCTCTCTATCATCGAGCGTGAGGCAAACCCAGCAACAGCAGACTCAGCTTGCAAGAATGGCCCCCTTACCCGTGCCTGCTGGAGCGACGGATACTCCATCGCCACCGATTTCGATCAGAAGCACCCGACCACTGGCAAGACTGTCAGCTACAACCTCGAAATCACTAACGGCACTTGCAATCCAGATGGGGGCGCCAGCCGAATCTGCTTCCTCATCAACGGACAATATCCCGGCCCTCTTATCGAGGCCAACTGGGGTGACACTGTTGTCGTTACCGTCACCAACCACCTCCAAACCAATGGGTAAGTGCAGAAATTGCAGTGACTATGATCCTGTCTGACTTTGTCGTCTTAGCACTGCCATGCATTTCCACGGCGTTCGTCAATTGGGCAGCTGCGGTGCAGACGGTGTCGGTGGTGTTACTCAGTGCCCAATTGCTCCAGGCCAGAGCTACACTTACTCCTTCGTCGCTTCTCAGTTTGGTACCTCGTGGTATCACTCCCACTTCTCCAACCAGTACGGTGACGGTGTCGTTGGCCCAATGGTCTTCCACGGCCCAGCCTCTGCCAATTACGACATCGACCTCGGCGTTTACCAGCTCACGGATTGGTACTACGATACTGCCTATCAGGTCGCCGCCAGGACTCTGAACAACCTGCAGAGCAAGAACGGCCCTCCAGCTGCTGACAACATACTGATCAACGGCACGAACAAGAACGCACAGGGAGGTGGAAAGTACAACTACGTTTCTGTGACCAAGGGCAAGAAGTACCTGCTCCGCTTGATCAACATCTCTGTCGACAACTACATCAAGGTGTCGCTCGACAACCACCCGCTCCAGGTCATCAGCTCTGACTACGTTCCAACCAAGCCATTCTCCGCCCAGTGGTTGACCATCGGTATTGGCCAGCGATACGACGTCATCATCAACGCCAACCAAACTGCTGCCAACTATTGGTTCCGTGCTGAGGTCAACACCGCTTGCCAGAGCGCCAACAGCTGGTATGGTCGTGCTGTCTGGTCTTACAACGGTGTTGCCACCGCCGACCCTGTCAGCTCTTCGTTCCCTGCCATCTCCGACTGCACTGAGCCCACCAACATCCTGCCATACTGGGTGCAGCCAGTCCCAAGCGGCAACTTCCCACAGATGGCCGAGACCTTGAACGTCAACCTCACTGGTGCTCAGGTCGTTCCAGGCGGTGACGTTGTCGTTGTTTGGTCCCTCAATCAGACTACCTTGAACGTCAACTGGAGCAACCCAACCATGTCATACCTTTTCGACCAGAATACAGAGTACCCCAGCAACCTCGGTCTCATTGACACCGTCGCTGAGGGTGGATGGAACTATTGGCTCATCCAGCAATCTTCCGGCATCCCTCCGATTCCTCACCCTATCCATCTTCACGGTCACGATTTTTTTGGTATGTGCTCAATTCTTGACACCTCAACATGGACCTTGTACTGACTTTCATTCCAGTCCTCGGTCAAGGCACTACCACTTTCACTGGCAGCGAGACCTTGAACTGGTCTAACCCACCTCGCCGTGACACTGCTACCGTCTACGGTGGCGGTTGGTTGGCCATTGCCTTCCGATCTGATAACCCTGGTAAGTCAGACAAATCAAAACTCCATGACTCGTTCTAACATCACTGCAGGCGCCTGGCTCATGCATTGCCACATTGCATGGCACATTTCGGAAGGTCTCGGCATGCAATTCCTCGAGCAGCCAGACAAGATCACGATGCCGGAGAAGTCCGGCTACGACAACCTGTGCAGCGCGTGGAACAGCTACGCCGGTGGCATGTACTGGCCCAAGGATGATTCTGGCTTGTAAAGAGCCCGAGCTCACATCCTTGCGACTTCTGTACAGTGTTCAAGATACAGGCATAGACGGAACCCTTTTTACTACCGAAAAGCCTGGGCGAGGAGCTTTGTTTTGGACGGCAGCATTGCATTATATCATATGCAGCTCGAGCACAAGAAGTCATCCGAACAGCACTTTTCCAGGTCACGACATTTCGCTCTCTACTATCCATCATCACATCAGGCGGCATCTGGGTACCTGCCGTCTCCACTATACCTCATCAGCATCACGACGGGCGCGGCGCTTTTTCTGTTTTTACGGCTGGGGAATGCACACGCAGCATTTGGCACCGAGAGCAAGAGCGAATGTCTAATGTCAAATCCATTCCTATTGAAAAAACACTTGAAACAAAATGCTACCCAATTCACTTCTTTTGCCCGCCTGTCAGTATGCTTCATTGCCGCTGCCATCTGTGCGAGCCATCTCAAGCGTCCTCAAACAATACCTTGGCGATGATGACTGACCTGTTTGACCATCGTCCTTGTTTTGTTGATGATCAAACTTCGCCAGAAATTGCGATGGCTTTGATGAGCAGCGACCCTTGGCACCTGCCAATAGTTTTACGAGACGTTGTGCAACGTTCATAAACAAGCTGAAGTCTAACAAACGCCCGTACAGTCAGCCAAGCCTGTCGATCCGGCTCACGCCTCCTGAACCAACGGCTGGACCGCGTCGCGTGTTGTAAACAAGATGAATAGATTGTGAGCACGTGGTTGGGGCAACGTGGAACGGTGACGAAGAAATGGAAAGAATGGACTTCGTGTTCCTTTATATCTTCCTGTCTCTGAGCAGGTTTACGCAAGCCGGCAACGTGGCCCTGCGGGTTTTTGAGCAAGATTCCACTTCCCCTTCCCTCGCTTTCTCAAACCCTTAAGAAACCGGCTTTCCCTCCCCAAAGACATCCCCCACCGCCCTCCAAGCCGGCACCTCGCCCCTCCCGGAAACCGCATGCACAGTCTTGGGCTGGCTCCACTCGTACAGCGTCTCGACGCAGTGTTCGCGCCCGTAACCCGAGTGTTTCATCCCGCCGAAGGGGACGCCGATGGCCATGCGGTGGTAGTTGTTCAGGAAGACCATGCCGGCGTCGATGGAGCGGGCGGTGCGGTTGGCGAGCACGGAGTTTTGGGTGTAGATGCTGCAGGTGAGGCCGTAGGGGACGGAGTTTGTGAGGGTTATGGCGGAGGTCGGGGTGGCGAAGGGGGTGATCGTTGCTGTGGATGATGGTCAGCCTTGGAAGGGCATACGGTTGAGCTTGATGAATGAACTCACCAACAGGACCGAACATTTCTTCTTGGAAGATGCGCATCGACCCTGTCACGTCGGCGAAGAGGGTGGGCGGGACGAAGAAGCCCTCTTTGCAGTCTGGATCAGAAGGCAATGACGCGTGAGCGACGACCTTCGCCCCTTCTTGTTTGCCGAGCTCGATATAATCGAGCACGCGCTTCTGCTGCGCCTTGGAGACCTGCGGACCAACATGCACGCCGGGATCCATGCCATTCCCGACCTTCAGCTTCTCCACGCCCTTCGCCAGCGCAGACACAAACTCATCATACACGCCGTCCTGGACGATGAACCTCGACGTCGCAGTACACGCCTCCCCCTTATTGAAGAACGCCCCTGCAATCGCCGTCCGCACCGCATCCTCCAAATCCGCATCGTCAAACACAATCATCGCATTCTTGCCTCCCAGCTCCAACACGGTCTTCGTGATACTCCTCGCCGCCGTCTCGGCCGTCTTCGCACCCGCCGCAGTCGATCCCGTGAAACTAACCATCTTGACCAGCGGATGATCGACCAGCGCTTGAGGGACTTCCACGCCCAGTCCAGGAACAACCTGCACGACATTCGGGGGTAGAACGCCCTGCAGAATCTCCACGATCTTCATCACCGTCAACGGAGCCTGCTCGCCCGGCTTAAGGATCATCGTATTCCCCATGGCGATACACGGCGCGACTTTCCCCCCACAATGAATCGGAGGCCAATTAAACGGTAAGATCCCTGCGCAGACCCCGAACGGCTCATGGTACACCGTGGCCGTGGTGACACCTCGATCGTAGAACTGCGAGGGCATTTTATCCACCAGAGACCCGAAGAAGCGGAAGATGTTGACTAGAAAGAATACATCCCCTGCTTTGGCGTCCGCGAGAGGTTTCCCGTTCTCGAGCGTCAGCAGCGTCGCGATGTCTTCGGCGTGTTTCTCTAGCTCCGCGGCGCAGCGGAAGAGGTATTGGGATCTTTCTGTCGGGCTTAGTTCTCGCCATGAGAGGAAGGCGTCTTGCGAGGCGCGGACTGCTTTGTCGACGGTGGAGGCGTCGCCCGCTTGGATCGTGGTGATGATCTGCCCTGTTGCGGGATTCTCGACGGGGAAGCAGTTGGAAGGGTCATTGTTCGAATACTTGTAGGTCGAGACGCTGGGGAATGTAGGTTGTTGAGAGGAAGCCATTATCTCGATTCAATATGAGGAGAAGGAGTTAAACTATACCTCTCCATAACCGCCATTCTCCAACCTTTTTATACCCTTTCTCTCTTCCGCCTCTTCCAGAATACGCCCATCCCTCGGCCTCTCGCCCCCTTATCCCCAATCTCCATACCGCACCGCATCACCACCAGAAAACACTCCAGTCCCCCCTCTCTCATACAATGCGAGCGGGTCGTCTCCAAACCTATATACCGCCGATCTTCGCCCCAGACCTCAACACCTCGCCTGGACCTCACAAACCCAGAATGCTTTGCGCTTCTCACATCATCTCCATGCGTCATGTATATTGCTGACTCATTGACTGCTTCGTGTTGTTGACGTGTCGTCTTTTTTTTTGTGGGTGGGTTGGGTTTTGGGAGACTAGATGTGAAGATGGAGGGTCGTTGCGAGGTGTTGTGGTTTGGGGCGAAGATCGACAAGATTTGAGTTTGGAGGGAACTAGGGTTGGGGTTGGGGTTGGATATTCTTGGGCGGCGGTGAGGTTTTGGAGTTAGGATCTGTTGGGAGGGTGGAAGATGGAGTGATTGTTGGTTTGGTGTGAGGATAGAGAATATTCCCTGAGCCTTTGGAATATGTTGGTGCATTGTGGGAGGTATTTCGATAGAAGTTGCGAGGTTTGAGGTCTTGTGGTTGGCGAAACAAAACTCGAGCGTGGACATTTCGACAACATTATCTGCAGGATTCAATTTGTGCAGAAGGTCATTGAAAGGCTTTTCGAGAGCATGGAGGGACGTGTTGGAGAAGATGGAGATAGTTCGTTAAGATCATTTCTTAATCTCATTTCTACATCTCAATACCCCCCTCCTCCCATCATCCTGCCTCCCACACCACCCCGTCTCCCTGCAACCCATCTAACACCCCAAACTACTAGTAACCGTCGCAGTCAACGCACTCGTCCGCGTAACAACAACCTGCGTAGCCGGAATAAAGAAAGTATTCGTAATCGTCTTCCTCGACGCCGTCACCGTCGTGACCTTCGCCCCGCCCTGAGAAACCGTCACGACCGGCGTCGTCGTCGACGTGCTCACCAGCGTCGTCGTGCCCGTGACTGTTTGTGTTGGAGCGTAGATTGTTGAGGTGGAGGTTGATGGGACGGCGGTGCTGTCGATTATGGTTGTGGTTGGTTCGTCTGGGGCTCGTTTTTGGAGGGCCGGGGAGCGGATTTGGATGATTTCTTCTTTGCGTTTCGAGAAGGTCGAGCCGCCTCGGCGGGTGATGAGGGTGGGTTCTGCTGCGCGAGCGATGTTGTTGCCGAGGATGGAGACGGAGATTTTGTTGTTGATGGGGTCTGGGATTAGGTTCTTGACTTCGGGGGTTGGTTCGGCCAGAGCGGCGAATGCGCATGGTCCGCTGGTCGTGACCGTGCTGGTTGCGACAATGCTGGCTACTTGGGATGTTGAGGTGATTGTGAATACACCGCGAGTTACGATCGTGATCGTTGGAAGCGGATAGTAAGTCACCGTGGCGGATGGAGCTCCCACAGCAGTCGTGGTTGACGGCGACGCCGAGGACACAATCGTAGTAGTCGATGTGATGATTGTGCTGGAGATTGGCGTCGATGTCGTAGTCAGGGTAACAGTAGGAACCACCGTCGTTGTCGACTGAGGACCGACAGAGAGCGAGAATTGGCGAATATAATCGATCGGATCGCACTGGCCATTGTTCGATATTATGATAAGACTCCACTCGCCTGAAGTGAGTTGATCTTTATCGATGGGGCTGCAAATCAATTAGCATGGCAAAATCTCTTTCGATGCATTTCAAACGAACCAAGTCACCGTCTGTCGAGTATCATCCGGCGTAAGCGGAGTCTTGCTGCACTCATACTGCTCCCCTGATGGATCAACAAGTATATTGTTCGACTCGTCATCCTGACATCCCTCAAACTCCTGCACCGCCGTGAAAGGCTGCGTAGAATCGACATTCTGAAAGTACGATCCACCATCCACAAAGTCCACACCGAAAGATTGACATGTTGTCGTGCAGTTGTCCTGAGCCAATGCGTACCCACACAGAGACAGCGCCAAAGCGCTCGCAGACAATCTCGAAATCATGGCCGCCACGTGTAGAGGAACGGGGATCAACGAACGGTTGTGATACTGGAAAGCCGTGACGAAAGAGAGAGATGCGGTCTCACAAGAGACAATGGATGTCAACGGACCTTATTCACCGCACTGACCATGGATTCGAAGCATGTGAAGGCCAGGAGACTGACGCAGAGTGCTTCCGAGTAGCTCATCCTCTGGCGTCGACGAAGGCAGGCTGGCTTGACTTGGCCATACTGGAGAGACGCATCCGGTCGGCACGAGGAACCATCCCTTGGATGCACGGCTCAGGACGACGAGAATCCGTTGAGTAGGTCGATACTTCGGCGGTCCAAATGCAGCTCATGACAGCGTTCCCGTCAGAAGCGAAGCTAACGAAAGCGCACTGATGCAAATAGTCGCTTGGCTCAAAGTAGGATCAATAATCGGGTGTTCCTGCAGTAGTAAGAAAGACCGATCGGGAGAGGCGGCGAAAAGCGATACGAAAGCAGAGTGGAGCAGCTGCGTCGTGAATAGCACCGAGTCGGCTTTGCGGTGATGTCGACGATAGACCCTGTTTCGAGATGCCTCTTATATGTAGGCGGAGGAATTGTCAGCATTTCTTATACGATCGATCGACATATCAGGCTTGAGTAGTGAAACAGCCACGTTGGAGACAGCCATGGACCTGACTGCTGTGTGTTTGCAGATGACAGTTCGGGACCGATGCTGTGCGATGGATCGAGCAAGCGTGAAAGCGGTGTAACGTGCTGTATGCATGGCGAAGGGCGAACGTCAAGGATGTCCTGGTATGCGTGCCGAGACAAGTCATGGCGTTCCCTGCAAAGCATGGTGGATCGAAGGATGCAGTTCCGAATGCGCGGATGGCGACGTCGAAAAAGTTCCGATGCGTGTTCGTCGAACTCAGAGCTTTGGGACTTCGCATTCACTGCTCCTCCTTCTCCTTCTCTCACAGACTCCTGTGTCCGATCATGTGTTGGCCATTCTCCCCACTCTTGCCACCCAAGATTATCAATATAGCAGCACTAGATCTCTCTCAATGCCATGAGATTGTGATGACTCGAACGTCATACACCGCCCTCCCCAGAATCCGGACTCGAAACTTCCGTGGGATGACTTCACAAAAAGGGGACCGAGTGAAGTCAGTCGTAAGCCAGAAGCTAGCGCTGCACGAAACAGCGCCATCAACGAAGATCCCAAAGATTGAGTTCACCGGGGTGTTCGGCAGGCATTGCGCAACGAGAAGATCCGGTTGGTGGCGGTACGTGCTGTGAAGTTGCCGATTTGAAAGATGTCGTTCTCCTGTGAACGTTCGTCGACGCTGCCCTCGCTGTGCTTGGCCTGCTACTGAAGTCCATGTCGGTCGCGAGAAAGATCAAAGGGGAAGAGTACAGGTTCGTTCGTTCAGATTCACATGCTCAGCCTCGGCCACCAGAGCCACGAAAGCATAACCCCGATCTTCACGAGCTGGCGCGAAGACTCGGGCTGCTGACCGTCTCCCAGCCAAGCCTCTACCACTGCACGATCATCTTGTAAACCGGTCGGTCGCTCTCGAGAATCCATCGCATATCTAAGCCGAGGCTTCAGCCACCTCTCCTTTCTCAGACTCATTCTGCACCTCGTCGGTGTTTGCAGGTGATCGAACCATGCCGAATTCTGTGTCCAACTCTGTGCGCAGCTGAATACGACGCTGTGCAAAGACGACCAGGAACGCCAATCCAGCGAGACCTGTTGCGACTTCCCATGTCAGTCGGATGCTGTCGCTGTACGCCCGAATGACTTGATTCTGCAAAGCAGGATCGTCTGCGAGCGAGTTGATGAACGCCCGAGTACCATATTCGTACGCCCGGCCATGCGACAACTTCTCGCGCACCGTCGAGTTTGCGATGTTGCGGTCGTAGTCTGAGAAACGACTGTTGAAGGCAACAGTGGCAATGGTAATGCCCCAGAGAGTTCCAAAACTACGCAGAACCGCCCAAGTGCCTGTTGCAACAGCGGTGAGCTCTTCGTGCAGCGCGCCTTGAGCTACAGGAAGGAGGACACCAATCGGCAAGCCTGCGCCAGCGCCGAAGATCAATTGGAAGATGACCCATTCAGCGGTGGACGAGCTGGCGTCGAGCAAGATGTATAAGCCAAAGCCGATGGCCATTAGGGCGAATGCGATGGCGTGGATTTCTCGATAACGGCCGTACTTTTCCATGACTCCTCCACCGACGCCTGCGAATACCATCAGGTTGATGACTGTCGGCAGTAGTTGAACTCCTGATCGTGTTGGAGAAGACTTCTTCACAGCCTGGAAGTAGAGCGGCAGGAAGTAGACCTCCCAATAAAGCAACAGCATGTGCAAGAACGTCAAGAAGAACGCTGCTGCCGCCGTCCGGTCCGCGAAGAGCTTCGAAGGCATGGTTGGCTCGATGCACCACGGCGTCTGTTCGTATACGAAGAACAGTCCAAGACCCACGAATCCTAGAACCAAGGGGAGGATGATTCTCCACGAAGACCAGGAGTACTCTGTCCCAGCGTAAGTCAGAGCGGAGAGTATTGCAACTGTGGCCGCCACAAAGATGCCATTGCCAACAACGTCAACTCTTGCTAGCGCAGAATTCCACGATGCCGGTCTTTTGTATTCCATGTGCAGAAATAGCACGACGAGGAGGAGGGCGACGCCGGCGATAGGCAAGTTGAGGTAGAAGACCCAGCGCCAGGTTGCTTCTTGTACGAAGACACCGCCGATGACTGGAAGCAGGTCAGTGAATACTGGAGTAAGGCATGTATTGCCATTTCTTGCCCGTGGCATACATACAAGGTCCAAGTGCGGTACAGACCGTCGCCGCACCGAAGATGTAGCCCATGACCGCACCACGTTGGCGAACAGGCACCATGTCAGAGATGATGAGATCGATGAGCATCGAGCAACCTCCACCGCCGACACCCTGAATCGTGCGTCCCGCAATCAGCATCCCCATGGACGATGCGCCGCCACTGATACCACTACCGAGTATGAAGAATACCAAGGCCGAGATCATCAGCCATCTGCGGCCAAAGATGTTCGCTGATTGACCGTATAGTGGTTGAAACGCAGTGCTTTGGGATGTCAGTCGACAGTCCTTCGTCTGCAAGACGTTCACCTCAGATGGACTCACGCAGATAGGAAGTATGCGTTTGGTACCCAGAGAAAGGCCTCTCCTCCCCCAAGATCACGAGAGATGGAGGGTAGTGCTGTTGAGACTACCGTCCCCTCCAGTGCGACCAGGCAGCTCGAAACACAGAGAGATGTTATGATCGTGTAGAACCTCCATCCTCGAGTGGGACTGCTAGACTTTTGAGTCCTTGGCCTGTCAGGGTCGACCTCAGGCTGAGTAGTGGTTTTGCCAAAGCTGTTTTCAGAATCACCTTCTCCCATTGCGTCTCTTGTCACTGCCTCGATTGTGCCGGAGTCGAATCGACATATTGAGCGACCTTGTCGTCTGATATACCGGCCTTAAGCTACTATACCACATGGTGTTCCCAATCACGAATCTGCACAAGAGCCAATCGCAAAGTCCGGAGTGTACGTCCGGCAGGAATGTGCATCCTTCCAGCCCTGAACGTGAAGCTGAGGCTGAAAAGGTGTGTTTGGAACCAGGTACGCTGTCTGGAATCCTCTTGCGCTAGGATTCGTCAATTTTGCCCTTCTTAGCAATTTGTACGTGAGTTGGACCTCGATGAGACGATGTCAACGCACTCTCCTTCCACCCTAAGCCGGGCGAATGCAAGAAGGAATGGATCCACGGGCAGACTTAGGAACCACTTCTGAGACCTCGGAAGGGTCTTCCGTCCACGGGCCCGGAAAATGCGTGCTGTTAAATGTGCCAGTACGCCATGCTCGAGAGAGACGAAAACTTTTATCGCACCTCGTGCACTGCTGCGAGCCCCATCAAATCCATTGACCCAAAATGTGCAACGTCAAAGATGTTCTGGCTTTGATGCTGCCCGTTTGTCTTGCTCAAAGCCAAGGAAACCATACAGCGCAGCGCCATTTCCAGGGCACGGCCATCGTGACAAACGCCAACAACCATTCGGAGTTCCAGTGCTGGCAGCTCCAACCTCCAGTTTCGTCCATCGCAGGAATAATTGATACTTTCAGCTTTGAGTCCTCGAACGCGCAATACGTCGTCTATCCGCCCAGGCTGAACAGCGGTGTTCACACTGCACCAACCAAAGTGTAGGTTCGAAGATGAATAGATGTGGTTCAGTCTGCTGAATCTTCGATGTATAGGCTCAGTGTCGTCGTTTCCGGAGTTGCGCATTGGTCTCTTCCAGTCCCCGTGCATGGAAATCGCAGCTTGGATGAGTTCTGGATTGTAGGGGGCGGACAGGGCACGATATTGTCGCTTGACACGGAAGGTTCAGGTCATATTACCGACTTCCCAACAGACTTGTCGAGCGTGGGATTTCAAATACCGCTGTCGAGTATCCCCGAGCATACCGTGCTCGGCCCAGGACCGTGCCATTTCAGTAGCAATGGCGGCACTCAGATAGTGTGAGGAGCGGCGAGAGCTGTCAGGAGCGGGGGATAAGGGTCATCTGGTAGCAGAGATCAAGAGACCTCAGGTGATGAGAATGTCCACCGAGATCAATCCCATGGCTGCGGCAATCTCTCACTTCCAGCAAGTGCACCAGCATCCATCTTTTCTTGTTCTGCCAACCTCCGCGCCTCACGCCGTGCCTCTCTTTGTACGTGTTTCTCGTCGTGCTCGGTCTGCATCTTTCGCCTCTTCTTTCGTCTCTCGTGTTCTCTACGTTCTTCTTTGCGAATCTTCTCGTCCACGGCATGTCGCTGCTCTTTGGACAGTATCCAGGGCCTGCTGAGCACGGTTCGCTTCCATTCTGCAGCCTTGGACCAGTGCACCGCCTCTTCGTTTGTATCTCTAACCTGAAAGAGTTTCTTCAGATTGACTTGTCGCTGATTCCTGAAGCTCGTAAGTTCGCCCTGTGCTCGCACAACCGAGCCTATCGAGACTGGCTTCCCGTCCACATGGACTGTAGGCTCGCCGAGATAGATAGTCACATCCACGTTATCGACAAGTGTATTCGAGGGGTACTCGGCATCGTCGCCAGGCTGTCGTTCCCGTCGCTCAAGTTTGACTTCAATGTTCGCGCCACTGCTATCGTCGATGGTGAGCAAGGTGTATTTACCGGCTGCCACGGAATTGATTTGCACAATGAGGCCCACGATCCTCACAAGGCGGATGGGATTGTTGAGATGGAAGAAGACATTCTGCCCTGCAATGACCCGAGATCAACCCATGCTCGTTCGGTGCAATGCTTGTACTACCTTCAAACCCCGGCTCCTCTCTCAAGGTGTAGACGTCGGCGGCGGTCAGCTTGTTCCAGGCGAACCACGTCTTCGACTCATCGAAGTAGCGTCGGGGGTAGATCTCGTGCATCGCATCCTGCGACGGTCGTTGTTGTCATGTGTAAACAAAGCAGAGCGAAGGCTGAGGAAGCGTTGCATGTGACGATGACGCCGCCCCGCGTCGAGCTCCGGCAGTCGCGTCTCACGCGTCAAGCTCTATAAATACATCTCGACTTGAAGACGCCCTCGACACTCGACATCACCACAATCTTCGATTCAACATCATCATGCCGAAGCGAAGTCGCGATGAAGAAGAGCTCGACGCCGGCGAGGCGCCGACCGAAATCAACCCCTACCAAGTCCTCGGCCTCGAGGCCAGCGCATCACAGGACGAGGTCAAGAAAGCCTATCGCAAGGCAGCACTGAAGCATCATCCTGACAAGGCGTCGCCTGAGGACAAGGAGGCGGCGCATGCCAAGTTCCAAGAGGTCGCCTTTGCGTTCGCCATCCTCTCCGACGAGCGTCGACGAAAGCGCTATGACACAACTGGCCGCACCGAAGAGAGTCTGGATCTGGACGACGATGACTTCGACTGGACGACCTTCTTCAGAGAGCAGTTTCGGGACGTGGTGACAGAAGAGAAGATCAACAAATTCTCCGACGAGTACAAGGGCAGCGACGAGGAGAGACAGGCTGTGCTCGATGCCTACACCAGAACACAAGGCAAGATGGAGAAGCTGTACACCATCGTCATGCTGAGCGACATGGTCGATGATGAAGAGCGATTCCGTGCGATCATCGATGAGGCTGTCGCCGACGGCGAAGTGGAAGACTTCAAGAACTACAACGGCGAGAAGGAGTCGGTTCGCGAGAAGCGACTGGAGAGGGCCAGGAAGAGGAAGGAGAAAGAAGCCAAGGAGGCTGATAAGGCTTCGCAAGAGATTGAAGAGGAGAAGTCTAAGAAGAAGGGAAAGAAAGCGAATGGCGATGCTGGTGGCATGGGCGACCTGGCTGCTTTGATTCAGCAGAGGCAGCAGGGCAGAGCTGAGAGCTTCTTCGACAGGTTGGAGAATAAGTACGCTCCAAAGGGCAAGAAGGGAAAGAAGGCTGCGCCGGTGGATGAGCCACCCGAGGAGGCTTTCGCGGCGAACAGGAAGAACACTGGCAATGGTGACGCTGTGGAGGGTGCGAGGAAGAGCAAGCGGGCGAAGAAGTGAAGAGGTTCTCATCTCGACTCTGTCCTGGAAGAATAGCTCGGGACAGGATACTTAGGAGTTCGACCTGCATTGTACTTTATAGGATGACCTCATGATACCCTACGTTGACATTGTCGATTTCTTTCAACTTTTTGATGCACCATTTGATTGGCGTTAATCAAAATCCGGCCTAAATTTCGACGGCTATGACGCTTCGACTTGATAAAACGCCTGTTGAAAACCATGTCAACGACTTCATCATCCAGTCTCCTCCATCATCAAAATCTACCTCCATCAAAACGATACGACAATGTCCAAATCACTGCTAGTCATCGTCACCGGCGCAGTACGAACTCCCCACGCCCGAACGACATTTTCAAAGACTAACCGTCACAGAATCGTGGCATCGGACGAGCCATCTGCGAAAACATCCTCTCAAGGCCAGACTCATCCGCCATCAAGCTCTTCGCAACTACGCGTAAAGGCGATAACCTTGGTCTCTCATCCACGAACAGCGGAAGCGAGGTTCTCTATCCAAGCCTTGACATCTCCAGTCGGGACAGCATTCACGCCTTCAAGGACGAGGTCAAGCAGCATGGCGATGTCAATGTACTGATCAATAACGCTGGTGTCAATCTTGATAATCAGTATAGCCCTGAGACTGCGAAGCAGACTCTTGATGTTAACTATCGAGGGACTGTGGAAGTAAGTCAGGCCTCACTTCGATGTTGTTCCGAAAACTAACAGCATGCCAGATGTGCAAGACTTTCAAGCCCCATCTCTCCAAGACCGGACGAATAGTCAATCTGTCATCGGTTGCTTCAACCCTGAAACTGTACGACTCATCTATCCAAGATCGACTCCGAAATGCCGCCCGTCTTTCAGAACTCGATGAGCTGGCTGAAGAATATGAGGCCGCAGTCAAGGCAAAGACTGAAGCCGATGCTGGCTTTGGCCAACCTGGCAGAGCCTACTCATTTTCCAAGGCACTACTCAGAGCAGCAACTGCTATCTCGGCCCGAGAGGATCGCGAAGCCAATCCAAAGTCCGAGGTTCTCATCAACTGCTGCTGTCCTGGTTGGGTGAGCACCGACATGGGAAAGCTCGTCGGCCGCGCACCAAAGAAACCAGAAGAAGGCGCTCGGATTCCAGTACGACTGGCGTTCGACGATTTGAATGGGACGACTGGAGAGTACTGGGCCAACGACAGTGTTCGATCGCGAGAATCTGGGAAAGTGCAGCCATGGGTTTGAAACTCATAACTTGACATCGCTACAGAGCATCCGCTCTAACCTCTTGGTGTTCAGCATGTCGGGTCTGAGATCGGCGAGTGTCTTCGCGCCCAGAAATGCCATGTTGGTCTGCAGCTCTTTGCGCAGGAGTTGGATCATTCGACGGATGCCGTAGTGGCCATAGCCTGCCGACATGCTGAACAGCGTGGGACGGCCGATACCAACAGCACTCGCGCCCAGGCACAATGCTTTGAGGATGTCTGTACCTCTCCGAACACCACCGTCCACGAAGATCTGCATCTTCCCGCCGATGATGTGCGGTGCGTGCTTGCGGATCTCCAGCAGGGTCAGAAGAGGTGGCTGTGAACTATCTCTGCCGTCAGTGACGTTCCTTGAGCACTGGTCTCGACGACTTACGTATCCTGAGATCTCCCGCCATGGTTCGACAAGACTATCCCATCGACACCGTGCTCGTATGCCAGTACAGCATCGTCGACGCACTGGATACCTTTGATTACAATCGGCAGCTTCGTCACAGATCGCAGCCAATCGATAATCTCCCAGCCCACATCTGCGTTGATGTACGAGTTCATCGATGCTGCGATACCTTTACTTTGCGGCGTTTCAACAATCGACTCCAGACTTTCTTCGATCTGAGAGTGGTCAGCTGAAGACTTTCGAAGTTTGTCCATGCTACTCACTTCATCAATCGACTTCGACCGCTCATCTCTCTCCCGATTACCCGTCACAGGCGAGTCAACCGTCAGCCAAATCGCCTTAACTCCCGTCCGTTCCACCCTCTCCACGAAGGCCTTGGATATTTCGAGATCTTGATTCAGATATAGCTGCCAAAAGACCGGCTGCTCCTCGCTTACTCTGGCCTTCATTATTGCTTCGATAGGCATGCTGGAGACAGTGTTCACGACCTGAACAACACTTTCCTTGCCGTCTGCTTGCGCAATGGCACACTCGCCGTCAGGATGCACTAGCTTTCCCAGGCCAACCGGAGATGTGTAGATCGGTAATGACGACTCGTACCCTAGAATGGTCGTGCTCAAATCCACCGCTGCCACTCTCCGCAATACCCTTCCCCTTAGGAAGACCTTCTCGTACACACGGCCATTCTCCCGCAGACTGACTTCATTGTCCGCACCAGACGACACATACGCCCATGCCACCGGGGTCATGAACTCCTCCGCCACCTTCTCAAAGTCCTTCAAACTAATCATACTGCTCAACGGCGGCGCCTTGCGACTCTGCTCCTCGGCTTTCTTCTCCGGCTTCATCTTCGGTATCGAGTTCGGATCGACAACACCTCGCCGTGCTCCATCACCCAACGTCTTCTCCACAAGTTCCAGATCGTGAAAGGTCTCGTACTGCTCTGTGGCATCTTGGCCGGCGACTTTGAGAATGAGACTCGCTCCGCCGGGGTGTTGATCGATGAAAGACGTGACGTCCCAGATTGTCCCCTTGATGGCTATCCAGCATGAGTCTCGGGTGTTGTGGCTCGCCAGTTCGTCGCCTGAGATGGTCGACATTTTTCCATTGGTTATTAGATCGGAGTTGATGAGCCAGTGCGGTTAGATGTTGGTGGATACGATAAGTCTGACCCAGTCCAGATCAGAGCAAGTCAAGTTCGGCCTGCCGTAGGTGTTACAGAGATTCTCCGCAGAGACACACCGTCTAGCGAGCATCAATTCCAGCCATACGCAGACAGGACGAGGGTCAAAAGGCGGATAAAGGTCATGTTGGGGAGGTATTGGGGGTCAATTGGGGGGTCTTTCGGTCTTCATCCTGCCGAAGGAGAGCTCTGTCGGCAATTGAAGGAGCTCGGCCTCGTTGACCTCACTTCACCTGGACAAGGGCGACATGCGTGTTGTGTAACAGAGTTCGCAGGGCTTCTGGTAGAGCACTGCGTTGCGGTAGTACTTCAACAATCGAATTCGAGAAGTCAATGCCAAGTTGGTCGTCTCTTTGATCGATCTCCTTGGTCCACGCCACCTACAGCATCGATCCCCTGCAAACGGATATATTATCGAGGAGATGTCAACATCAAATGATGGCGAGAAGATCAACGTCCTGCTCTTCGGACTAGGGGCGTAAGTCTACTCGTAAATCCACATTCCAAGATATATTCACTCACCATCCACAGCATCGGCGGCTTCTACGCCTTCATCCTCAGCAAGAACCCCAACGTCTCCCTCTCCGTAATCGCTCGATCCAACTACGAAGCCGTCAAACAAAACGTACTTACCACCTCCCACCATCCCATCCCCAGCTAACCAACCCCCAGGGCCTCCACATCACCTCCGCCCTCCACGGCACCCACACCATAAAACCCACCAACGTCTTCCAAACCCCCTCGGACGCCACCCCCCTCAAATTCGCCTACATCATCCTCGCCCACAAAGCCATCAACCCCAGCACCATCCCCCCTCTCTTCAAAACCTGCGTGTCCGACTCAACGACCTTCGTAATAATCCAAAACGGCGTCGGCAACGAAGACCCCTTCCGCTCAACTTTCCCTGCTAACACAATCATCTCCTGCGTCACCTGGACAGGCGCCGTGCAGACCTCCCCGGGCGTGATCGAACACGGCAAAAATGAAGATATGCAGATCGGGCTATTCCCCAACGCCACCCTCCCCACCAACATCGAACAAGACCGTCTGAAAACTTTCGCCCACCTCCTCACGACAGGCGGCACGAAATTCAACATCGAATCGAACGTCCAGCTCAAGCGCTGGGAGAAAGTCATCTGGAACGCCGCCTGGAATCCCCTCACGACCCTCACGGGGACATCCGTGCAGTCCTACCTGCGCTCCTCCCCCGCCGCAACACAGACAGCAAAATCCCTCATGCGCGAAGTCCTCCTCGTAGGACAAACGCTCGGGATCCCGCTCGCGGACTCTTTACCGGATGAGTTGGTCGAGAAGGTTCTGGATATGCCCGGGGAGGTGTTCAGTAGTATGTACCAGGATCGGAGGGAGGGACGGGCGCTGGAGAAGGAGGTGATTCTGGGGGTTCCGTTAAGGAGGGCGGGGGAGTTGGGGTTGGAGGGACGGGTGCCGGTTTTGAGGGCGATTTGGAGTATGATTGATATGGTGGATCGGGGGATTACGGGGGTGTAGGGGCTTTGTTTTCTGTGAGGATTGGAATGTTCGCTGCGGTTGCTTGGGAGGTGGGATTTGGTCGCCTTGGAAATTATATCGGAGGGATGTTGGTGCTTTCTAGTCGAGGCGGAACGATGAGAGTAGACAGTCTGGAGGCAAGCGAAGGAGCACAATCTGCCCTCGAAGGTCAGCCAACTCGTACAGGTAGTACATATAAACACGGCCAAACCCCAACGCCTCGCTCGAAAGTCATGTTTTGAATATAATCGATGAAGGGGTATCTCCTTTAAAGTTCCGACCTCGCCATCACCGTTTCTTTTATGTATACCATCCTCTTGCGCCCACCTGAGTCGCCGGTTCCGCTTCTCGATTCGGTATCATTGGCTCGCGAATATCGAAGACTTTGACCAGGCCCTGCCAGGTAGCCATATCGATTGAGAACACGGCCTGATGCCGTTTCACATTGCTTGACTTGGCATGCTCCTGCCTCTCTTCTGCTGAGGCGAAGTTGACCGGTGCTACGGACGTTGATCGTTAGTGGGATCATATAATATAAAGGTTTTGGTCTGGACTTACTTATCACTGGTAGCCCATCCGAGTCTGAACCAAGCCCGACGTGCCCTTCTTTGATGAGGAAGGATAGATAAAATAAGTTCTCCACCGTCTGTCCAAAGTCTGTGGGATGGAGGGCGTAGTCGAACAAGATAGGTCCTCCTTCTGCGGTGATTCTGTGTTCTCGAGAGAAGGCCTTTCCCTCCGGTGTATTCAAATCTTCAAGCGAGTCGAACGTCTGCGATGCCAACGAAGACTTGTCGTTGATGTGCTTCATGAGATGCTTGCGAATGCGAGCGCAAATGGCTGTAAGGCCATTCTCATCCGACTGCGATAGGTCTGCTCTTGTGAGTGCTTCGGGTCTCGTTTCCCTGCTCGTGTCTTTGGTTTGCCTTGCTGTTCGCTGCGTCTGCTTTCGTTGTTTCTTCTCCACCGATAGTGGTCCGAGAAGGAACGATGGGCATGGCGGTCGCGAATTGTAGGGAAAACAGACATGTCGTCCCAAGAGCTCCCAATCTAAAGCACCACCAATATCGTCATCGTCGTCATCCTGGTCCTCGTCGTCATCGCGACGCTGTGTTCTTCGCCGTTGGGTCTGCTTGGCATTTCCAGCGTCTTCAGCATTTGCTGGACCTCCGTTCCTCATAAAGTAGATGCACTTTGAGAGGAAGTCATCCACGTCTATTCCACTGCTCTTGTCGCCCAACACCAGCTGTGCCGACTTCTTGTATGCCAGGTCGGAGACATTGACCATGAGACGTGAGTCGAGGGTGGCATCGTTCGTCTGCTTGACATTCTTGAAGACGTTGTTGGCACGATTGATAGTCTGCGCTAATCCGTCTCCGTCTCCTCGTAGCAGCTCGTCGCGATTCTCTGCATGCTGTGTCAATCGTGCCAAAACGTATTTTTCTGCTTGTACTTACCATTGAACTCGCGCTCAAGAGCTCGCGATTTGCGCTTCACTTGCCGCCTTATCTCTGGATTCTGGTTGGGATCGAAGTATTTCGTGAACTTGTCATCTTCCTCATCTTGAGCCTCGCCCGACTGTGTCGCCTGTTCTGTCCGCTTCCTCTTTTGTCCTCTTGCCGTCTCGCTCTCATCAGATACTGGTGTTGGAAGGGAATCCCGGCGTGGGGGGTCTACGGCACGGCCTTTGCCCTTGTCGCGTTGCATGGCACGTGGATCGCGATTCTCTTGCTCGCTCGTGTCGCTGGGTTCTGGCGAAGGTGATGGTGTATTCGAGGAGCTGCGTGCAGGGTGGAGAGTCCTGCTATGGTTCAATCGCGCCATGTCGCATAGCAGTCGAGGTGGATAGCCGCGATGTTGGTCTCAGTATGCTGCGGTTTCAGACGCGCCTGCCCGTGCCGCTGAGGCCGCCGTGTTGTCGTCGAAGTAATGATGACAATGAGGCGAAGTCGTCAAAGCAGAGCCACAATCGCGAAGGCTGCGGAGATATTCCGTTTATGGCAGAGCGAAAGTGAAGTGAAGGTGTTGTTGGGTATCGCGCCTTGAACTCGGGCCAGATCCGTCCGTGTCGCAACTGCCATCGCGCGACGTCACGCGAAGTGCCGAGAGACGTGGGATCGCGAGAAAATAGTCGTGGGACTTCCAGCCATTTTCACATGCAAATGCTCTGGCGGTCGTCGCAACAAATTCAAAGTAATGCCAATGTAGGGCGAGGGAAAGTAATGGTACATAGTTCTATCGATCAATTGACAAGCCTTAGCTTTTCCTGCCTCACCTGGCTTCTGAGGAGAAGATATCTCAGCAGCAGTTGAACAAAGGCAATTGATTTCTCAATTGAACTGGGTGTGGCACAAACTCTGCTGGCAAAACAAAATTCGGAATGCTCTTCGAAGAAAGCATTCGTTGCAGCCCCTGTTGGTTCTGCTCCCTGTCTTCGACTCCAGTCTCCGGCCACCGGTCTTCGACTTGTTCGTATCGTTGCTTTGGCATACGCTTGTCCTCTAAGTGGTTTGGGATCCCCGAGCTGCGCATGTGGCTACTTCCGGTCCTTATTTCAGTGTGGCATACTCATCGCAACTGCCAGCCGACTCGACTCCAAGATTCAGGAGAGATGCTGCATGCAGACTTCCATTCTGCTGAGCAGGACAAGAATACCCACCATTCAGTGGCCAGGCTTCTCATATATCAGCATGAGGTCCTTTGGAGGTGCTCCATATCCTGCAAAGAAAGCCGTTACGCCCGTCAAATCACCGGATATATCTCTGAACCCTCGAATGAGCATCTGTGCTCTGCTTCTGACGTCAGGTGAAGTCGTTCTGTGCGAGAGACACAACAACGATTCTGCGATGCCGACGTGGGTCGAGAAGGTCTTGCAGGTTGGTAGGCTGTGCATGTTTCGATAAGTTTGTCTCAGTGAAAGTGCCTTTTCGCCGCACTGCAACATCTTCTCCGCGATGATATCCCAGGGTCGTGTGCTGGAAGGGGAAGGGAGAGACTCGGCGAGTACGGATTTGATGACGAAGTAGTGGGATTCGATGATGAGGGCGTTGATCGAGTCGATGATGAGGCGATTGAGTTCTGGAGAAGGCGGAGTCGTGGGAAGGTCTGAGACGTCTGGTATGCCAACCAGGAGGATATAGTCTTTGTGCGCCTGTCTCCAGACTTTCACCCAACGCTGTAGATTCCTGCGGTGCTCCAACACAAATTGTGGAATTTGGTCGGCATGCCTACAGCAGGCATACTTGCCGATGAATGCCCATACGGCGTGACAAATGCGCATCCAGGAGCCCATGAAGTCATGAGGAGAGAAGAACTTCATCACTGGAGGTTCTTGGGCCCAAACTTCTGGCGCATCGATACCAATGTCGAGCAGTGGACCATGATCGAGAGCGGGCATCGTGTCTTCAATGTCCATCTGCAAGAGCATGTTGGTTAGACCATTGATACTGTCCTGGCTCGTCTCTGCTGTCTTGGTGTTGTGTTCATGCCCCTTCAGCGCTTTTCTGGCGTTGGCCAGTATGGTCATTGCACCTTGGAGATGGATTGCGGCGGCTGCACTGTCCCCTCGAAGACGGTCAAAAGTGAACAGCAGAATGCAGCACATCAGCACAAGATCGGGCGAAGGGTTAGGTGTTCGATCCATGTAGACTCGAAGCTTTTTGATGGACGCTTGGTATGAAGCGAAGGATGTTGCGGATATGAGGCCTTCGTTGCAGTGATCCAAGTGAGCGCCTGACACTGCCAATACTGCTTGCCGGACCATTGGCTCTGATTGACTTCCCTGCAGGACAAATCCATCCCAGAAGCGGCCTGGCAGATAACCCGAAAGATCGAGAGCGGCAAAGTTTACGAAGTAATGCATGGTTTTGTGGTCTGTTGGACGATCATGCATGCCGCATGAGATGCCATAGGATACATGCGGGAGAGGTGAGGGTGTTCCGAATGTCCATGTCGACGAACCCGTATTTTCGGAACTGTTTAGCGCATTTGTCTCCTGCACGCTGCCATTGTGGAGACTCGATGCGCCGTCTTTATCGCACTGGCTGCACCGGCTTGACAAGAGTACAAGCTGAACAACGTTAGCTGCAGCCGAGATAGGAGGTCCGTATGTCGGGGTCTCAACTTGCGGCGTTTTCTGCAACGAGCACATCGTCCAAAATAGGTTTCTGGTTCGATGACTCCCTCTGAAGCCTTGAACTTGATCTGGATGGGCAAAGGAGCAGAGAGTGGACCCGCCTCGCTGACGCCTTTTGAACCCCTGTGCATATTCGACAGTTGAGCATGCCGATTCTTTGACTGTTCGCTCGAGCGTGCTGAACGGCCGGTGCTGCCCTCGCACTCGAGGAACAGGAACTGTTTCGGTGTTGCCATGTCCTCGCACTACTTCTTGCAGGACTCGCGCAGAGCTCCAAATGCGAAGTTCTTGATTGGGAGGCATACAAAGCGGCAGTCCTTTTTCTTAATAGCAGCTCAGCCGTACTTCCTAAAGCCACTCAGCCGTCCAGAATAAGGTTCTAACAGCCTGCAGATCACCCTGTTGCCAGATGCGGTTAGGCAGCATATCTAGCTGCATTGACGCCACAGGCTCCATATATACTTACTGTAGCCATTGAAGTCCAATCCGAGTGGTACAGTAGCAATGTATGCTAGCTTCCGAAGTTTCCTCAGGATACATGAGCGCAGCTATTTCTTGCTTCTTCTCAGAGGCATAGTCGCCAACGGACGGATCGAGATGAACCATGCGCGGCTGGCATTACCGCTCTTTTGTGAAGACGGGTTCCAGAGCTAGTGCTGTGTCTGCGGGAGAATACTCGTGGAGCTTTCACGATAGCTTCATGGCCAGAACGCGGGGTATCGGTGAGCAGATGGTTGTTGATCGTTGTTGAAAGAGACGAGGTGAAGTCGGTTCTCTGGTGTCTCGCTTCTCGACCGAAGCTTTTGTCACGGACAGAAGTCGTAGCTTCAAGATGTCGATCACATGAAGGCTCCCACCTCAGATACAATCATTCTTTCGTCAGACCGTCTTGATTGCTGCAAATATGACGCCAAAGCACAACGTTTCTCGGTGACCACTTCTCTACACGGTCTGACATGAGCAGCAGACTTGCCACGCGATGGAACCGTTCACGTTCGCCAGCTCCTCGGAGCTTCACCTTGAGCTCGCTGTGAAGGTGTGGGTTTACCTGTAATACCACTCGAAGATTAAATCAAAGCTGATATCGTATAGCAACCGCCTTGAAGGATACGAAAAGCCTTTGCCCTATTCCACCCTCCTCAAACGACCCGACCTACGCCACAGAGGCAGCAACCTCAGCCCAAACTCCGAACTCTACGTTACCGTCCAACCGTTCACCGATTCCAAACCGCTCACGGTTCCCTCTCAGACTCCCTACAAACACTTCAAGAATGGACGAATATGGAACCAGTGGCTCAAGCTGCCTGTCTCGTATAGCACACTGCCGGCCAACACTCAGCTGGCCATCACCGTCTGGGATCTGTCGCCAGTGAACCCAGGAGGTGGAGATCGTGGTCACCATGTGCCGTTTGGTGGTACAACAATATCTTTGTTTGACGATGACTTTACTCTGAGAACGGGCAGGCAGAAGTGCAAGATCTGGCGGCATAAGGCAGCGGATGGCTACTCGGACACTACAACACCATGGCAGGAGCCAAGCAAGCGTGGCAGGCGTGGTCAGCCAGAAGAGCCAGACGTCGTCGATGAGAAGCAGAGTCGGAGAGACGCTGAGCTAGAACGCTTGGTCGGTCTCATGAAAAAGCATGAGATGGGCGAGATACAAGAGAATCGGTGGCTGGATCAGATGGTCTTTCGCCAGGTGGAGAAGCTGGAGCGACAGCAAATCAAGGACACGACGAAGCCTCAAATCGGAAAGCAATGGACCGCGGAGACAAATGGAGATCATAATGGGCCACGGTGTGCTGAGGGTGATCCAGATCACGTTGACGGCACGTTCTTCCTGTACATTGAATTCCCTCGATTCGATCATCCCATCGTTTTCACGGACCACGAATATCCACCACCTCCAGTTTCAAGCGTTCAGATCCAACCACAGACGATCGCTGGAGTGAACTTCAAGCCGCCACCAGAAGTACAGCTTGGGCCCGGTATCCATGCGGATGGCGGCAGCGACACTGATGGAGGAGGCCCTCTGATATCCATATACGACCCCGAGATTGGTTACGCCGACAACCCAGCTGAAGCGAAACATCGACGTTTGATTCGTGGTCAGCGGAGTGCTCTTGATAGAGACCTGAAGCCCAACCCGAAAATGCGCGACTTCCTCAACAAGACCATAGCCCGCGGTCCGACTTGGGAACTGTCTGACAAGGAGAAAGATGAAGTCTGGCGATTCAGACATCATCTAACCCATAACAAGCACGCACTCACCAAGCTGGTCAAGTCGGTGAACTGGAATGAGCCATCTGAGAGCCGCCAAGCTCTAGCACTGCTACCAAAGTGGGTTGAGATTGATGTTGACGATGCTTTGGAGTTGCTAGGCCCAAGCATACGAAATCCAGGCGTTCGCGCATTTGCTGTTGACCGACTGCGCAAAGCCGACGACGACGAGCTACTACTTTATCTGCTGCAGCTGGTTCAAGCACTGAAGTTCGAGCCGAAGACCTCCAAAGAAGAGGACGAAACCGATTCCTCCTTGGCATCCTTCCTCATCGTGCGCTCAGCAGCCAATCTCAAGCTTGGCAACTTCCTCTATTGGTACCTCATGGTCGAACTGCAGCTAGATGAGGACGTTCCATCACAGTCGCCAGCCAATAAGAAGCTTTTTGCCCGTGTCAGCTACGACTTCATGAAAGAGCTTGAGAATACACCCGAAGGCCAGGCCAGGCGAAAGACATTGCTACGGCAAGGAGAGTTGGTGACTGTTCTTAGCAAGATCAGTAAGGACATACGAAACGGCAAAGGCGATCGCGTTCGCAAGATTGAGCAATTGAAGAAGATGCTGGCAGATCCAAAGAACGACTTGCTCGTCTTCGATCCACCACTGGCACTTCCACTCGATCCGGAGATCAAGGCGACTGGTGTGATTGCCGACGACTGCAATGTCTTCAAATCGTCGCTGCTACCGCTTCTCATCAACTTCAAGACGGAAGGAGGGGAGAAGTACCCCTTGCTGTTCAAGACTGGCGATGACTTGCGCCAGGACCAGCTCGTCGTTCAGATCATTGCTCTGATGGATCGCCTACTACTGAACGAGAACCTCGACCTCAAGCTCACACCTTACCGAATTCTTGCGACGTCCACTCTCACTGGTGCTGTGCAATTTGTTCCTGCTACAGCACCAGTATCGAACATCCTTCAGGATCCCAAGTACAAAGCCTCCATCCTTGGCTACCTACGCGCCCACAATCCGGCAACGCCAGGAACGCCTTCAATTCTCGGAGTGCGGAAGGATGCCATGGACAACTACGTCAAGTCTGTTGCTGGCTATTGTGTTGTGACATACCTTCTTGGTGTAGGTGATCGTCATCTGGACAACCTCCTCATCCAAGAGGATGGACACTTCCTACACATCGACTTCGGCTACATCCTCGGTCGAGATCCGAAACCCATGGCACCGTTGATGAAGCTCTCGCGCGAGATGGTCGAAGGTATGGGCGGCGCAAGCAACAACCCCGGCGAGTCGCAGTTTGAGACCTTCAGGCAGTACTGCTTCACTGCATACACGACCCTGCGCCGCAGCAGCTCGCTGATCTTGAACTTGTTCTCGTTGATGCAGGATGCTGGTATCCCAGGCTTGGCCATCTTTGGCGGTGATGCTGCTGTGAGGAAGGTGGAAGAGCGCTTTAAGCTCGACGTTGGTGAAGAGGATGCTGTGAGGTTCTTTGCGCAGATGATTGACAAAGAGATGGGCGCTTGGGGGCCTGTCTTGATCGATAAGTTACACGGGTTCACGCAGAATTGGAGATCATAAGCAGTGTGAAATGAAAAGACGATTTATGCCTGACACACCCGCGCGCACTCTTCGATGGGCGTTGGCCTAAAATATTCACTTGCAAGTGAAAGCTCGGACCGCCTCTGTGGCGTGGCGAATGTAAACCAAACGCCAGCTCCTCCTCCGCAACACGACCACATCCCCGACAACTCAAGCAGACATGTCGTCCTCGCAGTCACCACGTCGGCCTGGTCGCGAGTCTAGCATGAAGAGAAAGCGAGAGGAATCTGCATCTCCCACGTCGCAGCATTCACAGCATGAGGGCGAGGATGGGGTCGTTCGGCGCGGTTTCGAGGCAAGTCACAATGCTCCCACCAACTCCCGGTGAGTTCGAGTACTGCGGAACAGGACTGATATTGCGTAGAACCATGATCCTGAGCCACGACTAGCTGGTCCCGAGTCGCATCCTCGCAAGAAGCACCGGGGAGAGTCGTCCGGGCTCCAAGTCGACGATACGGGCAGCGACGAGAGCGATGGATATTCGAGGTACAGCGACGGTCACAGCGAGGTCCCACCCAGCGACGGCGAAGAAGAGGAGGAGGTCCAGGGACCGCCATTGACCAGGGAAGAGGAGTACATCGCCAGCATGTCCTGCTATTGGGACACCATGCCCGACACCCTCGTCGACGAGTCCATTCACCCTCATGCCATCCGGGGGCCGATGCCCGAGAGACTCGAGTTCAAGAGCTGGCCCAAGGCCGTCCTGTCGAACCTTGTAGACTTCGCACAGTTGAATATCGGCGTCGAGGAGGCTGTGGAGTACATCGAGAAGGCGTATCGGCAGCGTCGGGACGTGTTGGGATCGCAGCCACGCCCACCTTGGGTGATTGCTATGGATATCGCGGAGGCATCGGGAATGGCAGAGGATGATGGCTACGAGATGGACAAGAAGAAGGAGATCACGTCGCCGGTTCCTGGTCGCAACTTCGACCTGTTCCGCTAGTTCTGGGAGGTGGTAGTGCGGTCGGCTTTTTTTCGTTACATGTCTTTGCCATCAGTTTCAAAGACCTCTATGGTACGGTCGTCTAGGACAGGCAAAGCAGCAGAGAGTCACGTGAAAGTGAAATATAGCTTCCCTTTCGGGAACTTGACCATACCGCTTTTGTTCGAGCTCCTCACCTCACGTAAGCCAGGAAAGCAATCTCTGGCGACCTCAGCGCTTCTCCTCTTGTCGCCAAACAGTCATCGTGCACGCTGTCCACCATGTAGTCTCCTTTTGCCTCTCGATCTTCTGCATTCTACGAGAACGTAAAGTGCATCGTACCTTCTTAAGATCTCCTCTAAACCCACGAAAGCAACCACGTGAAACACGACTCAATGGTCACTGCCTTCCGCGAAGCACCTTTGCTTTTCCTGACAACCTCCAATGCTTCCGCACCGACTGGGCGCAATGCTCGTGCCCAGGCTCGATCAGAAAGCGCCAGACGCACAAATCCTGCAGCCGCGCGATATGGATCTTTCGGCTCCTTTAGCATTGACATGAGCCCCGTCAGCAGAGCCACCAACGTTCACGAGGAAAATCAGCCTAAGCGCCGGAAGATTGAGCATGTCGATGATGAGAATAAGCGAAACGATGGCCAGGAACAGCAAGTGGCCTCTCCCAATGCGTCTATTCGGATCCTGGCCACCCATTTCGATCAGAGAAGTCCTCCCCTGCCGCCGAATGTCAATTTCGAGGATGTGCTGAAGGTGGCTTCGTTCCATATCCGGCGACAGGCTGCTCAGATAGTCCAGATGTACCCTCATCGAACACTGGAAGCATTACGTTGTCGACAATGGTGCTTGGTCTCATCGGCGTCGGCGTCTCTCGGCCGGAGTCCGTACCTTGATAGTGCCATTGCTTGCGTCGTGTCGAAGGTTCAACAGGTCATATCTGGGTCCACGTCTCAGCCAAAGATGCTTTTTGCCTACACTGAGGCACTGCATCTCCTTCGAGCAGCGGTCCTCCAGCCGAAACTTCAAGACAAAGCCGACATGCTAGCCGCGACTCAGCTCCTGGCTATTTACGAAATGATGGACTTCCCCGAGAATGTCTTCTGGACGCAGCATGTAGCCGGCGCTGCTGCGATGGCGAAAGTCCTAGGCTCAACAGGAGGTGACGATAGTACGCAAGCTGCGCCGATGTTTGTGGAGGCTCTTCTCAACGATGATGAGGCGTTCTTTGAAGGCCAGCATTGGAGGAATTTGCTTCATGTTATAACAACAAAGCCGTATCCGGATCCAGAAATGAGGGCTGAGACTATCTCTTGCTTCACCACCCTGCGCTCCATCTTCGCGGATTCTCATGCTGCCGCCCGCAAAGATGCAGACTGGTCGACTCGGTTCGAGCTCCTATCGCAAGCACATGAGCTACGTGAGCAGTTCATGCTGCTCATTGTAGACAACAAAGAACGCTTCCTGGAAGCTCGGAAGACTTCCACCGTCTCGAGAGGCTGCGACTTCCTTGGCCTGTGTCTCGTCAGCGTCATGGTCTTGGACAAATTGATCCTCTCCCTCCGACAAAATAACTGGTATAGAGGAACGGATATCGAACATGAGACGCAGCTGCTCTGCACGCTCATGGTGGGCCTCGAACTTAACACCACCGAGTTCTCTCCTGGCAAAGATTTGTTGCGGGCATTCCAGCGGCAGGTCAATTATCCATCCTTGACGTATGATGATTGAAAATGGTGGCCTATGCGACAAAAAGACGAATTTCGACGAATTTCGATCGAAAAGACCACGAACAAAAAGATCGAATCATTTGCCAGACGGACGCCGGGGCAAAAACTGAACCTGCGAATAACGTCTCAGAAACTGGCTAGTGTTTTTTGCTCCATGTTATTAGCATAGAGTGGGGTCGTACACAAGAGCCTAGGTTGTGTAAGGTTCCTTGGAAGGAGATTCGGAAATTCGGTGATCAGTCGAACTCTCAACCTCCTTCCGCTTTCGGACGGGAAGCCGCGCTTGGAAGGTCAAACGCCGAACCATTCGGCCACATCGCCAATGCTGCTCGAATGTTCAAAGGAATCAAAGTTCAAGTTCCTTATAATGGCGAAAGTCTCGCTTGCGCAATTGCGACATCGCGCGCACGAACTCATGCTCGCAGTCTTCGCCGCATGCTGGTACGGGCTACTCAACATTTACGCTCGCCTTTGCTTTCACATGTTGCGGGGTAGATGGCGTCAATTCTTGATTTTGGTTGCAGCCTCAATCTTATCTCCATATCCACGACGTCAAGTAGACACGTTATTTGGATGGTTGCACTACGGCGGAAAAGCAATTCTGTTGTGAAGAGAGAACTATGAAGATGCTGCTAGAATGCGCGCGAAAAGAAGGATGTATGTAAAAAAATCTTCGAACAGATCACAAAAAGGGGGAAGGCCGGAGAATCACACAAAAAGAACAACAACAACATTTCAATTCATTGCTACCAAATGGCAAAAACTACGGAAGTCGTATGGGAGACTACTTAGAAACTGGCTAGTGTTTTTTGCTCCATGTAGTAAGCACGGAGTGGGGTCGTATACAGGCGTCCCTGTATAAGGTTCTTGGAATTCTCAGGTTCGAAGTCCAGAGGACGCGACTCGAACTCTCAACCTCCTTCCGCTTTCGGACAGGGTCCCAGCCGCTGAACCACTCGGCCACATCGCCAATGCTGCTCGAGTGTTCGAAAGTTACAGATTCCAGACAACTTATCAACACTTGTTTTTAGCCCACGCACAAGCCCTGCCGTGCATAAACAGCGGCTGCATTAATGTTTCTTGCTTGCGTCAGCAAGGTTGCCCATCCACTCGAATGTTCAAGCGCCGAAAATCATCCCTGTAGGCCTTACAAAACCTCGCAACCGCTACTAGTGCCGCTCTTCTGCATCGCATTACCTACCACACCTACGATCGCTCAGCTGGCACGCTTGTCGCAGCCAAAGCATTGGAGAATGGCAGTCAAAGAGACCGACTCGAGCGACCGTGAGCGAGAACGCTTGCAGGTTGCGACGACTAAGGAGGTAAGACAGCTGCATCTCTGGATTGTTCTGGCATAGTTACTGATCACATGCTAAGATGGCAAAGGACGAACGCAAGGACGCGTATTTCCAGCTGATCAGCGAGAGCTGGCCTGCCGACCCCGACGACTGGCTTACCTACCTATCTACGACGAATGTTGTCCTCAAGCGATACGGCGTCAACCAAAGACCTCAATCCGGACGCGATCTTTCAGTCACCCTCGTCAAACACTTCGCCGTATTGTCGTTTTGGATGGACATTGATGGCGCTGAGAGACACCTCCAGGAGCGCATTCGGTGCCGCAGACAGGACATGAACCCAGACAGCAAGAAGGATCGATACTGTCTACCAAGTGACATTCAGTGGGTTCTTACCAACAAGCTCGAGGGGGTTGGAGAGGGTATGGATTGGGAGCAACTGGCGCGTGACGCGCTAGGGTACCAACAATAGCATTTGATGAGGGACTACAGAGACTATCGAGGAATAAAAGCGGACTCTTGGGCCGAAGTGTTCGGTCGAGAGCGGCGAAAGTGGGCGGGTGAGATGGAAACGCTAAAGGCGGTAGTGACACAATGAGGGTCTGAATGCAGCAAAGTGAAGGAGGTAGAGATACAACACTGAGCCGCTCACGCGTACAAACTGAGTGAAAATGATCTTAGATCATCACCAGCGCCGCCAATCCCTATCAATGAGCATCAGACACATTTCACTTCTACATTCACTCGACTCACATCGTGCACGTGCCAGAAGCGCGGATCATCCCGTTTGCCACCACATGATCCCGATTCTACTCTGCGACCGTCGCAAAAGCTGCCGACATCATATCAACAACACCAACACCACCAACGCCATGGGAGGCCCATATCCTGTACTCAGACGTGGTCGCAAGGCTTCCTCGAAGAGAAAGCGTGACGCCTCCCTACCTCGAGAACCGCAGATCGAGGATGAGTACCACGAGTATGGCGAATGGAACGGCTTCGAGGTAAGAGATGAGTTCGATTTGTCGCTGTAGGAGACCCATGTGTACTGACACGGCGACAAGGATGCTCTTCCAGAGCCAGCGCCCAAGCCAGCACCTCGGCCTCCCACCTCTACCAAGACGCTCTCGCTGCCTCTTCGTCCCAGCACCAAACGCTTGAAGAAGGAGGTTGTCAATACTGTTGGTGCGGTGGAACAAGTTGTGGTCGCCGAGAAAGGAGATCAAGGTGTCAGGAGTGGCGGGAAGAAGAGCAAGATCCAGAAGAGAGAGGAAGCTGGTCGGTCGAGGTTCAGCACGCGCGCACAGGATGAGGAGGACTTAGTCGAGGGCGAGGCGATCCCATACGACACCACCGACACCGAGGACAGCGACGACAACTCCTCCGACTCCCAAGGTACCATCATCGCTCCCTCCGTCGCCCCGTCTTTCGCCCCCTCCCTACGCGGCCTCATCTACTCCGCCGAGGCGCAAGCCCGCCAAGCCGACATCGATGCGATCAGTCACTTCTGGGGCTCCTACCCACCCATGGCTTTTCTCAAACTCCTCCGCGAAGAGCTCCAACCCCGCCGTCCCAAGACCGAGTCGAAGCTCATCTTCGAAAACTGGGGCAAGGCTGTTTCCGCGGAGCTTGCTCGACTCGCGCGCCATGTAGATGTCGAGGAGGCGAATGCGTACATAGAGGCTGCGTACGCGGAGCGAACGGGTGGGCAGAGGTGGATTGGGACGGGGGATGTGCAGTTGGCGCTGAGAAAAGCGAGGAAGGAGGGGAAGAGGGAGAGAATGATCAAGCTGGAGCACGGTGTGACGTATTTTGGGGATGAGCGTCCTGAGAAAAAGAAGGAGAATGGAGAGAAGGTTCGTTAGCCTGGGTAATGGAGGTCAGGGTGTTGGATCGTTGAAAGGCCTAGGCATTGTGTTGGCGGAGTCAGCTTGACTTGACTTGTTTGCGATGATATCCCCGAGACTCGCTGTCGGTCTACCATACCATGTCATCGCAGCACAGCATAGTCCTGTACACTGGCTTGGAGAAAGACGCAAGAAAATCGCATTGATTTCAAAACTCAGAAGTGCAGATCCGGGACCACGGCGAAGCCTTGTAGCAATCCGAAGATCAGCTTCCCGATCATTTCCCAGAACCAAGCCTTTGTTCCCAGGACGGTAGAAGGCACTAGATGTTCTTTGAGGATTGGGAACCGGGGCTTCGAACTGCGCTCGCGGGACTGGCGAGGTTTGTGGATCGGGAAGAGGTTGATAGATTGATCCATGAAGCATTTGATGCCCAGACAACTGGGAGGGACTGGTTGATAGCGGCCGATGTTGGGAATGCAATTGACGGGATTTAGGGGGACGAGATTAGCGGACAAATGATTAGAAGATATCGTGAGGCTACCTTGATTGACGATAAAATTCCGTATCCCATTCTGTCCCAGAAGCCAGATGAGAGAGACCTGGAGAGATTGGGTTCCAGACATAAGAGACCAGCGCCGGCCAGCTCGTATGCCTTGAAATCCCCAAGTTTCGTTATCAGTCTAGTATGCTTTGATGCCGCGGCGTTGCGTCGTCGTTGTCACTCTGCTGGAGAAAGTTGGAGATGACACAGCTTGCTTTACTTTTGCTGTAGCATTGAGAACGATAGAGAGCGGGAGAGCCGGGAGAAAGGTGAGGTGGTTCTGACTTTGACGTCCAAGACAGCAAGGAGTCATAGAGGGACGCACGGCGAGTTCGAAGAATGAGATGGTGACGACCTCCCATGCGCAGGACATCCCCAAAACATACTCTCAGACCACCCTGCTATTCCATCGCACCATCGCACCGTCGATTTCAGTCCTTCGGAGAAATCTACCAGATTTACTCCTTGACCTCCCTCGCCGCCGTCCGAATAACCTCCACCAGATCCTCCTCAGGCAATCCCAACATCCCATTATGCGGCTCCCTCGAATACGCCCCTCCGTACCCCTCCGCAAAGACCGCTCCATGCAAAACGTCCCACACCCCCGAACAATCACCTTTCCCCAACTTCTCCTTTCCCTCACGAACCAGTTGCTCAGCAGGTTTCCTCTCAACCATCCAGTCAGCTTCCGTGCTGCTCGTTGCTTGAAGGATGGCGTGGAACATCTCCTCGTGCGTGACGTGGAAGGAGGTGAGGTAGAGCCAGTTGTTCGCGAAGTCTCTTTCGATGGTCGTGGTGGGGAGCGAGAGCATGGCGGCGATGCCGCGGCCGACTTGGGCTTGCGTGGTGGTGTGCCAGCGGTAGGGGCCTGGGTGGATGGTGGCTTTTCTTGTGAGGAGGTCGTAGCCGCCGGCGCGGTGGGCGATCATCTGGGTGGATGGGTTAGTGTTTTGAGGGGTTTGAGGGGTTGTGTAGAAGAATGGAGAGCTTTACGTAGTCTGTCCAGAAGTTTGTCACCACGGCGATGAATTTCATGCCGAGTTCTTTGATTCTGTTCTGTATGTCTTCTTTCTCTTGGATCATGGAGCTGATCTCGCACGCTTTCTCGTTTTGGCTGTCCATTCTGGAAGTGCTGTCAGAATACTGTATCTGCTTCAGTGGTGAAGTAATTCCAGTACGTACCCATACTCCGACGGCAGCACATATTTCACACCCGCCTTCGCTGCCTGCTGCAAGATCAGGTCTTGCTGAGGCAACGCTGGGAACGCTAGCATGATGATGAGGACATCTTGGCCAGCAAGAGCAGATTGCATGAAGGCGTCGTCGTCGTAGTCGCCCTTTTCGACTCTGACGCCGGCCGGAAAGACAGCTTCGGACGACTTCCTAGTGATGACGGTGATATTGTGTTTGCCGATTTTGAGAAGCTCGTCAAGGGTAGGCTTGCCTACGGAGCCAGAGGCGCCGATGATGGCGATGTTTTTGAGGATGCTGGACATGGTATTGGTATGGAGGAAGTGACTGAAGTGTTAATCTGGAATGGGCTAGAGATTTTTTGCTTGCAGAAGGAAAGCTTTTCTTATTTGCTCTTGGAGATCAATCCTATTATCAAGCATCGTGGTGCTATGGAGTGAGTTATCTCCTGGATTCGACATCTAGAAAGAAAAGACCACGAAAATGTCAGCGGAAGGCCGGGCATTGTCAAATGCTTACATAGAACGAGGCCTGCTTTGTGAATTGACAGCCAGATACGAGAGAAAGAAGTGGATAGCTCATCACCCCCATATGTAGGATGTTGGTGCTGAAGTAGGACCTGGAGACCCCCGTGTAGTCAGCATTGGGGTTTGGCTTGGAAGCCCCCAAACCTCACCCCAAACTTGCCCCCAACCCCCCAAGATGGTACTTCTACAAATGGAGAATTAAACGTAACTACGACCACGACTCTTCTCAAGACATCGAGAAGACTGTATATGTCTGATAATCTCTTTCAGTTACGCATGATCTTGGCCGTAGTCTCTGCGAGATGATGTGCGACCTTCAATCCCCGTTTGGGGGCGCCACCGCTGTTCTTATCAAGATCTCTGCAATATCCAGAGGCAGTCGGAGGCGAGGATCAAACAAACTCTGCGTGTGCATCTGCAATATCGGGCATCGGAAGTACTGATGAGGATAGCCGAGTGTTTCGAATCTATGCATCGTGAGAACGGGACGATCAAAAGGCGGTCGCCATGTCCATTGATCCTGGACAATGCAATGGCTCTTTTCTCTCTCCATCGAGATATTCGACGACTGAACAGCTGTTGGTACAGCAGTTTCGAACAAGCTGGACGAGGCGATTGCGGTCTTCTCACGGCTTATAGGTATCCATGTAGCAGCCGCCGTGTGACGTTGGCCCGCATTCTGCACACCAGGTCGGGCACATGCAGGGCCTTTTAAGGTGTGGAGGAGCGGCGGGCTAATGCATGTGTGTGGGCGATGATGCGCAGCGATTGGGGCGGCTGTTTCGAAACGTCGCGCACCGGATGGACGTCACAGGACTGCTTCGTAGTGGTGGTGTAGCGCCGGTGTTGTCTGAGTACGGACGATACGAGCGCGGGATTGAAGGCGGTGGGTGAATGACTCCCCGCCCTCACGATGCCCGCCCCCGCCCATATCGAGCTTCGTACATAGGTAGCGTGCCTGGTGGTAGGATGAGGTTGGCTGTGGTTGTTTCGTGACGGAGGAAGGATTGCAAAGTGTCACACCAACGACGTTGCCAAGCAACCATCTGATCACGCTTCCGAGGTGATAGAGACCGTATCTCTCTTCTTTGTATACCTACCTCCTTGCGCGCAATCCAGCAGCGGGCTGCTGAGCACCGAAACATAGCCACGATTGCTTGCGATTGTGACGGAGTGTTTCTCTTGCCCGGACCGTGCCTGAATCACGGGGCCTTCAAGGATCATATCTGCCTGTGACCAGCAGCATGACAGGCGTCTTGTCATGAGACAGACTCCAGCACCGCCATACTCCGAGCACGCCATACACCAACACTAACGGACTCTTTTTCCCACTATCTCCTATATCACAATCATACAGCATAGAGTGCTCTGATCCCGATACACAGCAAGCTCGCGGTTGTATCATGGTGGCTCCGCATGCCCCGCCGCGATCATGCCCAAGTCCGTAGCTTCCTACCACAGCCTAGCCTCCAGCCAACACAACGACGACGATGACGACTACGAGATCAACGAGCAGGAGGCAGAGGCCATCCGAAACGCATATCGAAATGCCTTCAACGCCACGGGCCAGCCGCTGTCGCCTGTCGACACCCGCGAGGGCTTCGATGCCTCGAGACGCCGCATGGACTCCTCCAGAAGATCAGACGGAGATTTGAGGCTTCGCGTGAACTCGTCGAGGGGTCGGGCTGCAGACGAGCGTACTGGGCTGCTTTCCACACCCGATGTTCCTCGAAGTGGCTATAGGACGACGAGCGTCCCCGGCACACCGAGATATGGCTTCTCCCGAAAACATAGCTACATCAACTCGACGAGAGGGGGCAGTCGACGGGGATCTTTTGCCAAGGGTCTTATGAAGGCACTGGGCAGCAGCACGGATAGAGAGACACGTCCAGATCCTGTGCCGGGAAAGAGACCGCTATACTGGGATGATCGAGTGTGGTACGATCAGTTCACATCCACCGACTGGGTGCATGATAGCATCGCAGACGCGTTCCGCATGAAAGAGCTGAGGGGTAGAAAGGACTTCTGGGGCAGAACCAAGGCCTTCTTTGATGGAGCGCAGGGATGGGTTCTGGTCTTCATCATTGGATGTGTGACGGCGGCTTTCGCATACTTCATCGATGTCACCGAGGCCGCCATCTTTGATTTCAAGAGTGGATATTGCGTGAATCATTGGTGGTACAGTAAGAGGCAGTGCTGCTCGGGAGCCAGTGTCTGTGATAGCTGGCATCGATGGTCGAATCTCATACACCACGAGGATGAACGGCACATTTGGACAGACTACGGAGCTTACGTGGCATGGTGTGTGGGCTTGTCCTTGATTTCCTGTCTGGTGACTCTCAGGACGAAGACAACCATATCATCCGCCATATCCCTCTCAACTCTTGACGAGAATCTCGGCGCTGATCACCATCGAGACAACAAGGACCACACAGAAGGCGGCAATGGCACGGACAGTCCGACTAGTCGATTCCAGGAGGCTGCTCGGAGACCACCAGTGGTTTACTACCCAGCTGCTGGGAGTGGTGTCGCAGAAGTGCGAGTCATTCTCTCGGGTTTCGTGCTGCACGGTTACCTTGGTGTTAGGACGCTTCTATGCAAGACCATCGGACTCATCCTGAGTGTGGCATCTGGTCTTTCCCTCGGCAAAGAAGGCCCGTACGTTCACATCGCAACTTGCATCGGCAACATCGCCACTCGTCTATCTTCGAAATACCGGAACAATGACGCCAAGCGCCGTGAAGTGATGTCTGCAGCTGCGGCGGCTGGTGTTGCCGTCGCGTTCGGTGCTCCCATCGGCGGTGTACTCTTCAGCTTGGAAGAAGTCAGCTACTACTTTCCACCCAAAACACTCTTCAGGACGTTCTTCTGCTGCATTGCGGCGGCGCTGTCACTCAAAGCGCTCAATCCATATGGAACGAACAAGATTGTTTTGTTCGAGGTGCGATATCTCGTTGACTGGAAGTTCTTCGAGATCATCGCATTTGCTTGTCTGGGTATCTTGGGAGGTGCACTTGGCGCCCTCTTCATCAAGGCCTCAAAGTTGTGGGCCAAGACATTCAGGCGAATCGGCGTGATCAAGGACTACCCACTACTGGAAGTCTTGCTTGTCGCTCTCTTGACTGGACTCGTCAGCTTCTGGAATCGATACACCAGACTGCCGGTCGCTGAGCTTCTCTACGAGATGTCAGCCCCTTGCTCATCCTTCTCTGGAGATGGATCTGCGCCGCTCTGCCCAACGGAAGAGAAGATCCCCTACACGATATATTACCTCTGCTGGGCATTCATTGTCAAGGCCTTTCTCACCACAGTCACCTTCGGCATCAAGGTCCCTGCAGGTATCTACGTACCGTCCATGGTAGTTGGAGGCCTCCTTGGGCGGATCGTCGGGCATATCGTTCAGCTTCTGACGCTGAAGTATCCAGACCTCGCCTTTTTTGCGCACTGCGACCACGACGGCAACCCAGAGTCTTGTGTCGTGCCTGGAGTCTACGCGTTGGTTGCTGCTGGAGCTACGATGTGTGGTGTGACACGGCTTTCAGTCACTCTCGCTGTCATTCTGTTTGAACTGACCGGCAGCTTGGAGCATGTTCTGCCTTTCTCGCTGGGTGTCTTGATTGCTAAATGGACCGCGGATGCGATAGAGCCATTGAGTATCTACGACTTACTCACGGACATGAATGCGTACCCCTATCTTGACCACAAGGTGCGGCCTGTGTTTACAACCGATCTTGGAGACATCACGCCAGAGCCTACACCAAACCGATACATCGACATCAGCGCATCGCCATTAGTTCCAGCCAAACAATTGAGGTTCAAGCTGGAGTACCTCCACATGTCTGGCGAGATTGATGGAGGCTTGCCGATTCTCAAGGATGGAGTACTGGTAGGGCTGATACCTGGACCTGATCTTGAATACGCCCTGGACCGTCTACCGAGCGAAGAGGACACGATGTGCCTCATGAACGCACACGACCAAGCACTCCATCACGATGATCAAGCACACCCTAGCACAAACGCCGTCGACACCGACGATGACGACGATGCCACTGCACGCGAAGGAGAGTCCAGCGACGCCGAAGCGCAGCGACGCACATCCGATGGATCAACCACTACCGACCCGACCGACTTCTCACCCTACATCGATCCCTCCCCCGTCGCACTCGACATCACCAGCCCCATGGACCTGGTCTACGAGTGCTTCGTCAAGCTTGGCTTGAGATACATCTGCGTCTTGTACGATGGCAAGTACGCTGGGATGGTGCACAAAAAGAGTTTTGTACGCTATGTGAAGCATGTGCATGACGAGGATCGGAAGCGTGGAGGTATGATTCAGCGGGGGTTTTGAGAGGGACGGTCATGTGCGAGCGGAGTTTGGGGGAGATGGACCTTTTGTTGCGTTTCAGCGATTTTGTGCATGTGATTGGGTTGGGAAGAGGTTTTCGGCATTTACGAGCGTATGTAGGACGTATCGAGAGTGATTATCACGTGCAAGTCGAGAGTCGTGCTTGTGACCAGTGGCGAAGTGAATGAATGAAAGAAGGCTCCCGGCGGTGGCATCCTTGCTGACAATCGCCTTATGGCTCTGTGGCGTGCAGGTCTTCTGTCCGCTTCGATGTGACTGCCGAGCCGGTGTAACAGTGAAGGTGCAACACGATGCTGAACAACGTGTCTGCGTCACCACGAAGTGTGAAAGGTGTTGTTTGTGGAGAGTTGTAGTTGTCGCGCGCCAAGCACGAGACATCGCGAGTTGCGTCAATCAACAAGCTTCCGGCGTGCAGCAGCAGTACCAAACGCAGACGCAGCAGGAACAACACAACATCGCCGCCGGCTGCAAACCGCCCTTCTCCCTCCTCCTTTGACCACCTCCGACAACAACACTACCTCACCCACACGCGCATCTCGCTTTATTCGTCCCTGTGCGCGCACCGATAGACCGACGGCCAGGCTCGCGCGGCCTCACTCCAAACGCAGCAGCAGCCCCCCCGGATTCACAAACATCGCCAGCCAGCCCGTCACTGCTGCAGGATCTTTTCTGGGGCTGTCAACCACCGACGGCCTCACCACCACCACCGCCTAATCCTGGCTTCGTCGCAGAAAAAGCGCAAGCTCGCTCCCTTCGCCAGCAGCAACGACGCCCACCATTCATTGCCCCCGCCGTCCAACGCTCAATCGCTGCACGCCGCAAACGCTCGCTCCACGACGCCCTCCTCTTCCTCGCCGCTGCATCCCTCCAGCCAGCCGTCCTCGCCCTCCAGCAGTAACACCACCACTACTCGAAACACTCCTCCGCCGCAGCTGCGCTTCATCCCGCCCCACCTGCACGACGAAGTTCTGCCGTCCAAAGAGGAAGGAGCGAGCCCCAGCGCTTCTCTTGCGGAAGTCACCATCGATAGCATGTCCGGTAGCGAGAATGGCGCCAACACCAACACTGCTGGCGACAGAGCGATGGTGAGCCCAGACAGGACCATTGGCTTGAGGAGTGCGTCGCCGGCCAAGAGGAGTGCGGCGGACATGGAGGATGTGTCGGCTGGACAGAAGCACGTGCCTGGGAGTTTCGCGTCGGGTGGTCAGGAAGAGCAGTCGCAGAAGGTGCCTGGGAGCTTCACGAATGAGAATGAGCAGGGGCCTAGTGATTTCGACGTGGCGATGGCGGGCATGACACCGGCGAGTCAGAGCATGGAGACGCAAGAGACGGGGAACAGCTTTGCGACCTCGGATGGAGGAGCCATGTCAGTGGACACCCAAGCGACGAGTGTACAGCAGGATGGAGAGTCAAACGGCGAGAGCACATCTGCCGAGAGCAAGTCCGTTCACCAAGAGCCATACACAACTGCACAAACGGAAGAGCAAGTCCGGCATGTCGAAGCATTAGCTGCGAAAGCGCTCGACGAGGGCGATAGAGGCGTCGTTGTGTCTACCAAATGGCTGGCGAGAGTCAAATCACGGACTTCTGAAGGCCTGAAGAGCGGAGAGTACCCCAAGGACGCGCGAGAAGGCAACGTTGGACCTCTGGACAACTCGGACATCGTACCCGAAGGCGCTTTCCGGCCTCCATTTCTACGCGATCACGCGGGTTCAGACTTCATTCCACTCAAACCCGGTCTGAGTATCGGTTCGGAGATTGAAGTGCTACCCTACGACACCCACGGCTATATCATTGGAGCATATGGCTATAAGGAGACGAAGCCCATTGTCAGATATGCCCACAACACTGCTCCAGATGGTGCAACACAGACGAACATCATCTACGAGCTTTACCCGCCCACCATTACCGTTCGCAAGGTGCCGCAATCATCGCAAGACGAGGCCCCAAAGAAGAAGACAGGTGCATTGGCCGCTCTTCATGCGAGGAAAGAGGTGACGAACCGTGGCCAACAAACAGTCGACGATGCGGTCAAGCTAGTCTCGTCGAGGACGGAGAGATTTCAGACGTTCTTGAGACGGGCAAAGGAGGCTGCCGGTATACCACAGACCACGAAAGTCAAGATCTGGCGGTTACCCAACCCCACTGACATTGCCGTCGACAAGGCTGAGAATCAACAACCTGGCGTCCTTTCACCACCAGCATCCCGCGATCCTTCTCCTGCAAAAGCCGGCCATGGCTCGCCGCCGAGGTTGGTCATCGACCAAGCGACTTTCAACAAGATGGAAGTCGGACGAGATCTTGAAGCGACGGATGCTAAGGACTTGACCAACGACGAGAAGTATACTGGAAGTAGCACGATGGAGTTGTTTGGTTTCTTCGAAGACCAGACAATTTTGTTGGAGGAGCAAATTGGCGGTCCTGCAGGTGGCGAGTTCCAGTCCGACCAGAAGAAAGGCGCCAAGAGCTTTCTCAACAAGAAAGGTGGTGGCTCGAAACCTGGCTCTGCCCCAGCATCTGGACGTACTAGCCCTGCGCCTGGTGGCATCATGACCAGAGGACGAATGCGAAAGGATGGTCGAACGCGAGGCGTCGTCGGTCTATCCAACCTTGGCAACACGTGCTACATGAACTCCGCATTGCAGTGCATTCGCAGCGTCGAAGAGCTGGCGCTGTACTTCCTCTCAAACAAGTACAAGCCCGAGATCAACAACGACAATCCACTCGGACACCATGGCGCCATGGCCAATGCATACGCGGGTGTTCTGAAAGGCATTTACGAGCAGAACTCGGGCTCTTCCTTCTCGCCGACGCAATTCAAGAAGACTCTTGGTAGCCTGCAGCCACTGTTCTCAGGGTATGGACAGCAGGATTCGCAGGAGTTCTTGAGCTTTCTCGTGGATGCGCTCCACGAAGACTTGAATCGCATCTACAAGAAGCCGTACATCGAGAACCCAGACTCTGAGGATGACAAGGTTAGGGATCCTGAGTATGTTCACCAGCTGGGTCAGATATATCGCGAGAACCATGCCAAGCGCAATGCTTCTGTTGCCATGGATCTGTTCAGCGGCTTCTACAAGAACACCATGGAGTGCCCCGATTGCGACAAAGTCAGCGTTACCTTCGATCCATACTCTCTTCTCACCGTACAACTTCCAATGGATCATGCTTTCCAGCACATCATCACTTTCGTCCCGCTTCATGGCAAGCCTGTCATGCATCAAATCGACGTCGACAAGAATTCTTCAATCAAGACGTTGAAAGAGCACATCGCTAAAAAGCACGCTGGTGTGGATGCCAATCGCCTGTGGATGGTTGAAGTCTACAGCAACAAGATCTACAAGATATTCGACGACTCGACATCGCTTGCTGAAGCTTCCGTCCAGACCAACGACTACCTCTTCATCTACGAGCTCGATGCTGTACCGAAGAACACGTACAATCCCAAGAAGACATTCTCGTATGGCTACACATTCAACAGTAACAAGGGCGAAGATGTGCCAGCCGAGGGCATGGACTCTCCCAAGGCGGACGTCTTTACCGTACCGATCTTCCAGCGATTCGTTAACCGCGACAAGCACGAGGTTGGAATGCACCCTTTGTACATCACTTTGACTCGAGAGGAGGCCAAGAACTACGATGTCATCGTCAAGAAAGTACTCTCGACTGTCCAGAACATCACCAGCCGACCGATTCTTCGAGAGTTTGAGGAGAAGGAAGGCCCTACCGGCACCATCGAAGAGGTCGATGATGAGGGTGGCAAAGAGCCGAACGGTACTGAGGATGCTGCCGGAGTCAGTGATCATTCCACACAGTCTGAAGATGGCTACGTGAATGTGTCGTTGGACAAGCCTGCGGATGGAGCGACGGTGAATGGCACCAGCCCGATGCAGATCGACGAAGCTGAAGGACTCGTACCGCCTGGCTTCATGGACTCGCAATACTACCTCTCGCCTGCCCTTCGCAATCAGCTTTTCGACCTCAAATACAGCGAGGGACCTTCGGACAGCGGCCTCCATGTCACCAATCTCACTGGCGTTAAGGACTCGGTGATCAAGACGATGCATGACCGAGTGAAGCCAGCCCGGCGTGCATCCATTCAGTCTTCAAACTCGGACGAGTCGACTACGAGCACGAACAACAGCGAAGAGAACGAGAGTGATGCAGATGATCCTGACAAGCCTGATCTTGTTCTGGGAGAGGAGTCTACACTATCCACGCCTACTGTCAACGATAGCGACGAAGACGAGTCTGGCGTGATGCCTCCCTCTGAACAAGAGCCCACTCAGTCTCGAGCCGGTCGTAGGAAGAACAACAAGAAGAACAAGAGGGGCAAGAACGGCAAGAAGCGGCGCCCGATGACTCACAGCAAGAAGGATCGCGCTGGCCAGAATCGCGAGAACGGAAGTTCGTCGCTCAAGTCACCATCGCCGCAGCAAGATGACAGCCCATACTATGTTCAGCTCGGCGAATGCATCGTGCTCGACTGGAGACCAGAAGCTGCCGACGCCTTGCTTGGTGGTGACGCTAGCGATCCGAACGAGATGCGTGGGCATTGCTTTGTCAATGAGAATGGGCGAAATGGCGAGCTCTTCTACGATGCTGAGCTTGAAGCTCGACGAAAGAAGCGCGACGAGCGTAAGAAGCACGGCCTTGACCTTGAGGACTGCTTCGTCGAGACTGGCAAGCGAGAGGTCCTTTCAGAAGACAATGCCTGGTACTGCAATCGCTGCAAGGAGTTGCGTCGAGCCACAAAGACGCTCGAGATCTGGACGTTGCCGGACATTCTGGTTGTGCATCTGAAGCGCTTTGGAGGTAACCGCTCGTTCCGTGACAAGATCGATGTCCTCGTCGACTATCCCATTGAAGGTCTGGACTTGAACGACAAGGTTGGACTGAAGGAGGACGACAAAGACTACACGTACGATTTGTTTGCTGTAGACAACCACTACGGAGGACTTGGTGGCGGGCATTACACTGCCATGGCCAAGAACTTCTACGACGGCGAGTGGTATGACTACAATGGTGAGTTGTCTTGATTTGAATTATGTGGATGGCGACTGACTCTTCACAGACTCGATCACCTCCAAGATCGGCTCAGGCAGCAAATCACTGCATTCCGCAGCAGCCTACCTCCTCTTCTATCGACGCCGTTCAGACAAACCACTCGGCCCTCAGTACCTTCAAGACATTGTCAATGAATTCCGCAATCCACCTGCCGAGTCTGTAGTGGAAGATGCCGCTGCTGACGATGAGTCGGGGGAAGACAGGCTCGGCGGCCCAGCGCCCTCCTCACAACATGGGTCGTCGAGCGCCTTGGTCGGAGCAGGTAAATATATCTACTTCGATGAATGAGATGGAGCGTCGTTTACTAACGCACTGCAGGAGTCGGGGCGACGAGCAACCAGACGGGCAGCGCAGGAAGTGGTGGAGTTGGGGCAGCCGGCCGCCTTCTGACGCAGGGGCGGACGACGAGCAGTGAAGAGCGGACGTACGGCAATGCCGGTAACGATGGCTGGGGCTTTGACGCTTTGGATCAGACGGACGATGCTGGTGCTCAGGGTGCATCGTTACTGCATGCCATCGACGACGACGCGGACAGCAACACGGCGCAGTATGACCGGGACAACGACTCCGGATTCGACGACAACATGGACTATGACACCAATCACAACTCTGCCGACGCCAACACCCCCTTCGAATATGACGACGACTCGAATGTTTTCCACGTCGAGCACGCCACGGACCTTCCTGATCTCGTCGCACCGGAGGACCCTCCACCGGCGGATATCCACTTGAGCGACGTGAACATGGAAGGCCTGAACGATGCGGCCGGTGCTTTGCCGGCGTCGCATGGCAAGAGGGATTAGAAGACTTTCTTAACTTGTAGTGTGAGGTTGGCAATGGTGAATATGGCGCTACGCAGGAAGAGGAGTGGAGATGCAGATGAGGGATGATATGAATAGACGCATTTTCATGGGATGGGTTGTGGCGTTTCTTGTGGCTGGGTGACAGCCTGGTGGGCGTTCTTTGAGGGATGAGGTGGAGGTGGAGGTGGTGTGGTGTATGCATCGTCTTCGCTGGATGCGTGCCTGCATTGAGGGTGTGCTGTGGTGTGTGGGAGGTACATTACTTGAGAGAGAGAGAGAGAGGTGTTTTATTCACTCACTCATGCCCCCATCGATGGTGATGATGATGAGGCGCGCAAGTGGAATAGAACACGCTATTGAAAACATCAATTTCACTTGAGTACACAACCTTCCCATTCTTTCGTATCATGGCCTAGGACGTCAGGTCGGGAGATCGTTCAATTCTAGCTTGACCTGGACGGACGGCATACTGCACCGCAAACCTGGCGAGAGAGACCTTGCGGTAGATTCGTGGCTCTTTTTGTCTCGGTCCCGGTTGTCTTGAGGGTTGTTAACCCCAAGCCACGGGGAAATGCAGCTGCAGCGCTTTGGGCGAGCCATGTAGGAATGGCTCCGATCTCACTCCAAAGGGCTCATGGAACATTCCTTGAGGCATTGTGGCGATATCTTTGGGTTAGGATCCCAGAGTGGTATCTTGCTCCGTCCTTAGGGAAACTGGCCTATCTTCCTGTGTTCGGATTCGCTGTGAAGGCGTCGTCAGCTGCATAGACACTTTTCACCTATGTATATGCAGGCACTTAGATGTGTCAGGGCTCATGATACGGAACAGCGATGAACGATGTCAACTCACGTTCATTCTGAGGCAAAGCTAAATGCATCCTCTGGAGCCAGTTCCCCAAAACCCCCTCGACCCATCCCTCGGCCATCCAGGCTCTTTGTATGCGCCTCCAACACCTTACTAGCTAGCTGAAGATTGAACACAAGGCGAGCAGGCAGATTGAACAGACCTCCTCTTCATCAAGCGCTAAAGACCCGGACGTTCAGGTCCACGCTACCACATGCGATCAAGCATCGTATCTGCTCCTTCGCCTCGCTGCTGGTCCCGTTCGTTGCTGTGCCGTTCGCTTCGGCGGGTTCTTTGAACAAGCTCGGCGCCCATCGCAAACAGCTGGCGAAGTGATCTGCTGCTTCGACTACTCGCACGCACTTGCCTTCCTGAGCCAAATCCCAGCAGCGAATTGTCTTGTCGTCGCTGCAGGATAGCAGATACTTTCCGCCGGGGTGGAAGACGAGACTGCGGATCCAGTTGTCGTGGCCGGTGAGCGTCTTGATGCAGACACCATTGGCGCTGGAGATCTTGATGAGCTTGTCTCTGCCGCCCGTCGCGAGGAATTCGTTGCTGCTGCTGGCTGGTGGTGGCTTCTTCAGGCCTGCGAGAGTAGCAAGGTGAGAGTAGGCAGATGCTGGAGCGAAGGCACAGCATTCTACCACGTGCTCGTGTACGAGGAATGTCTGCTTTTGCGCATTGTTGTCAGGCTGTGATAGATCCCACATGCGCGATGTCTGGTCTGATGAAGTGGAGAGAAGCCATCTACCGTCGATGGTTGGCGCGAGGGATCTCACCCAATCGCCGTGCCCACGCAACGTTCTCAGACAATATCCTGTCGTCACATCCCATATTCGAATCGTCTTATCTCTGCTAGCTGATGCGAGAAGATTGCCAGATAGTGGCGCGCCTGCCGCGCCAGATGGAATGAATCGCACTGAACTGACGCTGTGGTCATGCCCAGGAAGTGTCCGTATATTCTTGTACTCTTCTGCCGGATCCCACAGCTTGATGGTCAGGTCGGAACTGCAGCTGGCCAACAGAGTGTTACCTCTTGGCCCGCCAAAGTCGACGTCCAGAACCGATTTTGTATGCGATTTGAGGGTGCGCTCCAACTCTCCCAGCTCATAATCCCAAATCTTGATGGTACAGTCTTCGCTGCCTGATGCCAAGCTCGAGAAGAGTGGGTGAAATGCGACGCTGGTGATGGGCGAACGATGCGACTGGAGGGTGTGCCGTGCCGGTGCACGAGGCAGCCAGGTGGTAGGGTCGTGGTTTTTTCTGGCTGCCAGTGATGATGGTGTCGCATTGTCCAGTTCACTCTGTAGCTGCTGTGACCTCGTCTCTAGATCCATGATCTTCTTCTGCAGCCGCACCACGCTCGTCCATTTCTTCTCGAGGAGTCCTTCATATTTCTTCGCAGTCGTAGCGTCGAAGTCATTTTCGGCGAGGTTCAGGTCTTGGCGCAGGACTTGCGCACTGTTGGTATGGCCGGTAGATAGGAGGTATGCGATGAGAGACTTGTGTCTGTCAGCGCCTGATCAGCCAAAGCACTCAAGAAATGGAAAAATGGCGAACGTACAGCTCTTCGGCTTGCCGTGACGTTAAGAGGTTGCTCATCTTTGCCGGAATCGCCTCAACTCCATGCGCTCAGCAGTTGTGTTGTTCGCGATGTGTGTCTTTCCTGCCACGAGGTGGGACGTTGGAGGGGCGGAATATTTCAGGGTTGAGGGGATCAGTGCACGGGGAGTCGGTGGAGATTGGCGATTGATCTGTGCGCGAGGTCGAGAATTGGTAGGGCGAGGGACGAAGAGGGAGGTGTCGTTGTCGCACTGGTGTATGGTGTCTCTGAGGGTGGGATTATTGGTGGCACTGCTGTCTCGGAGGGGAGCTGTGGACGGGAAAGATTCATGAGAAGCAGAGTCACACGCGTAAACACGCCCAACGACGCTAGCAAGACGGGCCGTTGTGACTTCTGTATTCGATTTACCGTCAACAATAGACATGCCACTAAATCAGATTATATTCTACGGTGAGAACTCCTTCAAAATAGGAAGATCTGCTTCTTGAACATCAAACATTTGTGACATTGTTGTCGCTTCCAATTTGGTCTGTCCCGGCTCGGCCCGTGGTCTGTTGACGTCGCAACGAGAAAGTGGGCAGGGTTCCTGATCGACTGCGTTCGCATTTCTGCCCAACTCCCACCAACACCGCATATCCAAGCACCGGGAAAACTTCTTGCACCATTAACTGCAACGACGGCAGTACAACTCACTTGCACGCCTCCTGACGCCGGCATACTGCAAGCCCCTCGAAATTGCATCACGATCCCCTGGACGACCACTAAAGCTTCTACTGTCGCATGCCCAAACACCCCTCGATCTCCACCCTCCCGCGAGCGACAACCACACGCCCAACTGCTGCGAGCACATAGTGTTCGACATCCGCCACCATGGGCGACGAAGAAGAGTTCGCACAATTGCCGCTGCCGGAGCAATTCGCGCACAAGAACTGGAAAGCGCGAAAGGGCGGCTATGAGACGGCAACGAAAGAATTCAAGACCGCACAACCTTCAGATCCAATTGTACGTGAGTTTACTTTAGATAGCGGCTTGTGGAAGGGGGCGGTGGGCGATTCGAACGTGGCAGCGCAGCAGGAGGCTCTGAGCGCATACAATGCTTTCCTTGACGCAGCAGGTACCGAGGGCGCTCGCCGAACGAGAGGCTCAACTGTATCGCCCATCGTGGAGAAAGGTCTCACTGGACGACCTGCCGCCAAGGCATCAGCAACGGAGGCTCTACTTCTCCTCATCGAGCTGGACAAGGCCGACCCGATTATTGAAGACCTCCTCCCATACTTGTCGCACAAGATGCCGAAGTTGATCGCCGCCACTCTTGAAGCACTCACCAACATCGTCCACGCCTACGGGTGCAAAGTTGTGGAGCCGAAGCCCGTCATCAAGCTCCTTCCCAAAGTCTACGCCCACGCCGACAAGAACGTCCGCGCCCAGGGTCAAAACTTGACCGTGGAGCTGTACCGATGGCTGCGAGAAGCTATGAAGCCGCTTTTCTGGGGCGAGCTGAAGGAGGTGCAACAGAAAGATTTGGACAAGCTGTTCGAGCCTGTGAAGGCAGAACCCACGCCAAAGCAAGAGCGATTACTGCGATCACAACAAGCTGCCCAAGAACAGGCGGCGGCCACTGCGGGAGGCGAGGATGGTGAGGTTGAGGAGGAGGGAGAAGAGGGTGGTGACATTGATCTGGAGCCGGAGTTTGAGGCTGTGGACGTCTTTGCCAAGATACCCAAAGACCTCAACGACCGGCTGGGCAGCACGAAATGGAAGGATCGAAAGGAAGTTCTGGACGAAGTGTTTGCTGCGGTCAACGTACCTGCCATCCAAGAAGGACCCTTCGACGACATCATCCGAGGCTGCGCGAAGAGTATGAAGGATGCCAATATCGCTGTTGTTACCGTGGCTGCGAACGTAGTGGAGTGCCTCGCGAAGGGTCTACGAAAGTCATTCAGCCGATACCGAAGCACAGTCCTAGGGCCCATGCTGGAACGTTTCAAGGAGAAGAAGGCGTCTGTGACTGACGCCATTGGAGCTGCCTGCGATGCGCTGTTCGCCTCGACCGGCTTGGCCGACATTCAAGTCGACGTGCTCGAAGCCCTCAAGAACAAGAATCCTCAAATCAAGGAGAACACCGCCAAATTCCTCAGCCGAAGCTTGAAGACAACCAGAGAAGCACCAACACTAGAACAGACCAAGGAGCTGTCAGAAGCCGGCAAGAAACTGCTCACAGAAAGCGCAGCCCCACTGCGTGACGCTGGGTGCGAGATTCTGGGAGTATTGTGGAAGATCATGGGCGATCGGAACATGCTTGCCCACCTCGAGAGCTTGGACGATATCAAGAAGAACAAAGTCAAGGAGTTTTCAGACGCAGCTGAAGTCAAGGCCAAGTGGAAGCCCAAAGCCGCGGCGCCTCCAAAGGCAGCTGCACCGGCAGGCAAGAAGCCTGCGTTGGGTACGAAGAGGCCGGCAGCTGGTGCGAAGAAGCCTGCTCCAAAGGCAGCCTCGCCACCTCCAGCAGAGGAAGCACCACTCCAACCACGACCGACCAGCAGGCCTGGTGTCAAGCCTCCTGGAGGGCTGAGACCACCAGGCACTGGTCTCAAAGCGCCAGGGAGCGGATTGGCGAGACCAGGTACGGGCCTCAAGGCGCCTTCATCCGTCAACGGCGCAGCTTCACCCAAGCGACAAGGCCTGATCATGGACGACCCGCCACCACCCACCACACCAAAGCAACCAGCTGCCGGCAGAGGTCTTGCTGGACGACCGCTTGGCAAGCCAGCAGCTGCTCCCACTTCACCACAACCAGCGCAGCAAGCAGAGCCAGCGGCTAGTGCGTTGAGCTCGATCGAGCGTCAAGAGCTGCAAGATCTTCGCAAGGAAGTGGACATGGTGCGACAGCAAGCATCCGATCTTCGTAACGAGAAGTTGAAGTACAGCTCACAAGTTGCTGAGCTGCAAGTGCAGAATGCCCAGCTAATCGAAGATCACACTCGTGATGTGCTGCAGATCAAGGCAAAGGAGACGCAGCTCGTCCGCGCTCGATCCGACGCTGAAACAGCTGAGGAGCGTGCAAACTCGCTGTCAAAAGAGATTGACCGATTGAAGCGAGAAATCAGCCGGCTCGGTCGCTCGCAGGCAGGCAGAGACAGTCCCATTGACCAATTCAATGGCCCCTCGTCCCCTCGACCGGCGTATGGCAGCAGCAGGAGTTATAACGTACCTGCTGCACGAGCATACGGCTCGCTCGATGGGTATGGTGAAGGTAAGGAGAATCAGGATTTGCACTCTCATGACGGCAAGCTGAGAGGCGCAGATGGACGACCGACCAGCAACTCTTCTCGACCGACTAGTAATGGGTCTGGACGTGTGACGCCGGCGAGTGGTGAGCGAGAAGTGAGTGATGGCTCGCAGGGCGGTCTGAATCGCAGCACGAGCGATGGCGTGGAGAGCTGGAGGAGAGCTGCGGAGGTGACGCAGAATCTCAAGGCGAGGATTGAGATGATGAAGGTGGGTTGTGAGAACAAGACATACCACAAGATGCACGTTGCTGACTGATCCGAACAGGCACGACAGAACATTGGCCGAGGCCAATGACGTGCAATTCGTCTGCAAATCGACTTCTGACGTGCTCAACGACCGAGATGGAACTTTATGGCTTCAATCAGCAGCACTTTCTTGGGCAAAATGGGATTGGCAGCATTGGGGAACGGCGTTACTTGTGATGGAGATTCGGTATCCAGCGAGGGTGGCTGCGGTTTTGGTACGCATGTTTTCTTCTCTTGGCCTCGCTCGATACCAAATGTTTCTGTTCGCTTCCTTCTCAATCATCATGTGCAGTTTGTGGAAAGAAAGAGCCTGTTGATAGCAGAATCGATGGAATCCAAGCCACCATTCTCACAAGTCCGGCTATCGTACGTGTCCTCGGACATTGCTCAAGAAATGGAGGGTACACGAAGAGGTGCGGTCGAAATCTAGCCTCGCTCCATTCACCTCCCATTCGCCAAGTCGGAGGGGGGCGACTTAGGGCTTCGCATCTAGATTTGCCGAAGTGAACTACCATCAAGTTAGTAACTGCAGTGGCTTGCCAGTATACTTTGACAGTGCGGCTTGAAACGAGGAATAGAGACTTCTGATTTGTGGTCAGTAGACGAGTTTGATATCGAGACGCGTCGGTTGGATGTCTTGATGAACGCCAGACTCGATTCCGTATGGACATCCGGTGGGGTTTACCCCGTGGGGAGTGGGAATTGTGGCGCTAGATTGACTGTTGTCGAGAGGAGACGGGGAGGGAGAGGGGGATATATGGAGACGATGGCACGGACTTGCGCGTGAAGGTTGCTGGTGAGACTTGTTGGACCACTTCTCTCTCCATCATTCACCCCATACGAGTTGATTTACGATGTCAGGCCTCCGATACGCTTTCTCCCTCTCGAAGCACGAAGTCGCAGAGGCAGAACCATCAGGAACTGTTCGACTCATTGGCACGTTTAACTCACCATCCTCAACACAATGACTAGTACTAACACCTCCCAGACCGCACAACAACAACCAGCACCCAAATAACCCGCACCCCACCCCCCTCCCTCTCCCCCTCCGACCCCCTAAACTGGCCCCAATGGCGCAAAACCACAATCCTCCTCCTCATGTCCCTCTACTGCTTCACCGCCAACTTCGGCTCCGCCGCCCTGGCCCCCGCCCTCCAACTCCTCCTCCCAATCTATCACGGCACCCAAACCTTCTCCACCCTCTCGCACCTCATCGCCGTGAACGTCCTCCTCATCGGCGTAAGCAACATCTTTTGGGTCCCCCTCGCGGATACCTTCGGACGGCGGGGCGTGCTCATCGTCGCGATGGCGGTCGCCGTGGGCGCGAGTGTGTGGTGTGGGCAAGCGGGGTCGTTTGAGGGGTTGCTTGCTGCGAGGGCGGTGCAGGGTGTCGGATTTGGACCGGCGGATAGTATTGCGGCGAGTGTGTTGGGAGAGGTGTTTTTTGTGCATGAGAGGGGACGGGCGATGGTTCGTATCACCCACTTCTCTAGTATCCCTGTTCAATGTTGTGGAAAGTTGATGTTTTGTGTCCCAGACGATCTATACCATCTTCCTCGTCGGCGGTCTCTGCGGCGGCTACATCGCGGGCATCCAGGGGTATCGGTACATTTTCTGGATCACGACGGCGCTGTTGGCTTTCGTCTTGCTGGGTACGATGTTCTTCGTTGCCGAGACGAGTTTCGATCGGGAGGCGCAGTTTCTTGTTGAGCGAGAGTCTGGTGGACTTCGGAGTGGAGAGTTGTTCGGGGATGAGAAGACGGCCAATGTGGAGATGATTGAGCGGGTGAGTCCTTCGTCACGGTTGAATGTCGATCGGGAGACGTTCACGTTCGCGCAGAGTCTGAGAGTCGGTGTCTATCGAGGGCATTTTCTCAGAAACTTCCTCGCTCCCTGGCTCTCGCTGGCATTCCCTGGGACGTGGATCGTCATGTTACAGTACGTCTCTCCATCCCTCCACTCACATCGTGCACGGACTGACAATGATGGTAATATCAGCTACGGCGGCCTCCTCGGCGGCCTCGTAACAATCTCCATCGTCGGCCCCCAATTCCTCGCCATGCCCCCCTACCTCTGGGGCAACAACGCCGGCCTAAGTATCCCTCCTCCCCCAACCACCACCATCATCACCACCTCTCTAACACCCCCTTCCAGTCAACATCGGCGGCCTAACCGGCTGCATCCTCGGCGGTCTCCTAAACTACCTCCTCTCCGACCGCCTCGCCCTGCGCAGTTCCAAAACCCGCTCTTCCACCCAACAAGGCTTCTTCGAACCCGAATCCCGCCTCCCCACCATCTTCCCCTTCCTCTTCCTCGCCACCACGGGCATCTGGACGTTTGGGTTCAGCGCACAGAGTGGCACTGAGAAGGCCTGGGTGGGCATGTGTGTGGGGTATGCAATGGTCGGGGCGGGGATTACGGGGATTCCGAGTTTGGGGTTTGGTTATGTACGTCCTCTCAATCCCACCTTCGACCACCACCTCGTGGATGGATGTCGTGTGTATGTGTGCTAATGTTGTGATAGATCATCGACGCCTACCACCCCATCGCAGCCTCATGCTTCGTTATGACGACCATCTCGCGCTCCCTCGTGTCCTTCGCCTGGACCTACTTCGTCGGGGACTGGGTCGCGCATGCGGGGCCCGCGGTGCCCTTTGGGATCTTTGGGGGGATTATGGGGGTTTTCGCGTTGTTGACCGTGCCGTTTTGGTGGTGGGGGAAGAGGTTGAGGATTGCGACCCAGGGGTTGTTGCCCAGGGAGGAGTAGAAAGCAGGGGTGGGGTGTTGGGGGGATGGTGGTTGAGGATTGGGCGTTCAATGTGACGGCAAACGACTGCTCGCTCGTCGAGAGTTTCCTTTACTCACTATCCTCCATCCTCGCCCTCATCATCTTCCCCCTCCGCCAACATCGCAATCAAAGAATGCAACTCCGCCCTCGTAGCATCTACACCCGGCAAGCTTTCCTCCCCATCCCCACTCTCTCCCTCCACCTCCTCATCCCCATCCAACTCCGGCGCCAAACTCAACACCCTCACCGCCTTCGTCTGGAAAATGCGATTCAACGCCCGCAAAGGACCCGGTGCACCACCTTCGCCCTCTTCACGCCGCCAACGATAATGCAACGTGGTATATGTGCTCATGATGCAATCCTCGTAGAGGCCCATGAAACTCACCGGGTTGGCGAGTTGGGGCTTGATGGATGTTGCTGTGGTGAAGGAGGGACGTGCAAGTAGCACCCCTTCGTCTTCCTGATGGGTGGGATTCGATGCTTGCACGTGGTCATCGTCTGTCAAGCCGATGATGTAGATCAAATCCTGGATTTCGAACATGACCCGGTGATCGCGGACAGACAACCACCCTCCAAGGTCGAAACTCGATCCGTCCGAGTCGCAATCGATGATCTGGATGAGGTTCTTCTTCTTGTTCTTCTCCGCGCACAATTTGTGCCAGTTTGGACAGACGAGAAGTCTCCCGCCCCTCGAGACGCCGACGAAGAGGTTCCCGCTTAACATCCCAGCGCCCCATTCATCCTCGTCGAGAGAGACTCTATCGTCGCCGGGGAAAGATCCGGCTTGCACTGTCAGAGGCGTGGTACGATCCCTAGCCGACTTCCCCATCCCATCCTGCATACCCAACGCCGTGGCCCGTCGGGGCCTCTTGTCAGGATGCCTCGCAAAAAAGACCTCACAACCCGCCTGCTCAGGATCCAAAACGCCCAAATTCTCCCCACTCCCCTTCTCATAAAACCAATACCCCTCATTCCCCATCGAGTAAACCACCACACTCTCATCCTGATCCAAATGCCCCACCGCCCCCGTCGGAATAGTAATCCTCCTCGTCAACTCCAAATCCCCTCGCAAACCCTCATACACAAACCCGCACCCCTCACTGCTCACCACACAAAGACACCACTTCTTCCCCTCCCCATCTCCAAAACAACTCAACTGAAACCCCCTCGTCATAACATCATGCCCCAGCACCTTGACCTTCTCCCCACCCTCCCGTCCAATCCTCCAAACTTCCACTCCCTCCCACTCGCAGTCCCAACACGCAATTCCATCAGCATATTCAAGATGCGCGAAAGGGCGAACGACGTCTCTATCCAGACTCCACAAAAGCCTACCGGAATCCATATCGCTGACATTCAACCCGCCAGAATGGGACGTACTCAGAATGACCCGGCGTTGGAAATCCGGGCGGAAGCGCCAGATGGGGTCGTTGCCGACTCGAATGATCCTCTCCTTCGTCAGAGGCCGTTCATGGCTCCAGTTCTTTGAGAGGAGAGTTTGGCGGCGACATAGATCTTTGCATGACGTGATGTTGTCGTAGTACTTCGAGAAGGATCGGCCGTCTTGCTTGAGGGAGGTGAAATCTCTTACCCCAAGAGGGTGATATGTTCGGCCTGGGGTGGAGTATATTGCTTCTTGATGGGTTTCGTCGATGAAAGAGTTCCAGCTGTGGTTGAGGCGAGTTAGAGCGGCGAGGCTGGCCGTGGGCGTGAATTCGATAATTCGCAGGATGAGTTCGGAGGGGAGCTGTGCAAGGGGGTCCATGGTCATTTATCCAATGTGTTTCCTTTCCCTTTTCTCCGTGGTTTTGCTGTGGTGTTGTTGCTGTTGATGATGATGATGATGATATTGTGAAAAAAGATCTGAAGTTGCTTTGCACGTGAAGTGGATGTGACGTTCATCGAACGCTTATGTCATCAGACTTAGCGTGGTTTCTATTTCTAACCCTATTCTAATACAGTAGGTGGAGACGCAAGGCCGTATTCTAATTATATTAACTCATCGGATTGTTGCATAATCAGGAACACGAGTACGATGAAGTGTTCAAGGTTCCTGCCTCTTCCATATCTGTCTCCCTCACCTCTCTCGTCACGCACAAACAGTCTGCTAACCCAACACGCAGATCGAAACGCCTCCCAGCCATGGCCACGACAACAATCCCCACAAACCTGCCCTCACGATACGAAATCCGCGTCCTGGGCGAAGAACACATCGCCTGGGCCGGCGCAATCGTCATGCACAGCAACATCTTTCACTCAACCCTCTGGCCCGTCCTCTACCCCACCAATAAAACCTCTCGCCTCATGGCCGGCCAAAAAGTCGTCGACTACATCGTCCGCCACCAAATCTCCTCCGGCTACTCCCTCGGCGTCTTCGACACAGAGTACACCTTCAAACGCCCCGAATCCGTCCCCACGGGCGGGCGGCTCTACTGGGACCTCGAAGAAACCGACGAGAGCTTGGATCACGAGCAGTTGCTCGAGCAGATGGATTTCCCGCTCGTCTCGGTCGCGCTGGCATTCGACAGTTTCCATCCCCTGGATATGGAAAAGCTCAAACCCCTGATCAACGTCCTCCCAGCCTTCGCGACGATCTACTCCGCTCTCCACGAGCTCGACACCCGCGACCCGGCCTCATGGCAAGCCCACGGACCCGGGGAGGTGGTCTTCCGCAACGCGACGAGCACGCGGCGCGATTACGAAGGTCGGGGGTTGATGGGCGCGCTGGCGCGGTATATGATGCGGTGGCTCGCGGCGGAGGGGTTTCGGGGGATCCAGATTGAGTGTATAGCGGATGCGGTGGAGCATGTGTGGGCTGAGCCGCCGGGGCCGTTTACAGCGGAGGTTGTGGCGGCTTTTGAGGCGGGGACGTATGAAGAGGATGATGGGGAGGGGAGGATGGTGAGGCCAATGTTTCCTGCTGAGCAGAGGGTTTCGAAGGTGTACTGTAGGCTTAGATAGAGGTATCTATTTTCTTGGGAGTGTTGGTTTCCTAGACCTCTGTTGCTGCGGTACGTGTAGAGTCCTATACTCATAGCTTGGGTTGCATTATTACGCTAATGAGTGCAACTGACCACTTGTCGCAAGTTACCATCAGTGATTAGCACAGTCCAGTCCAGGCAGATCGTTCTGGACTGATTGGCGCTTCAATCAGTAAAGATTATCGGCTTTAGTTGATCGGATATTGTTCAGTACAAGCCATTGTGGTCCAGTCCATTCTGAACCTTACCTATATTACGTCCGTGCACTCAATATAACGCCTCTAGGGGACTCACTTACCCCCAACCCGCTGCATAACACGCATAACGGTTACCTAAAAGGGTAAACTTGGCAGTTCAACCATCAATTAGTCGTTCTGGATAACGAGTATCTGGACTGGATCAATGTTTAGTCCATTCAAAACTAGTAGTCAGGTTGGACTGATCTGATTGATGCTAATCACTGGTTACCATCACGACATGACAACTAAGCACTATGTCAGACATTCACAAGACATGAGACGAACGGCCAATACAAAAGGTGTCCAATAGACTGCCCTATCGTACGTGAGTGAACAGTAGTAACACAACGCCCTTCAGGCGAGTTTGCTCTGCCATTATTGCTAGAGCTACAACAAGAACACACACATTTGCAATGCACGCTTTCCATCCCTCCCTCTCCTCTTACGATGAATGCGACGATCGTGTGCATGGCACAGAACAGCATGCGATTTTCGATCACTTCGGTCCACCAGAGTTCAACCAGGAAAACGCAGAAGCCCCGCCTATGGGATTCGCCTTGGTCTTGGGAGCCGCTGCACCAGACGCCTGATTCTCCTTCGTAGCTGGCTTCGACGTCTGGCTGTCATTCACGCTGCGTCGCCTGCCTTCGTCGAAGAACCTGCTCTTGCCATCTGCCGGACTCGCTGTACTGCTAGAAGGCGTTGCTGCTGTCGACGAGAATGTCCGAGTGGCCGTCTTTGGCTTCAGCACTTTGATGCCCGTGTCCTTGCGTTGGTATGACTGCTCGCGATTTCTGCTTGCAGTCGCCCAATCCGGGACACTGGGCTGTGCAGTTGCAGCCGTGCTACGCCAATTGCTCCAAATCGCAGGTGAACCAGTAGTAGCTGATCGCTGTGTCGCTGTTTGTGATCCCGATTCCGTTGGAGTTTCCTCGCGTTCGGATCGGGTGTTGAGCAGAGTCAGTGATGGTCGTGATGCACTAGACTGCCGACTTGGTGGCCGTGACTCCTTGTCAGATCCATTAGCACCAGCCTTTGCGGAATCCAGACTGCCGCTCTCAGCAGCGATAGCACCGGGTGGCCGATACTTGCCGGTGCCAGGAGGAGGACTCGTAGTGGTAGATGAGACTGAAGCCGCTGAACTGGCTTGACCAAGCCCATTCAAGTACGGCTGCTCTTTGACCGGGTGCGCGGTCTTTTCAGGTGTGTCGTTTGCAATTGTGGCGCCAGTTGTGATGGTCAATGAGTTGAAAGTCGCCTCGTTCTCTGGTCGAGCGAGCGGTATACTGAGCTTGTTGCGCTCATTGTCGAACAACGTCATGCTGTTTGATGAAAAGAGAATGTCTGCGTTGTGCATCCGTAAAGTGTCGCTGCCCAGGAAGATCTGAATAGCTTTGCTCTCCTCGCTTTCGGCAGTCCCCTCATACACACGAAACTCAACCACCAAAGCTGGAAGAGATGGCGCTGGACTGCTGGATCTCGACGATGATGGATGCGGCACTGCTTCAGGAAAGAAGATTGGCAGCTTGGCTGTGCGAGTGCCATCATCTTCGGTGCGAATGGCCTGTTCAAAGCCAAGTTTCTGGATCAACCGCGAATCAAGAAACGACTTGTACGAGCCTGTGCAGACTGCAGCGTAGAGCAGAGCGTCATGCTTGAAGTTGGTGTTCATCCAGCATCGAATAATCGCAGGAACAGCTCCCAGTAGCATCAATCCAGGCGCAAGTCCAGGCATTTCCGATGGTGACCGATCGCTCAGACCATACGCTGCCGTGTCGAGGTTGAGACTGTTCGCACGACCCGAGGCGGCAGAGCGCATCGAGTGCGCCGAGCTTGCGCGGCCCTCCGACTTGTGCGACGAAGTGCGCTCGTTCATCTGCAGACCGCCCAGACCACTGCTCGTGCGTGAGAGAAAGTCGACCGACGGCCGCGTCGAATGCGAAAAGTGGTTTTGGTTTGCAGATTCATCGAACCGCACGCTGTTAGCCCTGGAGTTTGCGCCTGTGCCTCGGCGAGGCTCGTCTTCGGCGTCGAGGTGGAGGCTGCTCATCAGGTTGGATGTGTCGTCGTCGAAGCTGCGGAATTGATCACCCGTGGGCTGTTGGAGAGGCGCTGAGGCCGGTCAATGCTTTCATATCACAGTCCACTTTCAAAGACACTCACCTTGCTGAGGTGTACCACTCAGGACACTGGGAAACGGCGAACTATTGCCCCACACGCTCTTCACGCGCGCATCCTCGTCCTGCCGGCGTTCCAATCTAACAATGCGGTCGGCGTGTTCAGCTTGTATCTGCGATATCCTATTCACGTCGTTCTGTATGCGCCAGTTGTCGGTGGACTGGCTGTATGATGGAGTGAACGCTTGGCTTTGCGGGTCCATCGCTTGGAGGAAGCATGCGAGAGGGTCGCCAGGGATATGACGACCTCAATCGGTGTTGGGACGGCCTCTCCGGTATCCGCAGAGGCTGTCAGTTGTCTCGCCGGTCCCTAGCCCTCCTCCTCTCGTCCCTCCCTGACCGCGGGAACGGCGTGCGCCGCGAGGCCGAATGATTCTCTCACGCCACCGCTACTATGTATTTCCTTACCTCTTATGATGGTTGTGGTGTGTGATCGCCAATTCTCACCCGGCGTTGCGGATGGATGTGGACGATGAAGCGATGGGTTGATGCTCGCTCGGTGTCGTTGTGGCGATCGACTCGGAGGGTGGTGTACACGGGAAGCGGGTGTCGGGGTGTATCTCGTTCAGCCTCGTTGGCGATGTATCGAATGGGTGTGCGCAGCGATGTGTTGATGACTCGGGTGGTTGATGGCGGTCAGAAGTGCGCGGGCAGTCGCGAAGTTGCGACGGGGATGGGGTACAAGGATTGCTGAAACTTGTTGGCGGCACACACCAGGGATGGCGGTGATGCGTGTGCTGGAGAGTGTGCGCGGGTTGGTGGTGGTGGTGGTTGTTGCAAGCAGAACGGCTTCTTGATGTTTGAAGGTGTAATGGAAGTGCCTCGAGGTGTCGATGCCCGCCGATCCTGCCGCTCGCTAGTCTCCAAAACGCGGCTGTGGCTTCGCTCTCACGTGCGTCAAATGCGGAGTGTGGGTTGAACATATTTTGAGGAGAACGTCTTTCGTCAGGTATTCCATACTATACAGCTATCCACTCCACTCGAGAACAAACGCCAAAGGTGAGTAGGTTGCAGGACCAGCCTGACGCTCGTAAAATCATGCGTCGTGAGAATCATTCATGCAATGCCGCCCCCGGTCCATTAAACAGCGCTTTTGGATGCTTTCTGTCACCACCCCTCATCCATCTACCACGACATTGTCGGCTCCAGTCTTGATGTACCACCAAGCAACGCCCGCTGATGCGAGTGCCACGGCGAATGAAAGGACGAGGAAACTAAAACATCGTCAGCAGCATGCACATGTACTTCTTACGGAGTCGACTTACAATCCAGGAATCGCAGAACTTTTGACCTGTTCTGTGTTTTCCTGAAGCTTCTCCTGCGCCCTGGTGACCTTCTCACGAACTACCTGCTTCAACTGCTCCACTTTCATCCGCGAAGTCATCGGGCTGTCCACAAGCTCCTTATCGTCATCGTCTTCCTTTGGCGTCTCAGGTGGTGTGATGGGAGCGGCCGGTCTGTCCATGTCAACATCGACAATACGCAGCGTCGGTACGTCAGAATTGGGCGACAATAGCTCCTCATTCTCTGCATCGACAGCTCGTCCAGCTTCTTCACGCAGGTGGTCCAGTTCACCGTCCTCATCTTCCCGAACGCTTGGCAATGACGGTGACACACTTGCAATAGCCGAGTTTGCAGGTGATTGTGATGGGCTAGCGACGTCGTCCGAGGTCTCGTCTTCCTGAATCGAGCTGCGCGTGCGATTCAGGTGTTCCATGATGCCCTTGTGGTCAGTTGGGAACACTTCCAGTGATGGGTCGTTGGGATCGGCCTCCTGCGGGATCGAGTCGCTGCTGGACTTGCGAGCATTGCGAAATTGGGGAGGTGGCTCATTGTGAAGCTTATCGTCGATGGCCATGCTTTCGTGTCGGAATAGCGGCGAGTGGTTCTGCTCGTGGGATGACGGTGCAATAGACTCGTGTCGCAAGAGCGGTGGACGTTCAACCTCCTCGTCATCTTCCTTGTCTCGCGGTGCCCCAGCTGGCGGGGCCAGAGTCTCATGTCGGAAAAGAGGTCCAGAACCACTAGCACTCGAGCCCGTGACAGAATCGACCGTGTCGAGAGATGGATGTTGCTCGTCCTTGCTTGGAGGTGGAGGTGGGGTCGGGTCCGCTACGACGACTGCCAGATTGTTCTCATTGCCGTTCCCATCATCCACCTTTGGCTTGCTATCATCACATATCCACCAATCGCCCGGCCCAAGACGAAGCTTGTATTGATATTCGCCCTCCTCAGCCATGAACGACTTGCAAAAGGTGTACTCGCCCTTGTCCGTCTGCTCGCCGTCCATCTCTACAGGGTCCCATTGTGGATCGGTGAGGTCGGTGCCGATGTAGACAGGCGGGCGTAGGCCAGGAGAGGAGAACGTGATGGTGATCGGTTGCTTCATTGGGACGATGCTGGGAGTCTTTCTGCCGGGAGGTTTGGGACCAACCCAGGAAGGGTGTTTCGAGGTATGTGGGCGAGTTGCAGCGGGAGAGACAGCGTTGGCCGGCACGCTGTCGATATTGGAGTCGATCGAAGGTTGGAGAGCTTGTTGAGCAGCTCGAGCAACTCGCTTTGGTGGCGAAAGACTCATGTCAGCAACCTGACCTGCCGCCGGAGGGGTTTGAGGGCGCTGTCTAGGGTTGCTGTTTGTGTGGGTTGCTTCAAACTTGGCCTTGATGTCGGATACGCTGGGGGCAGCTCGATGGTAAGGGTACATAGGAAGGATTGGAGCTGTGTTCAATGGAGACTTGGGTAGGGTGTTGTGGTATGCTGCAGGCGCATTGGAGGAGGTAGTGAATGGAATGGCTTACCTGTTCACCACGCGCGAGATGGGCAGAGGTCACGATTGCATGGCCCTCGAGGGCAAGAGCCAAGCAGCAGGTGACGGTGAGGTGAGGTGATGTTTGTGGGGGAGAAGGAGCTGGAGAGAGAGAGAGACGGCAAGGTGAGAGAGGCAGGCGGTAGTGCTCACGGGTCGCTTCCTGCTGCAGCAGCAAGATAAGCCTGCTTGGGGCATCTGCTCAACATGAACCATGCCATGGTTGGGGCTGCACATGGAGGTCGTTGAGCACAAGTTGCTGGACTGTGTGCCTCAACATCTCGCCACAGCACAGCATCGCTGATTGTGGCGCTGATTCGCACATGGGAGTATCACCGCGTGTGAATTGAATGGAATTGAAGGGCGGATTGATGGGAATTGATTGAAATGCAGGTAAATCGTACAACCAGCGACGCGATGGTGACCGGAATGCGAACCAGGATGTCCCAGGAAGAGGTGGAGGTGAGGCAGTTCGGTGGCCTAGATCGACATCTGGTATTTGGATGATTAGGTCACTGGACGGGTCTCTACTACCTTCCTCGACTTGTCTCCTGAGCCTTTGCTGGTCCTCATTTTTCTTCAGTCACAATAGAAGCTCATCATTCTTTCGGAGCACAGATTCCCTTAAGCGCAGCTGGTTACCATGCGATCCGGCAAAGGCTTGTGTCGGCGGGCGAACGCACAATCACGACCGCCATGAGGATTGAGCCCTCAGCTGGCTGGATTCTTGTCCCTCGCTTGTATAGCACAGGCGACCAGGGCACTGCATAACCCGGTGGCTGTGTCTGGTCGCCAACAACAAGAAGCTATATCGTTAGTTCCTGGACCGGGCTGTGCTTCTCTCGCACATCGGCCATTGGTGGCAACAATAAGCCATGCTGGGGCCATGTGGTGGTGTCCCAATTAGCCCTCGCTCGGCGGCAGCTGATTGATGCTCACCGTCTGCTGTTAGCCACCGACGGCTGACTCTCTCGTGCCTTGCCACTGGAAGCTGCTTGGCACATCCAAGCCACGAGAGGTGTGCGAACAAGACACTTGCCCCAAATCACAGCAGTAAGGAGTGCCTCACAAGATGATGTGGTGACAGGCAACAACATTGAAGAAACATCGCTTTAAAGTCTGCCTGTCCCAGCTCTTCTGGTAGATCGTGGACCATCAAACTGGAATGCATCACAGACATGGCTCGGTCACTGGAGTACACGCTATCACCCTTGCCCCGGCCGGAGGCGCAAATCCGTCTGCTTTACCTCATTGCCGGCAACGAAGAAGACGAAATACATGTCAGCCTCTGCGTACACGACCTTGATGAAGCCCCCGAGTACAACGCCATATCATACACTTGGGGAGACTCACACGGCGATAAGAAGCGCATCTTCGTCGACAGAAAACCATTCTTGGTTGGCCAGAATTGTCACTATGCACTTTGGCAGGCGAGGATTCACCACCCGAATCATTTTGTCTGGATCGACGCTATTTATATCAATCAACACGACGATGCCGAGAAGAGTTTGCAGGTCCGGAAGATGGGCCGAGTATTTGCTGAGGCAAGTATTGTCTTGGCCTGTGTAGGGCCGCATGCCGACGACAGCAAGTATCTTGTCCAGTGCGGATTCGACGATCTTGGCCTTTGGACCCAAATGACTGCCAAGGAACAACGATCCTGGTTGCGAGGCCGAGTGCTGGCGGATCGTGCCTACCGCGCAAGTGATGCTCTCCTCTTACGACCCTACTGGAAACGAGTGTGGGTGGCCCAGGAGGTGGCTGTCGCCGCTCGTAAGACTATACTATGTGGAGACAGCCGCTTGTTGTGGAGTACGGTCGACCTCCCCATCGGACAGGAATTGCAATTCCTTCCAACTCCATCCCCTTACCAACCCGAGGCCACGGCCGACTTCATGGGAAGGAAACTGAACCCTTATTTTCACCCGTCACCTACAGCTCTAGCGCAGGCTGGTTCGTTGGATTTCACAGACGTCCTTGAAGCATTTAAGAGCCACAAATGCACAGACCCACGGGATCATGTATATGGGCTGCTCGCTCTGATCAAATGGCCCCCTGGCGTGGTGCCGCTACTTCCGGACTATAGCTTGACGGCTTTTGAACTGGCAGTGAAGGTCCTTGAGATACTCCCAGTCGACAAGATGATGCTTGTGGTTGAGCTACTCAAAATCGATCTTGATCAACCCTCTGTGCGGCTGCAATCGGAACGACGACGTACTGGATGCTCGCCTTCTAATATGGCAACACTCAATGGCTTTCCCCAAGACGGTCTTGCAATTGAACATGTCACTCTTACACAGATCGGCACAAAACATCTCTTGAGCACTGCGGTCAGCACTCGGGATCAGAGATTGGAAACGTCGCAATTTCCTGCTAGGGAAGGCGACTTTCAGCTACGAGACTCCCGGAAACCAATGAATCTACTAAGCGATTGGCTCGCCACTGACGGATCTATGAAAAGACGTTTTGGAGGCAGAATCCCCAAATTGCTGTTCCAAAGATGTGAGACTGTCGGTCTTCTATGTCACGAGGCCTCGACAGGAGACTTCATAGCCCCTATAGGTCGAGAGTATTGGGATTGGCGCGGCGGTGTATTCTGGCAATATGGACTGGTCCTTAGACAATTACGCGAAGACTGTTACATGATCGTCGGCCAGGCGCTCCTGAGAAACGGCTGCTACAAATTGCAGTTTCACCATCTTGAAGACGAGAATGGGCTCATTTTGAACGCCGATCTGCACACTGCCATGACGCTCGAAGATCTGCTTATGCTAGAAGTACAGGACCGCAAAGGAGATGGCCGCTATCATCCTATGAGAAGGATGGGACGATTGGCCACACGTGTCGTTGATCCTGACACTGGGGATGCTAGAGTCCGTCTAAGCAACATGGAAAGAACGAGTAGATCACGCAGTCCGCACTATCGAATGATTCGAGGGCGCGGACAGACAGGCTGGGTATGAATGCTGGCTGGAGTGTGACATCAATATGGAGATCGACTATCAGCACCAGTTCTCAGGCCACTACGATCTCGCACCGATCTGACCTTGGAGCGATCAAGAAGAAATTTTCAAACTCCATGCTTTCAGGCGTTGCGGACTCCGCAAGCCGGCTCCCTTGACACCTTCGAAAGAACTCTGCCGCTGCTAGACGTAGTTCGGTGTAGGCTAGGTGAATGCCCAAACAAGAGCGTGCCCCAGATCCAAAGCCAGAGAGTGCGGCCTTCATAGAAGCAACTGCGGCCTCGTCGCCCAGCCAGCGGCGGGGATTGAATCTGCCAATCAATCAGCGATGCACTTTCAACGATCTTTCATGGCGCACACATACTCCAGCGGATCTGGGAATACTTCTGGGTCACGATGCGCACTGTACGCATGTGTAGTAACAGTCATCCCTTGGGGGATATAAAACCCGCCCATGTCAACGCCTCCTGGAGGTACGATTCGAGGGAGCATGCCCGGTGCAGCGCCATACAATCGCATCGTCTCCTCGATGACAGCGCTCAGGAAAGGCAGTTTCTCTGTGTCGGCATCTGTATAAACTTCTGGCAGCGTGGAGACTTCATTCTCAAGTTGAATCCGTAAGTCTGGCTTTCGCAAGACAGCCCATATCAGATACGTCAAGCTGACGGCAGTAGTATCGGTTCCCTACGCAATGGATGTCAGTTCAACAATCCCTCAATGCTGCACTCCGCACAACCATACCGCAATAAACAACGCAGTAGCCTCAATCTCCACATCCCTATCATCCAACGCCCCCTCCTCCCCCTTCTCACTCTCCGCCAACATATTCGCAAAAATATTCTTGCCCCCTCCCGCGGCCTTCATATTCCTCACCGCCACCCTCGCATACTCATCCAAAATCTCATTCGTCTGCCACAACTCCCTCACCGCTTTAAACGGCAACCACTTCCCAACCGCCCTCACAAGCGGCAGTTCCGCCCCAATCCCATTCCCCTTCAACGCGAGCGTCATCACGCGGATGAACTCATTCACCTCCCCTTGCTCGAGCGTGTGGAACGACTCCCCGAACATCAAGTGCGAGGACACATCACTCGCCATCAACGTAAACCACTTCAACAAATCCACCTTCCCGCCTTGCCGCCCCGCTTCCTCCTGGACCTTCCTCACGACCAACTCCACTTTCTCCTTAATCACCCCCTCCCAATTCGTCTTCAAATTCGACCTACTAAACCCCCTCGCGAACAACTTCCGTCTCGCCGCATGGCTCCTTCTCTCCTGCATCGTAAACAGCGTCGGGCGATCCATGACCGTAAAATCATTATACCACGCCGATTTCTCAAAGTTCGACCCGACTCCATGGATGTGTTTATTCCCCGCGGGATCGTTTACGGCGATTTCGGTGGGGGAGATCCGGACGTAGGGCCCGTATTTGGTGTGAAGGGAGTGGATGTAGTGGATTCGGCGGCCGGTTAGGACGGCGAGTTTTAGGCGGAGGTTGGTGAGTTTGGTGTGCCAGGGACCTGGGAGGGCGTTGAGGGGGTTGTGGAGGGTGGGGAGGAGGGTCTGGTTGGGTGGGTTAGATTTTGGTGGTGATGGGAGTTGGTGAGATTTGGGGATGTACTTTGACTATGCTAATGGCGACGATCACGCCGAGGAAGACGAAGGCGGTGGTGTAGGATAAAAGCATGGTTACGAATCGAAAGATCAGTCAATGGACTCGAAAACAATGTTGCTGCAGACCTACGTTATAGTCAACACAGACAGTGAACCTTCGGCGGAAGGAATACCTCTGGATCCGTCAACTCTACGAAAGGTACTTATGCCAACTACCGAGCCCTGGAACCGTTGGCATTGCTTTTGCTGCGACGCTACTGACGTTCAAGTTGTCTCAAGACGACGCTACGGATTCACAAATGCATGGCGTCGTTCGGGAGCCGGGTGAGCTGAGATCCCGGATACCCACATGGCACTCCACCGGATGGAGAAGGTATGGGGGAGGCGTTTTGATGTATCGACCTTGGGTAAAGAACATTCATTGTCTTCGTATTGGTCAATTTTATGTTAAAGATCTGGCCATCAAGAATTCCTTCGCCAAACATTGTCCAAGGATCTACTGATTGTGACGCTCGTTCCATTTTCGATCGAAGACGTTCAAGCTGCGCTGTGCTGTGGGGGAGTGTTAGCTTAGTCGTGCCCACGCAAACAACTACTTACGGGTAGGCACAAGATCAAGTGCCTTGACAGAAAGATGTGGAGGTTGTTGCAGAAGGTAGATGGCAGAGTCGGCGACTTCGTCTGGAGTCAATGGCCTAACAAACCAGATCAAGTCAGTAAAAGAGATAAATACCTTCGGTCAAAGGGTGTTAGATACTCACTGAAATCCCTCAAAAAACCTCTCATACATCTCCCTATCGAACGCCACCCTCTGCGCATGAAAATTCGTCGCCACGCACCCGGGCCTCAACGCCAGAACCCTAATCTCCGTCTCCGACAACTCATTCCTCAGCGCATTCGTGAAAGCCTCCTGTAAAGCCTTATTGGCGTGATAGACCGCCTCGCCGGGAAAAGGAGGGACTTCGAGACCGGTCACGGAGGTTATGTTCAGGATTGTTCCTTGTCGGCGGGGATGCATGGATTTGTTGAGGACGGCGTGTGTGGTGTACATTAGGCCGGAGACGTTTGTGCCGTTCATGGTGTCGATTTGGGAGATGGAGAGGTCGTGGAAGGGGGAGGGGGCGCCGAGGGCGAGGCCGGCCTGTATGATGGAGTTAGTCGGGAAGGGTGCGGAGGGATGGGTTGAATGCTGACGTTGTTGATGAGGATGTCGATCGTGCCGAATTTATCGACGACTGATGTGATTGCTGATTCCACTGCTGTGTAGTTTGAGATATCGACTGCGTAAGGGGCGAATTTTCCTTCTTGGTACGTGTTGCTCAAGTCTTCTGCAAGTGCTTTCAGCTTGTCCTATTCGAATATCAGCGTCTGACCGTGTTGGTGTAGCTCGGAGTCCATACTTCTGAGCGAGACAACAAGGCGATCGAGGCGCCTTCTTTGGCCAGCTTGTGGGCGATGCTGAGGCCTATCCCTATGGACGCTCCTGTCTGTATACCAGTGGTGGTGAGATCGCTGCCTCAGGATCAGGGGGATGGCACCTACCAAAACGACGTTCTTGCCCTTGAGAGACATATTGAAAGAGTTCTGAAAGTGATAGCGAACGCAAGAACTGCGACTTGCCCTTGATAGAAAACTGTAAATGCATCGACCTCTTTGTTGTTTGAATCGTCTACTACTCTGACGTAGTTTGCTTCCGCTGGACTTTGCTCCACAAAATTCGGCGACTCCCCGAACAGCTTCGGCGAGACGAGCGTATAGGCCAAGAATCAGGACGCCAATCTTCCATATGCTGATAAATCCTTTCCCAATGTATATCGTGCGAACTTGTGCTTATCATTAGTGCACACCGTTGACTCCATTAGCCCCGTTGCTGGCAGGTTTGCGAGTCTGCTCTATCCAGTCAAACTTGTCATTCAGGTTGTTCGCTGCTCTCAGATCACCAGATCGTGCATGGCCTTCGAACAGTTCAGCACGGGCAGAGCGACCGCAAAGTCGACCGAGTTTGCCGCTGGCTTCGTTGTTCTGAACTTCTTGGTAGGTCGTCGTACGGAGATACTTTCCGACCCAGAGGCCTCCAGTGTATCGTGCAGCTTTTCGGGTTGGAAGGACGTGGTTCGTTCCGATGCACTGTTATGTTGTCAGTCATGTCATAGAATAGATTGGAAAATTGACTCACCTTATCACCGTACGACACACAGGTGTTGGCACCTAGGAACAGCGCGCCGTAGTTGGACATCTTCTTGAGTGCATCGCGAGGAGTCTGAGTGAGGATCTCTACGTGTTCGGATGCGTACTCATCTGCAACGGCATATGCTTCATCGATCGTGTCACATACAATGACTTCTCCGAGGGTACTCCAAGACACCGAAGCAACGGCACCGGTTGGCAGCACCTTCAGAAGCTCATCGCAGTATTTGATGGTCGCTTTCGCAACAGATTCGGAATTCGTGATGAGTTGGGCAGGAGTATCTGGGCCGTGCTCGCATTGGGAGAGAAGGTCCACGGCGCACATGTAAGGGTCGGCATGCTCGTCAGCAACTACGAGTACTTCGGTCGGTCCAGCGAAGAGGTCAATGCCAACCTCTCCAAACAATTGACGCTTAGCTTCTGCGACGAATGCATTGCCGGGTCCTGCGAGAAAGTGCGTCTTCGCGATAGTCTCGGTGCCAACTGCCATGGCTGCCACGGCCTGCACACCACCAAGAATAAAGATGTCGTCGGCCCCGGCGTAGTACATAGCAGCCACTGTTGCGTTGGGGATCTTGCCATTGATGGGTGGTGTAGCCGCGACAACATGCCTTACGCCGGCAACCTTTGCGGTCAAGATGGTCATGTGGGCACTTGCCAGCAATGCATATCGGCCACCTGGGATGTAACAGCCGACTGCATCGATGGGGAGGTTCTTCTGTCCTAGAAAGACTCCAGGCTCGATTTCCAGCTCAAAGTCCTTGATCGATGCAAGCTGTGCTTCCGCAAACTTGCGCACGTTGGCCTGGACCGCCTTGATGTCGTCGAGAGTTTGTTGCGGAAGTGCGGCGATGGCTTCTTGGATCTCCTTCTCTGATAGCTTGAATGACGCTGGGCTCCATTTGTCGAACTTCTCGGAATACTTTCTAACGGCGGAGTCTCCGTTCTGGCGGATGTCCGCGATTACATCTCTCACGATGCCAGGGACATCTATCGATGGTGCCGACTTGGCAGAAGTTGATTGCTCTTGGATGGACTTGAGGCGGTAGTGAGGCATATTGAAGTTGGTGCAAAACTGAGAGTTGGGATGGTAAGATCTAATGAAGCTGGAAAAGAAGACTTGCCAGGATGTCTTCTGGTTAGAAGAAGACGCAGACTTATATCTCTTGTGTCGGTCCTTGTACCGGTTCCTAACCGAGCCTTTCATTGAGGTCTAGAGGCATCATTGTGTGGATGTATCCGAATCGAGGATGGAGCTAAGGACGATGTCGGCATATGGTATTCGAAGTCGGAATTACAATTGGCGGAGTAGACGGATCCGTTGCGGATCCGGCGTGATCGAGTGGAGGCGTTGCCACGACATGTTTCAATGTCGTTCATGTGACACTCATAGGCCTCCAAATCGGATCCGTGAGACATAGGCTTGGATTTAGATGAACGATTTGCCATGTAGATATAGTTCGTTTGGATGTTGTTGTAAAAGAGGAGGATAGGAGAAATTCCGGTCGCCGAAAGGAGAAGCCCGGTTTCTTAGCGGCTTGGACCGTGCGCCATGTGCAAGGCCCTCCTTCCACCTCCAGCAGAAACTTAACAACCACCTCACCTTCTTCTTCTTCTCCCCAGACAAAGCAAGAAAAGAACCAAACACAATGGTTTTCCTCCAATTTATGAAGATCTTCGACCCCGGCTGAGGTCAGCTCCCGGCCCGAGCAGAAGATGACCCCGATGATGACATATACCTCTGTGGTGTCCTGCGACCCCAATATCGCGTCGAGAATCCGATCGACACTACCGACAGCAAAATTGTCGCGACGTTGCCTTAATACGTATCAACTGAGCGCCAGAACCTACTCGTCTGCCCTTACGGCCGAGGGATAGAGCAGACGGAGGTCCCCGCCTTGCTTGAAACTCTTTCGCGGAGTGGTCCTTGGACCTGCACCTGATTGATACGTACTGATGCGTCCGTACAGTATACACGGCCCCCATCATAGCAACGCTTGCAGACACAGCCGCTCGCTTTGAGTCCCAAAGTAACATGTATTGCGAGGCAACGCCTAACGAAATCCGGACAGAGATATGAGAGCAGCCAATCAATGAAATCGCTTCACTCGAATCCTTTCAACTCTATTCCACAGGCATCCATTTCCTCTTCACTCATCCGACCAAGACGAGCCCGAACAGCGATGCGGAGACCAACATCCACAGAACAAATGATGCTGACATTGAGAAAACTACCGCGGTCCAAAGATTGGTGCACAATCTATAAAGGAGTCCACCTCAGCAGCGTCATCATCCCAGCACAAACCCCCGGCTGACGACCGCGACATCCTTCTCCGAAGTTGACTAATCCCTCAAAGGCATCGAAGTTGCGACGGAAAGAATGAAGCAGCGACAAGAAGTCGAGAGGACATCTCTCGCGCTTCCAGTGGGGAGGGTAAGTGCTTGTTTATGATGCATCTCGCGATCGAGTACTGACATGACGAAGACGAACGTGAAGAATCTTCACAGCGAAGTACCAAACGAAGAGGCCATCGATTCTGAGAACCACTACAAGGGCTGGCCAAATGCCGCGGGGGTAAGCCAGTGATGTGCATTTTCCGAGACTGCCCACTGACCTTACACTAAGTTCGATGTGCGTGGTGATACCCGAACAAAGATCGAACTTCCAATATCTGGCCATTTTCCCAACTATGTAGCTGGATCGCTCTACAGGACAGGGCCTGGCCAGTCAAAAGTTCCGTTGGCGAATAAGGGCCAGGACTTCGTTATCAGCCACTGGTTTGACGGTTTCACCACCATCCACAAGTTCGACCTTGCCCCAGGAGACAAGGGACGATGCAGCCGAGCTACGTACTCGTCGTACAACCAAACAGATGAGTTGATCGAGAATGTGCGAAAGACTGGCAAGATCGACGACATCACCTTTGCACAAAAGCGTGATCCTTGCGATTCGTTGTACAAGAAGCTGAAGACAGTCTTCCGTCCGAGCAGCTCACCTCCAGGAGCTCACAAAGAGAACATCGGTGTGGACTTCAGGGAGACACTGCCTACTGAAGCTGACAAGACGGACCATAACGGCCGTCGATTGTTGACTGTTGTCAGCGATGCCACTGTTGCGAAGCAATTCGATGCCGACACTCTAGAGCCACTTGGAGTGACCGATCAACATCATATACACAAGGATCTGACTGGGCCACTCTCTGCTGCTCATGCGTCACACGATCCAGAGACTGGCGACATCTTCAATTACAATCTCGCATTTGGACCAAAATCCTCGACGTATAGGATTTTCTGCGCAAGCCCGACAACAGGTGAAGTCGAAGTCTTGGCGACTCTATCCGGCTACGACATTAGAGGTGCCTACATTCACTCGCTACTTCTGACAGACAGCTTCGTCATTCTATGCATTTGGCCGGCATACTTCAGACATCATGGCGCGAGCCTTCTGTGGGAAAGAAACATGCTCGATGCAATCCAGCCTTGGTCCAAACATCCTGAAGACCCAGCCAATCGAGCCACCTGGCTTGTAGTCGATGGTCGACAGGGACGTGGTCTTGTTGGAAAGTTCCAGTCTCCCCCGTTCTTCTGCTTTCATACCGTCAACGCTTGGGAGCAGCCCAGTATCGGAGATCCAACGAGTGTAGATCTTGTGTGCGAGTTGTTCCAGTTCGACAACACGGACATCATGCATCAGCTGTACCTCAAGAATCTCGTCTCCAATGCACCTGGGGCCCACAATCTTCCAATGGAACGCAGTTTTGAACACGCCGGACTGGCTCGATACAAGCTCAAGTATGTTCCGCTGTCTGGCAAAGTCAAGCTGCCAGAGTTTCCATCGCAATTCCCCAAAGCAGAGAACATCATGTACATTCCATCGCCTCAATCCGGAGATCTCCCTCGCATCAACCCCAGCTACTCTCTCAAACCGCACCGCTATGTGTGGGCCGTATGTGATCGCGGCAAGTCGTCCTTCGTGGACGGCATCGTCAAGACGGATACGCATATGCAGACATGTACGTACTGGGAGAAGGAGAAGCATACCCCTGGCGAGCCGATCTTTATCCCTAATCCGGATGGTAATACAGAGGATGACGGTGTCATTCTCTGTGTGGTACTCAATGGCGAGACGGGAAATTGCTATCTTCTTTGCTTGGATGCGCAGAATATGACGGAGATGGGACATGTTGAATTTGGGGCGGCGATTGGGTTCGGGTTTCATGGGAAGCATGTTGCTGCTTCGAGGACGTAATGTGGGACTGTGTACTGTTTGCTAGATACCTCTCGCTTTTAATACCGACTTGCTACTCACACGCGAATCTTCTGTGCGGTCTCCAGTACCACGGAGCGACCCAAGCTAGAATGAGGTACTTCAGCAGACAGCGAGGGGCTTACTCCGTCGGATGTCCGTCTGAAGCTTTTAGAAGTGAAGCCATTCATTCACTCACCATCAGGCTGAGGGTATATAAGGAAGGAGCGCCCACAACTGCCAATACACATGGTAGTGGGCACTGTACAGTCAAACAGAAGCAATTTATGGCTTTATGAAGCTTTCTAATCGCTTCGTAAACTCGCAAGCTTCTGGCCTCTTAGCCTCTGCGTTCGGCATGAGGTTTGATGCCACTAGCTTTGCACTGAGCGGCGGGACATTGAACGACCACGCGAATACAAAGGCACGTATCCCACAAAGACTCCATACGACGATACTTAAGTCTAGCTATGCAATGTCTCCGTAGTCGTGCGACTGGCTAAGAGCGCAGGGAGTAAGCATTGGAAAGCGGCATCGTCGAAGTCAGGGCGATAGCAACATGCCGATATCTGGATATGTATACAATCTTGTATACAGAATGCCATTGCAATTGGTGTTAGCATTTCATGCAGATGTAACAAGCATTTAGCTCACTCAATATCTCATTTAACAGTTCACTTGATGCCTCACTTGGTATCTTGCTTGATGCGTCAGCTAATACTTTACTTTTCGCCTCACATGCTACTTCACCTGCTACTTCACTTGTTTCGTCACTTGCTACTTCATTCACTTCCTTATCTCATGCAGTACCCTAACTAATACTTCTCCTCCCCCGGTCTTACGCCTTCGCTTAGATAAGGCAGGTGTGACAAGTTTAATGTTACACAAAATGGCGATGCTGAAGAGAACATCATGAGTGCTGCCGCATCGTCTCAACGTTGCTCTAATGTTGTTCCCACAAAGAAGGCCATTCCACAACCGTTAGGTGGAAAGAGTATCTATCCCCTTAAGAGAGCACGACCTACGTCTTACAATACTTTTGATATATTAATTTTACCTGCCCCCTCTTATCTTCCTTTGGAGTCTGACAATACTACAAATGCATGAATTGGGGTTCTTCGCTTTGTGCGTCTGTAGGAGGTTGTCCATATCCCTTGTCTCATAGTTTCGTCCGCCACAGGAAAAAAAAAATTCGTTTACGAATTGCACTCACCTTCATACCAGCGTAACCATATCATTTCATAGGCAAAATATTTGCCCCAGTCGCCACGTCGGGTCTAAAGAGGGCAAAAACGACGACACCTGTGTGATTCGAACACACGCTCCCGACTGTGTAACTGTTAGTGGATGTTTCAAGACGATTGGAATGGAGAATTTCGGACAGGAACTGCCTGAAGACTCGCTCTCTACAATGTAGAATAGCAGGGCAGCGCGTTAACCACTCCGCCAAAGTGCCAGAAGATGGGTGAGCCGAAGGAAGGTTTTGATTATAAATGCTACACAAGTACAGCCTTGTCTGATTGGCCAGAAGACCAACCCCGACCCACGCACACCTCTCCACTCAAGGTCCAGTTTTCGGCCGCCTTTCTCCTCACTTGCAACCAAACTTTGCATCACTTTGATGGGTCCAAGACTCCGACTTCGTTGTCGTTGCCACAAACTCTCCAACGTGAAGAAAGGCCCTACAACGGGATAGAGACGAGATATATAAACGCTCAACTGGTTCATTCTACTCTCCACCCCTATCTACTGTGCCATCGAAACCTTCGCTCCCGAACGCTCGGAATTCGGATTTCCTATCAATTTGATTGACCGGTTAGTGGAGGATGCAGCCGAAACCCTGGTTTCAGAGAACCAGTAAAAGCTGGTCGAAGTCCAACGCTGGCTTTTCACTCTGTTCTCCGAACATACTGCGGCTCACAACCAAAGCAAACAGACAGAATACTCGTAGATTGTGTCAAAAAGCCATCTCCATCCTCAACGAGCCTTACGAAACACAGACAGACATGATGACAGAACGATGAAACAGCCTCCACGGGTTTCCCACATCTGCGCTCCACCGCGCTATGGCGACGACGGTGGAGATGGTGGAGCTGGTGCAATCTTTACATCAGTGGAAAACTATTCCGACGTTTTAGCAGCCTCTGTCACGCGCATGCCCGACCAGCTTATGACGGATTGCCACAACGAGTGATGGAATTCTTGGAAAAGGGACCCTCTCTGCAGAGGCACAGTAATTCTGTGTGTGCAAGTATACTCTTCGTCTTCTTCCTTACACGTGTCCATCGCCCACACACCTCTTTCTCTACCTCCAATTTCTAGACATTTCCCTGCATTCGCCTGTTGAGCCTGGCTCGGTTGACAGCCACCTCTCCTCACCAGCATATAACAGACCGCCAAGTTCTACGTATGCCTTCCGGCACAATGGCACCGCTGGCCAATGGCGCAGAGGAAAAGCTCGAGAAGAACACCTCCGCCTCATATTTCAACACCATGACCGCTGCCGGAAATTCAACGCTGAACGCCGAGCCCGAACCAACGTCGAAGCCGCAGAGGCCCGGTATGCCTCGCTTCACGACCAGCAAAGAGAATGTGCTTTCAACGTTCTTCATCGGCGCAATCGATCAGGGTACGACAAGCTCTCGTTTTATCATTTTCGACGGCACCGGACAACCAGTCACTTCGCATCAGCACGAGTTCCAGCAACACTATCCCGAGTCGGGCTGGCACGAGCACGACCCCTACGAGCTGGTTGGTAGTGTGAGGAACTGTATACGCAAAGCCTCGCAGTCCTTCAAAGAGATTGGACATGATATCGAAGACATCAAAGTCGTGGGTCTCACCACGCAACGAGAGACGACCCTTGTGTGGGATGTTGAGACGGGCGAGCCATTGCACAACGCCATTGCGTGGCCTGACACTAGAACCAAGGGCTTGGTCAGAGAACTGAAAGAGAAGGAGAAAGCAGAGGGCTTCAATATCGCAGAGATCACTGGCATGCCTTTGTCCACATACCCGTCAGCTGTGAAGCTCGTTTGGCTGTTGCGGAACGTTCCAAAGGTGAAAGAGGCGTATGACGCTGGCAAACTTGCGTTCGGGACGGTCGATACTTGGCTGCTGTACAACTTGAACGGCAAAGAGAAGGGTGTCTTCGTCACGGACAGCACCAATGCCTCGCGAACGATGTTCGTGAATCTGCACACTGTCAAATACGACCCTAAGCTGCTTGAATTCTTCGACATTGACATCAACAAGATCCACCTACCTCGCATTTCGCCCTCTTCTGACGCCGAAGCTTATGGCAGGATCTCGTCTGGACCGTTGATGGGTATGAAGATTGCGGGATGTTTGGGAGACCAGTCCGCTGCGCTTGTGGGTCAGCAAGGCTTCACTCCTGGATGCGCAAAGAACACTTACGGAACTGGTTGTTTCTTGCTGTATAATGTAGGCGAAAAGCCCGTCATCTCGAAGCATGGCTTGCTCGCTACGATTGCGTACGATTTTGGCAGGCACCGAAAACCTGTTTACGCGCTCGAGGGTTCTATTGCTGTAGCAGGCTCAGGTAAGCGTCCGGAGTCGACAATGTTTGAGAAGTGCCAATGCTAACCTTGTGCGTGCAGGTGTCAAATTCTTGATGAACAACATGGGCTTCATCACTCACTCTCACAAGATCTCAGATTTGGCAGCATCCGTGGAAGACAACGGCGGTCTCGTCTTCGTAACCGCGTTCTCGGGCTTGTTCGCTCCATACTGGATCGACGATGCAAAGGGCACCATCTTCGGTATTACACAACATACCCAGCGGGGTCACATCGCACGAGCTACCTTGGAAGCCACATGCTTCCAAACCAAGGCCATCCTGGACGCCATGGAGAAGGACAGCGGCCACCACCTCTCAGATCTGGCGGTGGACGGCGGTATGTCCAACTCCAATCTATGCATGCAGACCCAAGCGAACATCATCGGCATCCCCGTCGATCGTCCGGACATGCACGAAACGACGTCTCTCGGCGCTGCTATTGCGGCTGGATTCGCGGTGGACATATGGAGGGAGTTCGACGAGCTCAAAGCCATCAACCAGAAGGGCCGCAAGCTCTTTACCCCGGATATCACGCCAGAAGAGTCGGACAAGATGTTCAAGAAGTGGGCGAGGGCCGTGGAGATGTGTAGAGGGTGGTTGGATCCTGAGGAGAGCGGGGGTGATTTCTAGGTAACGGTTTGATGTATGCGGGTCTGGTTCTTGCTTTTTGGTAGCATCTTTTCGAGCGAGATCAATGACATGTTTGGTATGTTTAATTTGTCCGGCCTTCGTCGTAGCTCGTACTGTGTAGCTGCGTTGCTTTGAGGAATTTCTTGTTTACAAGGAGGTGTCAGGCCGAATTGCATGTTGGGCACCGAGCAGGGCAGTCGTGACCTCTACTGGCGACTTTTGTACGACCTACCTTCAGCCCAAACGTTGTACGTGTCCATTGAAACGTCTGTCATCGCAACGACTTTCTTTTGTCTCTTTCTCTTGCTCCTCCCTTGTCCTCGGCGGCTTCCGCTGCAAGTGTTTGGTTCCGAGCACCAAGCGATGCCGCGGATATCGGCAAGTTACCCATATCCAGGTATCCTTTTTCCACGGCCCGAGTCGCGCATATTCTCATCTATTTCACATGCTTGTCTCTGATCTGGGCGCGCCCGTTCAGACTCCAGATCGTACGGCCCTCCATGTCCCATTCGTCGAGGGGTTTGATCGCTAATGCAGGTACAGGCACTGTAGACGAAATGGCGTCTTTGTCGACTTCCTTGGTCCGAGGGCTGTGAAAGGCGCTGTCAAGCCGTTTCCTCGTGGTATAGCTCAAGGTCGATCGAGGCTCGGCATACGCCTGCATGAGGACCAGGCAGAAGGTCCCGGTCTTGTGGATGCCTCGCTGCATGGTCAAGTCGGTCGGGCAGGAGATGGCTTGCTTCGACGTTATGCTTAGCTGCATTGCCTTGCTGCATGGCGCTGCAGGACAGGGGACCGGAGAAAAAGTAGACGTCCATGCATCCAAGCAGCTTCCACAACCTCGTCCGCAAGTCTGTCTTGCATATATTGCATCTTGTAAACGCCCCACCGTCATGTTCAAGCCCCCGGTCTCGTTACGCAACGATCAAATCCATGCGAAGTGGCGTTTACATCCTCGCAGCAGCTCGAAGGTGTGCAGATGGTGCATGGTTGACTCCTCTGCTGGTACGCTTTCGCCGGGGAATAGATCCGCGATGGAACTTGATTCCTTTTCGACTCGTGCTATCTTGCTCGAGGCGACGATGGCGGGTCCGTCGATGGGGGTATGTTCACTGCAAATGACGATGATGGGCACCATGCCATCATCTTCGTCTTCACCGCTTGACATGCTGTCGCAGATCCTTCTCTGGCGCGGGAGTTGCGTTCCGAGGGCGAAGGCGCCAGACGCAGGCCGTGCGAGAGTTTGTGGCGCATTCTGCAACGGCGATGCCTCGATTCGTTGGACTTGGAACGATCGCTGGATGAGAATGGTGATGTGGGTGTGTAGAGGTGTTGGGCATCTAATAGGAAGGTGATACCTACAGACGACGTCGTGCACTGAATTGTCAACGTTCGTCAGCAACCAACATGTGAAACTGGGAATCTGCCAAGAAGACAACGGTAATAACGGTTACGGACTGGGTTCGCGGCTGATGCACTTGCTGGAAGTTAATCAATCGCTAGAAACATTCTCGGATCCCTCGAACGAGCCGTGATTTGTTCTCCGTTGTTCCCAAGCCTTGTCCTTGGGAACAGACACCGGGCATCCCGGCAGGTGAGATCCAAGGAGCCGGTCTCAGCCCTCTGTGCGGTGCCGTTTCGGCATCATGAATCTGCAAGGCAAAGAGTCAGAGTCGGCATGAAGGGCGCACAACTAAGACAACCAACGCGAATCCGCCAAAGCCATCATGTCAGCAACACGACCGTAGTCCGCGATAAACGCCAGCTACATAAGTCGATCATAGGAAAGGCTAGAACTTGTCTCCTCGGTACAGGTCACTTTCGCTCCTGCCTGCCCACTCTGGCCGCAGGTTGCGTTCAACGAATGGCCAGCTCCATCGCGGTCCCTGTCATTTCATTCGCGGGCACCATTGGTCCATCAGCCTGCCCCCAGGCCTGAGCCACCATCAACAGAGCCTACCCCACCCCTCTGGCTCCGATGCCGAGTCCTGCCGTTCGAACGACCTCCCCGACACATACGCTCTCCGCCCCCATGCAGCTCGAAAGGAAAGCTGCAGCAACAAATCTTGGGTCACACATGCTCTACTGCGGGTGTGCGATGTGTATCATTTAGAGCTCCCGGGGCTACCATCACGTCCCGATCCGTTGGGGCCCGTCTCTTGTTCAGTGCCGACTGGGTATGTGTGCAGCCGGCAAGCAATTGGTTTCGCCTAGTTTGCTGGACCATCATACATACCAGGCTCGTCGATTCTTTCCCTCCATACAAATTGCAAAGACAGTCAACGACTTTCGAAATCGAAACCAACGCACTCGCTGAACCTCATCATCTCGATCTCAAGCACGATCCCCAGCTGGAACACTACGCCGGAATCCATCGAAATGTGTGACTACACCAAGGTGGAGTATGCCTGCGGACATCTACGGTACACGGTGCGCGCGTGGTGTAAGGAAGAAGCTCTGAATCAGCCAAATACGCAGACTAACGCGTTGAACAGGTCTGAAGTACCAAGAGACTCACAAGCGCTGTCCAGCGAACGTCGTTGCGATCGAATACCGACTGGACGAGAAGTGTGGTAAGGCTACGCGAAGACCTCTCAAACCTTCAGGCGATACTCGATCTGACATGCAAGACCAGGCGACTGCAGGGATACCACGAACCGCCTGTACACGCTGAAGAAGAAGGCCTCCGTCATCCCCAACAGCAAGAAGGATGGCGCGTCGGCGAGCTCTTCCAAGTGAGCCTTGGCTCTCTTCCATTTGTTATGCGGGTGTCGGCGTTCGCGTAGGTTGGAGTTGGTTGCGACGGCGGTCGTTGGACACACGGTTTCTGCTTGACAAACAATAAAGGTATCACGCGTTCCCGTCTCATCTTCTGTCATTTCAAGTATTCGCAAGTTACCGACGACAAGGTTCGGCATTTGCTGATGCGGCTACCTGCAGCAGACACGCGACATTTGCGCAACCGCAGACCCGGGACTGATGGCGAGATCTGTACGACCATGGGCGCGTCGATCGGATGGCTGTTGTCGCACAGCCGACGTCGTTACACAGCGCCGAGAAACGTGATCACCTGCCGCTCGACTATGGGTTGACCGCCTTCGCCAGCGAGAAGACCAGCTGTGGTTCAGACCAGGCCAGACGAAGAAAAGCTGCGTGGACAGGGATTGCGGGTATTGGTCGTACAGTTGTCCGCATGACATCTTCAACGTGTTGTCGACCGGCGCTCGAAGTCATGGTGTATTTGTCTTCAGCAAGGACCCGACGGCTGTAACGACAAAATTCCTGCCCATCCATGAGTCTTGCACTTGCGGAATGTGTGAGGAGTGAGAGGATGTGACGACCGGCGAACCGATCCTGCGTCGAGTACGATTGAAGCTCGCGCATGTCTTCGACGGGACGATCTGGAAACTCCTTTCTCCTTCATAAAGTGATCGAATATGCCCAGCAGAAGCAGCACGGCTTTCCAGTACTCAAGCGTTAATCGGAGAAAACGACAGGTCAAGCAGCCAAAAACCAGGTTGGGAACACGACAACATCTCCTCGGAGACGGCAACGTGCCGGATGTTGTGTCTGACGGCAAGCCGCATTGACGAGACGGACGGGTCGAAGTCAGAAGGTGTTTCTGTCAGATATCAACTTTGCAAGTCGGTAGATACCATGTCAGCGGCGTAATTGGGACGGTATTCCAGTGTCGCCGGAAGGATGCGTATCGACGTTGTTGCAGTCATTCTGTGTTACTGGGAACGATGTTTTGGCTTGTTTCCAAGAGGAGAAGGTAGCAAGACTCAGAGTCTCCATCCGACATATCAACAAGGCTGTACAGAACGAAGATTGAAGTAAAGAAGACAACCATCAGCAGAGGAAGGCAAAAGGTCTCGTCGGTCAGATCCGCAGCGCTATGGCCCCGTGTTCGAGCACAGATGCCGTTTTCTGGAAATTCCCGCGTGCTGACTGGCTGAATTTTCGAATTATTTTGGCGTCGGGGCCAGTTGATGCCCAACTCGGAGCCGTTGTCACATCATCACACCTTACAACGGTGTCACGGGATATCACCGCCGGAAAGGCTTCACTGGCTCCGCCGGTGTTTGCTCACGTGGTCTTTTGCACGCGTCAATTTTTGTTCTCGTTTGGCGCTGCGGATCGTGTTGGGTGATTGTACGAGTCATGGCATCATGTCGACTGCGTGGGATACGTGGATTGGAGTGCGGGCAAGCGTAGGGCAGGGTGTTGTTACAGACGCCAAATCCCGCACAACGTGGATGGCCTTGAACGGGATGCATATCACTGGTGGGGAAGGCTTCCGCGCAAGAGCATCACACTGCGTGCGTGTTTGGTCGTGCTCAGACTTCGCGAAGGTCCCGGCGACGGCATGATGAACTGCGCCTCTGAACCATCAATCGTCGCCAGGTCTCGTGATGCTGCGTCAGCGTCAGCAGGCTGGAAGTCTTGGATAGGAGAGAGTCATACTCCCTGACTGCTCCTATGAATCGAACACAACGACGAGTCCATTTTGTTCTACGGACCAACACACAACCTGCTGGATATTCACGATCAGTCTTCCTCACGGTCACGCCAAGGCCATACCGGTTCCAGCACTACGAACGCGAATTTTCTCCAGATGGTTCTGGTTCTAGCGGCAAGCTCCTCGACGAGCAGTGAATGCCTGCTCGACTTCTACGTCAAGGACTCCGCCTTCAGGTCGTAGCCGAGGTGACAGAGAGTTAGTATGGGCATGTGAGATGCGAGAGCTATCCGCTTGCAAGCGTTCGCATGTTTCAGACACCATTAGTGCTTCTCCGCCTATGGGCTAAGTGGACCGACAGCGATCTCACATGCTCTCGCCTAGCTTCCGCGCGTACTTGTCACTATGGATCGTTCTCCTGGACAGAGAAGCCCGCATTCGCTTGCCGAACTGGTCGTCAAAAGCCGAGAGATGAACGTCGCTGGCGCGAGGGTTACTAGTGGACATGACGCCAAAGACAATCCACCACAGTCCCCATTTGGAGCGAGGTGGCATACTTCTCCCCATTACTCGCAAGCTGTCTGCCCGGCCTAGAGTGTGAACAGAAGCGTGGTCGCTTGCAAAAGGTCGGAGAACGATGGTCTTATGCATTCTACTTTGAGCCTAACGGCGAGGGTACCACGGAATCTAGACGTTCGTCATCGAGCGCGTTCCGCGGGCGTCGAGATGTTTGCGAGAGGAAAGACCGCACACCACCATCCTTATCGTTGTCCGAGCAGGCCTTGCAGGACTGGCTGCAGTCAACGTTGGAACCGGGAGCGGCATCGTTGGGCGGCACTTCTAGCAACGAAAGGCATGCCTCTTTTGCCATTGAGGCCTCCTCATGCCACCTCGTTGTGAATAATGCGTGCACTATTTGGCCTTCCAATGACCGAAAGCCGAAAAGCCATGGGAGGACCGTTGTAAGGGGCAACAACCATTTTCTGGCCCATGCGTCGTCTAGGATCGGCTTGTCAGTCACAAGCGTACACATTTTCGTGTCGAACAGTCGTCAGAAAAGAGCGTTACGATACACACGGTCGAGGCGAAACGCTTGAAGGCCTCACAAGAGACACTGGCAGCGATGGTGTGGAGTGGAATGCCCATTGGCTTGAACTCATGGGCATATAAACCCCTGCCCCTGGCTTTTGCACTGCCTCGTACCGCTTCGTAAGTATGGTCTATCGACTGACAGTCGTCCACTAGTATCCGAACGAGCACTTCCATGCGAGAACCGGTCACATTGAGAGCGAATGGAGTCAACGACGGCCGGGGCAGAGGGAAAGAAGCAATTGGACTTCGTGATTGAGCTGATAAGGAGATCACCGCTTTGACCCCAATGGTGACGGACGAAAGAGGAGAACAAACAATCTCGAGCGGTTACACATCAACTTTGTTGCCTAGCCATACTCGATGTACGCTACTTCAAGAGTGGACCACCGTAGCCATACTCCTGGGCTCATCAACGTCAAGTGCAGGGCAACATGCGACACTCGCCACTCTACCGATGTCTCTCGGGGTCAAGTTGATGCCCACCATGCTTGGACAATCCCTCGCTCTTTAATAGAGCCATCACGCCGTCCTTCAACCTTGAGCTACAAACGCTGCAGTCAGAAGGTCTTATGATTTACGATTGAGGTCACAAAGGCCGATCCGAGACACCTGTCAATCGGGACGTAAATGAACGTCGTTATTGGTAATGTGATGCTGCATGGCTGGAGAGTTTGCCGAGAGTCAACTGCCCTCAGCATTCCACTCAGATCCAAACGGTATGCTACGAACAACATGCCCCCGTCACTCCATCGATTTACAGAACGACGACGCTTTGAGTTGTACTTACAATTGTTTCGACAGTTCACGATTCGTGAAGAATTTTCAGTTTGTACAAGACGAGGAGAATCGTCGCACAACCCAGGGGCCTCTGGGAGCAACAGAGCTTCCGGGATCAGGTTCGAACACCAGGGCTACGCTTCTGTAGGTCTTGCACAGGTATGCTTAGCACTTTCTTTCATATAATGACCAGCAATTTCATCCCACCGCAGGATCACCAACTCTCAGCACGATCTCTTGACTTTCGACAGTCCAACACGAGACACACTTCCACAGCCTCGTGAGACACCAGTTTCGCTGCCGGCTTGAACTATCTGGCAACAAACCGAAGCTCCCACAAAGCAACGCCAGCGGCACTCCACAAATCTCAGCAGTTGGGACGACGAACAGGACATTGAATCCCTAGATGAGAGACGTGCAGATGTCGACGCCTTGGACATTTGTTGAATATCACAGAAAGTACTGTGGCTTGACAGGTCACTTCCTGGCGGCATGATCAAAACGCTGTTCGTTTTTCTAAGATTCGAGGACACGGTCAAGAGAGTTCACAATGCAGAGGCAGGCAAAGAGAGCCGCATGGGCAACATGGGCGGTACCAGCTGTGCGTATGCTTCAGGCCTGTATGGGGGAACAACGACATTCATTTGGTCTCCGACAACCCAGTAGGTCCCGTGGCATCGATGTCGACGAGGATACTGCACCCCGGCTATCGTGCGCAGTGAGTTTGACAGCACCACGGCTGGAACCAGATGGCCACTTATACTCTGGAGGGCTTACGAGACAAACCTCACCAAGCTGCATTTTGCTGCTCGGACAACATGCACGCTGAATAGTTCACACATCCGACCTTCACAAGCCACTGGAAATGGGATCTTGGCGTCTAATCAGCGCGAGTTGGGAAGTGATCTGGTAAGTAGTCCAGGGGGTGAGCTAGCGAGTGAACTTTGAAGTGAGCAAAGAGTTGAGCATGAAAGTGAGTCTAGGAGTCATGTGGAAAGTGAAGTTACGACTGATACAAACGGTGAAAGCTGTAGGAGGGATTTCCGTCAAAGCAGATGCTGCAGTATTATCATACCTCCTATCCAGCGCCTTCGCACCAGAAGGTCGTACGTCTATTACTTTTGTCAAACAGTGCCGGGAAGGTCTGATACCGACCGCTCTTGTAAGTACGTCTTATTTCCACACTCAATACCCGGGGAACTGTAGCAAGAACCAGTCGGTCCTGTCGCAGAGCCGAAATAGCGAGGAGCTGCTGTCTTGAAGCTTGACGCCTGTTTCAAACGCAAACTTGCATCCTGTACGTGCCAGAAACTGCTTTCATAGCGATTGCTCATTTTCTCTGTATCTCCCCGTCCTAAGCCAAAGGCTGACTCTTAGAATAATAATAATAGGAATCACGTGGTTTGGATGCCTGGATTGGTGCCTTGGCTTGAGTCACGTCTGATTCCCTTCACCGGTCGCCGTCGTTTGCTCGCGCGCACGGACCAACAAGGCTGTCATTCACTCGAACTGCACTTTCTACTTAAAGAGCTTCGCAGCTGCCGCCACGAATTTTGAACAACATCACACCACACCATGGCGTCCAACACCAGTACCGCCGCCTTCACCCACAACTTCCTGTGCCAGCGCCTGCTGCAGGACATCAAGGAACTGCAAGACAAGCCATACCCAGGCATCGCCGTCCACATCCAAGATGATGACATGACCAAAGCATGCCTGGTCGTGAGGCCAGAGAACGAGCGCCCACTCCACATGACCATGTACTTCCCCAAGCAGTATCCGCTCGAGCCTCCGGAGATCTCCATGGACAGCAAGAACGTCCTGCACCCCAACATCTTCGACGATTACATCTGCATCAACATCCTCAAAGGCGCCGACGGCTATACACCTGCCTACACCCTCAAGGGCATTTGCATACAGATGTTGAGTTTCTTTGCGAGCGCCAAGATCGACCAGGATGAGGGCTATACGGTTGACCGGGCGAAGTGGGCCAAGGTGATTGAGGAGGAAGAGTCGAGGTGGGGCATGCTGAGACGGGATACCGGCAGATTTGAGTGCAAGAAGTGCGATTTTGGTTGTGCGACGACTCCAGGTGGCGATGCCAGACCATGCGACACTCCCATGTCAGGAACTTCCGACGTCAAGCCTCCGACTCCACCCAACGACCAGACCGCCACCGACAGCGCCACTGAAGATGAGGGGGGAAAGAAAGCGAAGCTCCAGCTCGTTGACCTCCCTGAAGACGTCCTCCTCTTGTTCTGCGATTACCTCGAGGAAGAAGATCTCTTCCTGGCAGCTCGTGCTTGGAACGGCTTCAGTCGCCTCATCCGTCGCTACAACATCATCCGCACCCGCGAGCTGCAGTGCTTCACCCTCAAGCGTGGCTTCAAGGACCTCGACCTCGGAATTGGTGTGCATGCCACCACCCGCCCGCGCGCCATCAAGTCCGAGTTCGACCTCATCTCTCGCGACGCCTACGACCTCTACGACGTGCGTCGCTCCATTCAGGGTCTGCGTTTCGAGTACTGGCTGCCACTTCCAATCTCAGAGAAGCATTGGGACCGCGTGCGCAAGGACATTGACGAGCGACTCAATGCTATCGCCAGAGCTGGTGGTGTGGATGGCACTCTGGACACCGTCATCTACAACTTCATGAACGAGATCGTGGTGCAGCTCTCGACGTCTGCTGCGGAACTCGAGTCTCGTCAGACCCCACGCCACGTCCCATACCTCCCCAGCTACATGCGTCAAGATGCACCCAAGTCGACACTGACGCATGCATCGGAGAAGGCCATCGAGGGCTACTTCCAGCTGTTCCATCTCCTGCTCTGCCTGGCCATCGAGCGACCAAGCATCGTCGAGCACGCCAACAGCATGCTCAAGAAGTTCATCGACGGTCAGCGAGACAAGCAAGCTGTGCCCAACCTAGGCCATCTTCTCATAATGATCCTGATCAGCGACGTGGACGTCTCCGAGGAGCTCACCAAAGCTCTGATCAAGGAAGCCGTCACTCGCAACGTCGTCTGGATGCTCGAACCTCTGCCCAAAGGCAAAGGCATGCTCGAGCTCAGCTTCATGGAGACATCCGCAATCTCAGACTACCGACTCGAGCGGACCTTCATCGCCGGCAAGACCTCCTACCGCCTGTTCATGTTCCTCAACCTCATGCGCAAGATCGTCAACCAAGCCCGCACCTTCACCGACAAAGACGGCAACACGCAGAAGATGACTCTCCAACAACTCCGCGACGAGCTCTTCCGCCGCCACGGCGCCCCACCAAACGGCGCAGCAGCCTCCATGGCCCAGGCCATCCGCGACATCCAGTATGTCAGCAACTTCCCGCAGTTCCTCGCCAACATGGGTCTTCCCATGCCTAACAAGGCGAACTTCACCACTTTTCTGCGCCAGACTGTAAAGGACAGTATGGACAAGGGATACTCGCGGTGGGCGTTGCAGCAGGACGCGGCTCTTGACTTTCGGTTGGTTGAGGATCCTAACGTCGAGGTCCCGGAGGGTATGCAGCCTCGTCGGTACGGCGGTGGGGCCTCACACCTCAGCTTCTTCCCGGACGGAGGTCGAGGCGGAGGTCGAGGCGGCCGTGGAGACCGGGGTGGCAGAGGTGGAGGTCGTGGACGTGATCGCGGTCGTGGTGGATACTGATCGCGCAGATTTCTAAAGGCGTTTCTGGAAAAGCATGGGATACCCACACAGCGTTGCGTTTTGAACTCTGAATAGTCAGATACAGCTTCTTGTATCCTACAGACACTTTCCACGTCTGTTAATTCCACAACTTGTCATCAAGGACCATCCTATAGGTAGATGTGCCGACCACCGAGACTGGCTGGAAGAGTCAGAGAACGCTGTCTATCTCGGCCTTCCACCTGCGACCAGCTCTTCTCTTCGCTGCGGTTCTTACGTCGTCGACTCTGTCGACTCTTTCACCAACTCCCCACCCCACGAGCCATAGTCTCCCGCGCGGTTTGACAAAAGCACTGTGGCCTCAGCGGGCGCGGATGTTTGGTGCTCAGCACGTCTCTTGGGCCTCCTCAGCCGTCAAAGATTTTCTCCTCCTTCATCACCTGCATCGTGTGCTCATCTCCTTCACATATTCCCACCCTCCTCCTTCCACTTCCGAATATACTCCTTCCCATCCGTCGCCTTGCCCGTCTCCGTATGCGCAAAATTATCCCTTCTCTTCTGGATTCTCATCGCGACGAAGGGCGTAAGCTACCAAATTTCCCCATCAGCACATCCCCACTTCACTCTCGAATGGAGAAAACGTGACTTACATGAAACGAAGACAGTTCAGGCACAACATACGTCCTGACTTTCGCCCAATCGATCACGTATCCTCCCCATTTGGTGTGTCGTCCGTGGGAGCCCACGCGGTTTCCTTTGTAGTAGTTGTGCGGGCCTTGTTTGGTGTTTAGGGCGAGACGTCGGATGGCCTTTTGGAGGATCGGGGAGGGTTGCATCGTTGGACTTTCGGTGTGGGAGCTGGTGGTGTTGAGGATGTCGCCGGCGATGAAGTGAAGTCCGAGGAGGAGCCGGGGGTGAGTTTTGAGAGGGAGGGAGGTTTGGGCCGCCGTGATGCCAAGATTTCAGATTGGGGTCTTGAAATTTTGGGCAAGCCGCCACAACTTTCGAGGTCACTTTTACCGTACGAACGACAAAATGCCGGCACGAGTCTCACGGGCGAACACGGCTGCGGCGCCTGCTGTGTCGAAAGACAAGCGACGGAAGAACAAGAGACGTGGTCTGGATGCCTACGAGCGGGCGCAAGAGCAGGTTCCCGAAGAGCGCAGTCGATCGCATCGGCTGGGAGAAATCGAGGACGATGGTCCCCGGCGCAAGAGACGGAGAGATGAGGATGAAGATGAAGAAGACGAGGAAGAGCAAGAACAACCCCAGCGCAAGAAGTCTGCGAAACGGAGCGATGATCCGGACGTCGAGTTTGGCAGCGATAGTTCGGGGAATGAGTGGACGATGGGTGGGATTGGCGAGGATGATGATGATAGTGATCTAGACTCGGACGAGGCGTTTGGGGAGAGCGACGAGGAGAGGTTTGGGGGGTTTACGTTTCGGGGGAGTAAGAGTTCGAAGAAGAAGAAGGGTGGTAGGAAGCAGAAGAACGTGGATTTGAGTGAGGGTGAGGAGAGCGAGGAAGATGATGGTGATAGTCAGGATGAGGAGGGGTTGGGATTTGGGGACGATGCTGTGGACCTTGCGGCTATGCTGGATGATGATGAGGAGGACGAGCCTCGAGGCAAAAGCAGGAAGGCAGACGACATGGATGAGGACAGTGGCAGTGAGGAGGACGATGAGTCTTCAGAGTCTGAATCAGAGGACGAGGAGGAGGATGACGGCGATGATGAGGAGCGTGTTGCTCGGATGAGAGATCGCCTTGAAGCGCTGGACTCTTCCTCTCGTCGCACGTCTGTCCCTCAGTCAGCCGCCGCTGCCACTGTCGACGACTTTCTCGAAGATACTGGACTTGATTTCGATAAGCCAACGTCTAAGAAGAAGAAATCACAGAAGCCAACCACCATCGCTGCTCCTCTCCCAAAACGACAACAGAACAAGCTGGATCGAGAAGTCGCGACGCAAAAGGCAAAGGAACAGCTCGATCGATGGCGAGACACTGTCGCACGCAACCGTCGAGCCGAGTTCCTCAGCTTTCCACTTCAGAATACGGCAGACCAAGCAGCCCCTACAGGAAAAGAGAAGTTCACACCCGCCAACCAGGAAGCTCCTCAGAACGAGCTGGAAGAGAGCATCCAGCGCATCATGGAAGAGTCAGGCTTGGCAGCGAAACAAAAGCAGGCCGATGCGGATGATGGTCTGGATGAGGAGACTGCATTGATCAAGGCGGAGGAACTTGCCGAGAAGCAGCTTCCAGTCGAGGAAGTTCTTCGCCGTCGACAGGAACTCCGCCGACAGCGTGAGTTGCTCTTCCGAGAAGAGATCAAGGCGAAGCGCATTGCCAAGATCAAGAGCAAAAGCTATCGGCGAGTCCATCGCAAAGAGCGTGAACGAGATGCTGACCGGGAGAAGAAGATGCTTGAGGTGAGGGGCATTGACCCTATGGAAGATGAAGATGAGAAGGAGCGGGCAGATCGCAAACGTGCTGAAGCTCGAATGGGAACCAAGCATAAGGATTCCAAGTGGGCGAAGTCGCTGAAGCAGACGAATCGAACCGCATGGGACGAGAATGCAAGGGATGGAGTGGTTCAGCAAGCAAAGCGAGCGGAAGACTTGAAGCGACGTATTGCTGGAGCAGACGTGTCTGACGACGAGGGTAGCGATTCACCTTCGGATGGAGACGATGACCTAAACGATGAGGACTATTTACAGAAGGTTCGAGATGCCGATAACATGAAGCCCAACGAAAAGAAAGGTATTGCGGGCCTCAAGTTCATGCAAGATGCGGAAGAGCGAAAGCGCAAAGCGAACGAGGAGGACGCAAGCCGACTGCGCAAAGAATTGGCGATCGCTGATGGCGATGAAGAGGAGAGCGAGGCAGAGGATGAGACTCTTGGACGTGCTATCTTTGGACCGCAAGGAAAGGATAAAAAGCCGCAACCGAAGGAAAAGAAGCTGGAGTTTGAGGCACCTGAGGAGCGGTCTGATGATGAAGAGGGCGACCAAGCCCACGAGCAAGAAGATGTCAAGACAGACATTGTCACCGACAAGCCGGCGGCGAAAGAAAAGACGCAGCCCAGTGGTGCATCCAAAAGTACCAAGCCCAGTAGACCACTCGCTACCGGATGGTTGACCAAGGAGCCAGCTCCGGCGAAGAACGAGTGGTTGAAAGCTCCTAAAGGTGCGAGCAAATCTCAGGGAGCCGATCAAGTCGCTCTGGAGGTATCAGTGGGTGATGCTGAACATGGCCGCACCACTAAGTCCAGCAAATCTTCTACGAAGACCACATCCGACCCAGGAAAAGGCAGTACCGCTGCAAATACCAATGGCTGGACGACGGTAGCCCACAATGACGGATCTGATGATGAGGAGCCTCAAAATGCAATCCTGTCCGGCAAAGAAGCATCGCAAACTCTGCAACAGCGCGCTTTCGCCGGCGACGATGTTGAAGCTGCCTTTGAAGCCGAGAAGGCCGACCTCGCCGATTCTGAAGATGAGAAGGAAGTCTCGAATCACATCCCTGGCTGGGGATCTTGGGCCGGCGAAGGCCTATCCAAATCCATCCGCAAAGCCAACGCACGAGCCAAGCACAATCCACTATTCAAGACGAAGCTCGCCGGCGGCATCAAGCAAGCCGATCGCAAAGACGCCAATACAGACAAGGTCATCATCTCCGAGAAGCAAGATCGCAAGGGCAAGAAGTATCTTGCGCCTATGTTGCCGCATGAGTACGAGACTGCGCAACAGTATGAGCGGAGTCGCAGGTTGCCCATGGGGCCCGAGTGGACTACGAAGGAGGTGCATCAGCGGATGACGAAGCCGAAGGTTGTGGTCAAGAAGGGAGTCAATGTGAGGGCTATTGAGAAGCCTGTTGCTTAACCGACCAAGATCAGTTGATGGATAAAGCCTAGATTAGGCCTCTGCGTGGTCATATCATATATGAGACTGAATGTCATTGACCACTGGAAGCCTTCTCGATTCCGGCATGTTGAGGATGGCAGCGCCCAGGCAATGATCGTAATCTTGAGAGCGACACCCTCTTCTCCGTTGTCTCCATGCGCCTGTGTTATCAGCATCAGACTATGCGCAATACTTTTGCGCAGGACACCAGAATTGGAGGGTCGAGAAGGACTTGTCAAGGAAGGGCCCCGAAGAGGCACAGCAACAAGCGGCGAAGAGTGATATAGACTTCGACGCCGTCGATTCTTACACGACTAAGCAGAGGGTGCCTTCAGGTAATCTCAGACAACATCGTCTGAACGACTCGACCGTCGGGCAACATCATGTCAAAACAAATGACATCACGTCCGAATGCGTGTTTTGCAATGTCATGATAAATTGGCGAACGTGTTTGGCTGCCAAGTTAAGTCCCACGCTCGCTTTCCCAATGACAATGTTACGTTTTGCCGTTCTTCTCTTCGCGGCCCAAATGCTCACGCATACTCCAGTACAACCTGCGCCGCACAATGACCTGGTCGTCACCATATCCTCTGGAACGTATGCCGGGCTTATCGATGGGACAACACCAGACGTGCGACAATGGCGCCGACTACCATTCGGCCTACCGCCAGTTGGCGAGCGTCGATGGCTTCCTCCAGAACCCGTCGAGCCCAACAACGACACACGTATCCAAGATGCCACAAAATATCCACCTTCCTGCCCGCAGTACCTGACCGCCGCTCCCAGTATCTGGAACTTCTTGGTTCCGCAGTTCACGATTGCGACTGTGGGCCAGAACAAGACGGCTAGGGCGTATGCCAACTCGGCATCCGAGGACTGCTTGTACCTTGCGGTTTGGGCGCCTCGACGCCAGCGGGAGAGGTTACCTGTCATTATGTTCATAACCGGTGGCGCGTTCGTTAATGGTGGAGTTGATGTGCCTTATCAGATTCCTGCTCAGTGGGTGCAGCGGACGCGGTCTCATATTGTGGTGACGATCAAGTGAGATATCCACATGAATCGCTCGTTGATTCTGTACACTGACCTGCTTCGTCAGCTACCGACTTGGTATCATGGGATTCCCAGGGACACCTGCGTTAGACCAAGTCAATGTCGGGCTTTGGGATCAGCGGGCAGCGTAAGTTGATTATGTGGACCATAATGGGACGCAAGTACTAACTCGTAGCGATGAAGCCTCGAGTGGGTACGTGAGAGTATTGCAGCGTTCGGCGGCGATCCAGAAAAGATCACGCTATGGGTGAGTGTTACAAGACTCGCTCGTCAAACTTGGTCTAATGGGAAACCGCAGGGCCAATCTGCGGGAGCTATTTCAGCCGAATTCCAGTCATTCATCGAGTATGATGATCCAATCGCTCGGGGATACGTTATGACCTCTGGTTCTTTCGGATCCGGCTTCACCTCTGCAAACCGCACCGGTCTATCTTTCTCAGCGGTCGCCGCGCACTTTGGGTGTCGAAACTCGACGGCTCCCGCATCAGAACTCGCATGCATGCGCCAAGTCCCCGCCGAAAGACTAGTCACCGTAGCAAGCACGTTACCCGGCATAAGTTTCCACCCAGTCCAAGACAACAAAACCGTCTTCACAGACTATGTGGCGCGCTACAAAAGCGGCCAATTCGCCCACAAGCCCGCGATATACTCGACCAACACCAACGACGCCACCGGCGACCTACCCTTTCCCCCAAACCCAGCGTCCGTAAACACCACAATCGAACGCATCATCACAGACAAAGTCTATAACTGCCCCGCAGCGACCTCATCCCGCCTCCGCAGCGCCTTCAATCCCCACGTCTACCGCTACCAAAACGCCGCCAACTTCTCCAACGTCTCGCCCGTCCCCTGGCTCGGTGCCTATCACTTCTCCGATCTGGCGTATATCTTTGGCACGGACCCGGATTTCCGCGGGGCGAGCGGTGCTTATGAGAACGAGGTTTCGAGGGGTTTGCAGGATTTGGTGGGGGCGTTTGTGAGGGATCCGGAAGGGGTGCCGGGGTGGCCGGTTTTTGGGGAGGGGAGGATGGTGAGGACGGGGAGGGTGGGAGGGCCGGCTGTGGAGGTTGTGGAGGAGGGGGTTGTTGATGCGGGTTGTAGTGTAGATTGAGGGATGGCTTTGTGTACTGTATAGACATGTTCAACAGACACAGTCTAGATGGAGCTTTTTGTGTGGCCAGGGCGTCGGTTAGATTGAGTGTGATCGGAAGCTTTTTCGTATTTCTGGCAAGTCCTTGCTTTGCAGAGATGAGCAACCGGGATATCCTGGTCTTTGAAGTTGACGACTCTCATTCCTCGTGCGGGTTGCACTAGATTCTAGAACATCGTCTTGCACGTATCTGGGAAGTTGAAGTGGTTTTTGATGTTCACGACACGCTGCGATGCTGATGCTGATGAAAAGCAGCGTGAAGTTTGTGCGTGACGACAAATCGCCTTCTTTGCAGCTCACATAGAATGGCCATCCAATATTTGGCCGCTCAGGGGTTTCGATATGACTTGCAGGGAACTAAATCGATTCTGTCCTCATGCGGTCAAGGGGTCAAACTTTCCCTTCGCGGCAATATGGTACCATCGCATCGGGAACGAAAACAAGAAGATGAGAAAAGTATTTGACTTTGGCAGGGCCCAGACTCCCAGGCCAGCCATCTTTCTCGAGATTTCAACATCCTCAAGTTGTTTCCTAAACCCCATCCCCCACTAGCGACAACTCAACCCAACCAAAATGCATCACCATCTAATAACCACCCTCACCCTCCTCACTCTCTCCCACACCGCCCTCACACTAAAACTCCCCGCCAGACAAACCCCCAACCTCTGGCACATCTCCGACTCCTACATCGGCTGCGACCCGACAGTCGGCTGTTCCTACCAATTCCACGTCCTTGGCGACGACACGGGCCAACTGCCCTACTTCGAAGCCGACTGCATCCAGAACGTCCCCATCGGCGACACGGCGCTCCAACAGTGTAATCTCGTTGGTGCCGGGTCGCAGTTTGGGCTGTCGGTTGATGGGGTTTATGCTTCGGGGGAGTTTTATCCCGGGAATCAGGTGGGGAGTAGGGTGGTTGTGCAGTTGGAGTTTAGTGATGCAAGGTATATGCTCCCCATTCGTTGGTCCTGCGGGCTTTAGGGTGGGTTTGCTGATCTATTTTGTAGACGAGGAACGAGGGAATTCTGGCAGGCGTCGCAGGATGGGACCTATCAGACGTTTTCGCGGGATTTGGGTGATTATGATGTGATCCCTTTGCAGGCTGCTGCTGTTGCTTGAGGGGAAGGAGGGGTGGTAAGTGAAGGTTGAGATGAGATATGAGGGTGAGGCGGACTGGAACATGTAGTGGAAATTTCCAGAAGCTCGGTGGTGAGGTGGTTGGTGAAGCTGTTAATGAAATTGGAAGAGAGATGGTCGTGAAGTCGCTAGTGAATATATTGATGGGACCTGAAATGAAGTTGGCAAGATCTGATGGAAAGCTTCGGTGAGATTTGATGGAAAGTGACTGGGAAGACTTCGAACGGGACTGTCAGTGAGATTCCAGTGGATTTACAAGTGAAGTTAGTAGTAAAATTTGTGATGAGATCGTTGGAGGTACTTCATTCCGAAACGCAAGTGACTTAGCATGTGAGGGTGTCTAACATGTTGCCAAGGAAGTGGCGAAGAACTAGCTCAGACAACATGTGACAGGGGGGTGAAGTGAATGATCGAAGTGGGGGTTGCGATAAGACCGATAAGAAACGGCGCTAAGCCTAACTGGAAATCCCTGCGCGCAGCTACGCAATTGAAGAGATGTTCAACCCACCAACTTTGACCAACACACACACAACAACAACACCGCGCCTTTTTTCCGCCGCATCTTCATTCCGCTCGCTCGTTATCATCGCGCAGGCGCAAGAAGTGTAACACTGCCGTCTGCCATTCGCTCTCTCAACACACCCCGAATTGCGGCCGTCTCACCGCACAACCCACCCACGCCAAGCATGGCGTCTCAACCGACCGTCTCGAACGGGGCGACTCGAGAGGAGACGAGCAACAACCCAGCCGCCACCAACGGCGACCATGTTGAAGATTCTGATGCAGAAGCCTCGGATTCCACCGAGTTCACCAGCGACGACGACGAGGCCGACGACCGCGACTCCAAGATCTTGGCATCATACCGCCGTCTGCTGTCACGGAGAGTGGATCTGGTCGGCGACTACGCGGGAGACGAACTCTTTCTGATCGAGGGCGACTCGCTGCTGTTGCGCTGCTTTGACGACGACAAGCTCGACTTCACCACCGGACTGCAGATCCTCCACGCCGCTTACAATGTCGAGCACTTCCTTCACCACCTGGCACAGCGAAAGTGCCATTTCAACCTCATCTTCTTCGACGGCAACAGAGAGCTCTGTGTGCCAGCGTTGGCCGACCAAAAGAATGCCAATAAGTATTTCCTGGCTCGCGCTGCGATTGTTCGCCACCTGCAGGCCAACCTCGCCAAGTCACACCCAGACATCACCGTCCACACCTTCACCACCCACGACTCGCCAGAGTTCGTCACATACCTCGAGAAGACCTCACCATACTTCCTCATGGCGCACGACGGCGCTCGTGCGGTAGCTCGGCAGTCGAAGTTCCTCCACGGAGAAGACGACGATGCCAAGGCAGAGCCGACCAAGCAGCGGGTAGCACTGCGAGAAATGGTGCTGTCATTCGTCCAGCGCGGATTCAACGTCGCTCTGGTCAACGGCCTCGAGTGGCGAGATACAAAGGTGATGACCATGGTTCTGGAGACTCGAAAGAGGGGCGAGATGATCCAGCTCCCCGAGAAGGACAGCAAGTCAGCCGCGAAGCTCCCACAGCAAGACATCACCGCGAAGTTGGACAAACTTGGAGGCTCAAAGTCAGACCTCACTGCCAGAGAGCTTGTATTGGCCATTGCCGCGAGCATCTTGCTCAAGGATTCGGACTCAGAAGGCACTGGTCGGCTAGTAGCTGCACTGCTTCTGCATGCGGCACTCTTGACACATCTCCCTCTTGCGTCGAGAAGATTGGATGTGCTCACTGAGGTTGCAGGTGCGCAACGCTTCCTCGAGACTGTCGCTTCCATCATCGAAGCTGTCTTGAACAGCGCATCCTGGCCCGGTACGAGCGACAAGTGCGACCTCATGGATGTCCTCGATGGTCGTCTGTTCCTCAACATTGCAGTTTCGAAGCCAAAGATTACTGCTCCAGTCAAGGCAACTTTCGACAAGCTCTTGCAAGCGGTGATATCGCTGTCTGGGACAGCCGGGCTTGAGGAGCCACCTGCGAATGTCTCTGACAAAGCAACACCACAAGTAGCCTCCGAAGAGACCGAGCCTGGAGATCTGTCGGTCTTGCCTTTCTCCAACAAGGTGTTTGACAAGCATCTCGAGTCTGTCCGCATCCGCGTAGACGCTGCTGCGAGTGGCGAGCGCAGTCTGGCTTCACGCAAGGTCTTTCAGGAAGTCTCACACTGGCACAACTACAAGAGACCAGTGGGTCACCGTGGGCCCATCGCACCTGCTGACACAAAGGCTGCTTTCTGGGCGGCCAAGCGCAACCAGCTGTTCATGGCAGAAATGCGTACCTACGCCGCCAGCTTGACCAACGCTGTCGGTAAGAGCTTGGAACCGGAGACCATCATTGTCGGCGTACCACGCCAGGCCACGAAGATCAAATCGGGTACTGACTCACCCGCCGAGTCTGATCTCTCTGATAGTGGCGCTTCTTCCACCCAGAGTAAAGGCAAGCCAGCCCCCAAGAAGGGTGGTGGTGGCAAGACTGCGCAGAAGAATGCTGGCAAGCAGGCCATGCTAAACCAGATTGCTGCTGCCAAAGCGAAGAAGGACGAGAGTGCTGGCGACAAGATTGCCAGCTCTTGGGCTGTTGTCTGCAAGGGCTTCGAAGCGGACCGAGACCCTCGATCGCGGTACCGAAAGGCCAAGGAGTACTTGACACACCTTCAGCCGTCGTGGAGAGACACCATCGGCCCTGAGTGCGAGCTCTACATGCTGAGCTGCCTTTTGCATTACTGGATCGCTGCATGCAAGCGCAAAGAGCAGGAATTCCGCATCCAGGTTGCCGCTTTGATTTGGAGCCATGCCCGCAGCATCGCTCAACGTGGCCCACTGCCGAAGACTATCATCAAATATCTCGAACTTACCGTCAAGACTTTGGGATTGCCACCACTTCCTCAGACCCAAGAAGCGTCCACGGACCGAAAGCTCGCGTTCACTTTCGCTCTGCCGACCCAGGCCGATTCGCTTGATGTTAAGCTACCACCCAAGGAGTTCCAGCTCCTCCAATGCGGCCCGTACTTGGAGCGGAGTTTCGACTCCAAGCCAGACCCGAGAGTTGATTTCCAGCCAGATGGTTGGCAACGCAAGGTACTTGACACCATTGACGCTGATCAGAGTGTCTTTGTTGTCGCACCGACATCTGCTGGTAAGACGTTCATTTCGTTCTACGCCATGCGCAAGGTCTTGGAGGCAGACGACGATGGTGTTCTCATCTACGTTGCACCAACCAAGGCTCTGGTCAATCAGATTGCTGCTGAAGTCCAGGCCCGATACTCGAAGAAGTTCAAGTACGGTGGCAAGTCAGTCTGGGCTATCCATACGAGAGACTACCGCATCAACAACCCCACGGGATGTCAGGTCTTGGTGACGGTGCCTCACGTGTTGCAGATTATGTTGCTCGCTCCATCGAATGCCAACTCGTGGTCCAGCAGAGTGAAGCGCATCATCTTCGACGAAATCCATTCCATTGGTCAAGCCGAGGATGGTGTTGTGTGGGAGCAGCTTCTTCTGATGGCACCATGTCCTATCATCGCACTGTCAGCTACGGTCGGCAACCCAGACGAGTTCAGTGGATGGCTCGGTACCACGCAAGAGGCCATTGGAAAGGAGTTGGTGACCGTCCATCATCCATTCCGGTACTCTGACCTTCGAAAGTACTTCTACGTTCCGCCGAAGCAGTTCACATTCACTGGTATCCCGGCCAAATCCGCTTTCGGTTCTCTTGGTCTGGAAGGTTTGCCTGGATTCAACTTTGTTCATCCAGTGGCTGGCCTTGTCGATAAATCTCGCGGAATTCCTGAGGATCTGGCCCTCGAGCCTAGAGACTGCTACTTCTTGTGGCAAGCAATGGTGAAAGTTCAGACGCCCGACTTTAGCATACCAGCCAAGCTTGACCCAGCAAAGGCCCTGCCAGAGGTCTCTCGCAAGGTGGACATCCTCAAGTGGGAGAAGGACTTGAAGGAAGTACTTCGTACTTGGTTAGCCGACGCTTCTTCGCCTTACGACAAGCTTGTCAAGGAGCTTGAGCAGAGCTTCCGTGATGAGGAGCGCGAGGAGCTCTACACGACATCCGCTCAAGTGCAGTCTTCGCGACAAGCAGTGTTGCCAATCGAGGAGCTTAACAAGACCACATTGCCAATGCTCTGTCGCTTGCACGAGCAAGATGCACTTCCCGCGATTCTCTTCAACTACGATCGTCACCAGTGCGAGAAGATCTGCAAGGCAGTTGTTGAGCAGCTGGAGTCCGCTGAGTTGAAGCAGCGCAAGACCGGTCCTAAGTGGGCGAAGACTCTGGAAGCCTGGGAGCAATGGAAGAAGCTCAAGGCGAAGCAAGCTTCCTCGAAAGCAAGCAAGGCAAAAGCCACCAAGAAGAGCAAAGACGACGATGACGATGACAAGACTTCGAAACTTGACAACCAGCGTGATGAGGCTGGCGGTGAAGAGACTAAGTGGGAATCGTTCGATCCGGAGGCACCTCAAGAAGGCTACCACTTCGCCGACCACACCAAGGTGCAGACTTCCGAACTGGAGATCTACATTCGTCAGCTTCGTCGTCGTGATGTCCCGCAGTGGCTCATCAGCTCCCTCACACGAGGCATTGGCGTCCATCATGCTGGTATGAACAGAAAGTACCGACAGGTGGTGGAAATCCTCTTCCGCAAGGGTTTCTTGAGAGTCATCGTCGCGACTGGAACTCTTGCTCTCGGTATCAACATGCCTTGCAAGACTGTCGTATTCTCTGGAGACAGCGTCTTCTTGACTGCTCTCAACTACCGACAGTGCGCTGGTCGTGCTGGTCGTCGTGGCTTCGATTTGCTAGGAAATGTCGTTTTCCAAGGTGTCTCGCGCCAGAAGGTATGCAGACTCCTCAGCTCCAGACTGCCTGATCTGAACGGTCATTTCCCCATCACGACGACTCTGGTCCTTCGACTGTTCACTCTTCTGCATGAGTCAGACGGTGCGAAGTACGCTGTCAGCGCAATCAACGCCCTGCTCTCACAACCACGCCTCTACATGGGCGGACCCTCCTTCAAGGACCAGACGATGCATCATCTTCGTTTCTCGATCGAGTACTTGCGTCGTCAGCATCTTCTGGGGTCTGATGGTGCACCACTCAACTTCGCCGGTCTCGTCAGTCATCTGTACTTCACAGAGAATTCATCTTTCGCCTTCCACTCTCTGTTGAAGGAGGGCTATTTCCACGAGCTGTGTGCGGGCATCGCCACAAACGAGAAGGACACGCTCGAGACACTGATGCTCATCATGTCGCATCTTTTCAACCGTGCGGAGTGCCGTCAAGCGGACGCTGAGTACCGTGAGAAGGTGGTGAAGCCTTCATCATCGATCGTATTCTTGCCGCCTATGCCAAGCAAGGCATCGAAGATTCTCATGGACCACAACAAGCAGACCTTGAAGGTCTTCCGTGCATACGTCGAGACTTTCGTGCAGCAGCACATCAGTACCGAAGATAGCAAGCTTCCACTATCTGGCCTCGAGGTCGGCGCAGAAGAGACTGGAGCTGGCATTCCGACTCTGCCACCCACTCACATTCGTTCATCGTTTGTGGCGCTTTCCGGAGCAGGAGACTCTTTCGATAGCCTCCACGACCTCTGCCAGACCACCCGCGACGGTGTCTTCCTCGAAGAAGCCGTCATTCCTCACATGGACGTCTACCCCGAAGAGATGGAAGTTCCGCTCAACGCCTATCTGCTCGACTTCTTCAAGCACGGCGACGTCCTCACCATCGAACGCGCCAACGGCATCCGCCGCGCTGACATCTGGTTCCTCCTCAACGACTTCTCGCTCGTCCTCGCCACCATCATCACGAGTCTCATGAACTTTATGAAATTGTCGGAAGGCAGCGACATGGACATGCTCGACATCATGGGCCGAATGGACACCCACGAAGAAGAAGAAGACGACAAAGTCGCCGCAGTCGAAGACCAAGCCAGCGAGATCTCCGCGCCCAGCGCCGCCGACTCCGGCGTCGCCCTCCCCGAGCGCGCGAAGCCCAAGGAAGCGCCCACGAAGAAACAGGCCAAGAACGCGGATAGCTGGGAGGATCTCGCGGGCGATGAAGAAGCGGAGGAGGAAGCGGACGAAGCGACGAAGAAGCAGATCGCCGCGGAGGAGGCGGAGGAGTTGTTGGGTAATGGTGCGAGTTGGGAGGGCGAGGGGGGCGAGGGGTTGAAGAATGTGCTCAAGGCGTTTCAGACGTTGCATGCGCAGTTTAATGTTAAGTTTAGGGCTATGTGGGCTTAAGAGACTTGACTGTGCGTGGATGGATGGATGGGTGGATGGATGGAGGATGGAGGAGAGAGGAGAGAGGAGATGGAGATGGGCTTTGGTTCGTGGCTGGCTGGCTGGGAATGAGAACGACAACCAAAATGCATAGACAGAAGTAGCTAGAAAGAGGGACCGATCAAAAGCGGAGCATTGGTATTTGAAATAAAACATCATGCTCAAAATGTTATATTCATTATCACCATCGCTCACGAGCTGTTTGACCCAGTACAAAGTACGAGGAAGAGCATGGTTGGTTGCTTTTTCAGAATCCGGGAAGGGATGTAGAGTACTGGCTCTGCGCGGTCTAGTTGAGTGAAGTGTGAAGGAAAGGTCATTCGAAGTTCGTGCACGTCGTCATGATTAGGCTCCTTTTTCATTCTTCTCCTTTCTATGCACAGTGGCTGGGTATCATGATAAGACAGTACAACAACGTCGGCCAACGACCGACCCGGATAGATGACACGACATCCCAAATCCCTTCCCATTTTGACCCATCCGACCCGTCGCTGTGCTATCGAAAACACAATTATTACTTTTAGACATTACACTCCGACTCGCTCATATCATGACCGCTGCGCCGAGTAAAGCGCCTGAGAGGATCATTCCCACCCTTCCGTCCAGTCCAGGAACGGCCGTAGGCGCCGCACCGCCTGAGGAAGTGGGCGTTCCAGTAGCCGTGTACACACCCGTCAACGGTGTCGTTGTCGTCTCAGAAGCCTTAGCCTCTCTGCTCCCACTTGACGTGGTCGACATGGGCGATCCAGGAATGCCCGCGTTGACGCTCGTGCTCGGCAGGGTGATGCTATCTGAGTTCTGGACGTACATGCCGTATTTGATGAGTCCTTCGCCGTTTTGCATGGCTTCGGTGTCGCTGGTGCTGCACGAGCCGTTCCAGTTGCGTACCCAACATGTTGGTGAGGGCGCTGGTGGTGCCGAGGCGGTGTATGTGGCGTTGGCCGTGCCGTTCGAGGCGAAGGATGAGAGGTCGACGTCTGCGGCGGTGGACAGGTCGGTGCCCATGATGACGCGGGCGAAGATTTGGAAGGCCGTTTCGGGTTGGTAGTATGGGATAAAGTGTCCGGCATCGTAGACTCTGCTGAAGCTGAGGTTGCCGTACTGTTTTACTGCACCGCCGACGTACGAGTCGTTGACGACAATCTCAGCGAATCCTGCATTCGCGAAGCCGCTTGCGTAGCTGGGAGGGATACCGGCTCCAGATGCCGCGACGCTCGTGGGGAATGGGTAGTTTGGTAGAGAATTTGCGACTGCGTATGCGATAGCTTGTCCACCATACCAGTTCACCAAGAAGTCGGCGTCGCCATAGATGAGAGCGACGCGCACGCCAAGCTTCAACAAATCTGCAATGTCCTCAATAAGGCCACCTCGAATGCTGTCGCCGGTGGAGATGAAGTCTTGCTGGACATATGGACTGCTTTCGGTGTAGTTCACTCGAGCTCCAATCGCACTCAACACGTCTTCCTGGTTCAGGTATTCTTGGTATGCAGCAGAGGGATCAGGGCTGGGTGACTTTTGGCGTATGTCGTAGGGGAAGTAGCCATGCGCAGTGGCGATTGACGTGAGGTTGTTGCATGTCCATTGCGCGGCCTCGCATAGCTGATTGGCCTGTTCGTTGTCACCGAAGAGGTCCTGGTTCGCCATGCGACAGCTCTGAATCGCAGGCTGGCATTGATTAGAGAAGAGGTTGAGCGCGTTGAGCTGGTCGGTCTGTGAGATAATCTCGATGCCATAGGTGTTGTTGTAGGCGTAATAGGGGAAGTAGTAGTCTTGGATCAAGTCATCGACAAGACCATTCATAATGCCCAATGACTGCAACCTGATGGGAAGAGTACTGTTACTAGGAAGCTGGCCGTTGGCGATGGCGGTGTTTTGATCTTCGAAGTATGTGGCGAAGACAGGGCCGTACTTGCCGCCATACGACTCGGTGAAGAGATTGATACCAGCCGGTTCAGACGAACTCGTAGTGGTAACATTCGGCCTTGTGGATGGATTGTACTGGCTGAACGTAGATAGCCAAGTCTGTAGGAAATGCCATGTCGCTCTCGCGGCGATCTGAGTCGTGTTTGCGGTCGTCGCGTATGTCCTCGAATCGTTCTCGCTGGCCGTGCCAAATGTCCCGTTAAGATACATGAAGCTCGGCAGCTGCGAATCTGGGGGTGTTGGAGGTTCGAAGATCTCGTTTGTGAACAGATCCAGCGACGCATTGGTGGTGCTATCGTATGAAAAGCCGACCTGATTCGGCTGGTCGATGAAGAGAATGTTAGAGGCACGATCCCAGCCAAACGTCCTCATCTGGGTGCCATATCTTCCATCCGCCATCTGTACCACCTCGCAAGGCCCCACCTCATTGAACAGGCCGAACATGCTGCTCGAGCCTGGTCCTCCATTCAGCCATATTGTGAGAGGCGCCGTCTCTGGTGTTTGCCGCGCTTCAATGAACCAGAAGAAAGTATTAATAGAGTAGTTTTGCTGGATTGGAGCGAGCGTATACGGCGGTATGCTTATGTAGCCTGTGTACTGTTTCTGGGTGGTGAAGGCGGTCGTACATGTCCCATTCGTGGGCTGCTTGTACGCGACCGAGACATTGGGGTTGACGGGCGAGGTGAGGATGTTCTGGTACGAGGCGGGCGGAGGGTATTGCGCGTGGGCGAGGGGGAGGGCGGCGATGAAGGCGAGCAGCGCGGGCGGGAGACAAAGAAGCTGGAGGGGGTGTTAGCGATGTGCTCGGCGCCTTCGGTGGTACTGGCGCATTGCGGTGGACTGACATTCATCTTGACTGTTCTTGACCGCGACACGTGCTTGGCGAGATCTCGTGAGCGGTCCAGATCTCAGCGTGTCCAGATCAAGGCCGGTAAGCGAGTGACATTGAAGGGAAAGGAAAACGAAGTCGCAGCTTTGTCCGGCTCATGAAGAAGAAGCGGCAGAGAAGAGAGAGGCTGAAGAGTCGTCGGTGTCCCCAAAAGTCAACTCAACCCAGTCAGGTCACGCCCTGGACACGCGGCGCCTCCCACCATTCCCCACACATTTGAGGCGTTTGACTCGGGCTTGGCAGGTACGACGGCGCCGACTATTCCAATTCCGGATGCTGCATCCTATCTCCGGCTATAAGAATAGCTTGATTATGCTCCTATAGCTTTATAGGCAATGTATATCAATGTCCAGGCCGAATTGGCGCTTCAACACATCGAGAAATGTACGTGTAAAAAGAGGAGCACGAGACTTCATCGGCGATATACAGCCAATCCCATGTCGTGCTTGCGTTAGACTTTGGGGCCGAGCCACACGTAATCCGCATCAGGGGTAACCGGTCAAAGTCGATTCCATTGAGTCGTACAGTCAAACCTGGATAACGCAATATTCCGTAGGAACATAACCTCTTTAACGCTATACTTTCAGCTTCAACTTCTAAAATTCGGTGTGAACCTC